CTTTTCTAGCTATGCGTTTCAGATCAGGGTTTTAGCCACTTTGGAGCAATGCATGGTGTTATCTCATAATTATTTATTTCATTTACAAAAATTACAATACATTTTTTATTCTAAGCAAGTAACTAAAATATAAAACTTACCTAGATTCGAAAGATTATGTCTGTTACATCTGCGAATATAATTTGTATGAGATACACCGTAATCTAAATTGGTTTTTCGACTATGAAGAAATTAAATAGCATTAATAGACTATGCTAATGTTCTTTTTTACCATGATTTATCTACCTATATAAGCCAAGAATCGTTTACGAAATGTTCAAAAATAATACTCAGACTAGCACATTATCTAATATAAACAACATAAGACAATGATAGCAATAAGCGTATAGACGACTTTTTTGAAATATTTTCATTTTGTAGACATCCACGAAATATATCTATAAAAAACGTATTTTTAATGCAATATAAGTATCATTCATATAAAAATCGACCAGCTCCTAAGTACTCTGAGAGAAAAGTTTCTCAAGACTCTGAAGAATATTTTCCAGTAAGTATAGCATTGTGAAGGCAAAATTGATCAAATATAATAATAATAAATAAAATAAATTTGCAAAATTTCTCGTGAAAGCACCATCTTCTTTCATGGCGTCTCAATGACGTCACGCCCCTCTAAAACTAATATAGTTCTGTGACGTCACGCGCTGTTTGCGGTAACGTAACAGCCTATGAGTTTAAGATATTTATTTTCATAATTCATTTAAGCAATATCATAAAAGTGTGATTGTCGGTAATACTATATTAAACACTACCCGAAAAAAATGAATTTATTTTCGTTATCTGTCCACACCCGTATTCCGCTACATAATAAGGAATATTCGTTCATAAATCAAAATTTATAATGAATCAAAATAAAATATTTAGCAGTAGAATCACATTACACGGTAAATAAGGTTGGTCAAATTGATAGTCAAGAATTCTAGAAGTCATTTTTCCAGATAACATCCATAACCCGTAGTGATCTATGAACCCGTCCATAGTACACTATAAAAGCAAGCATCAGATTGCTTTTGAAAAACAAGAGGAACCTAATGAAACACTACTATCGAATTTTTTTTCTGATTAATTTATTATGTATCATTAAAAATAGTTAATTATGTAGGTACTTCTATAGTTACTCCACAATTCACTTTTCAGAGCAAAATAAATGATGCCCCACAAACGAACCTTATTGTTGCCGCTTAGATTTTAATTAAAAACCGACATCTATAAAGCACAAACAATTAAGTCCTTTCATAAAGACTGCCCTGATCGATACAAATGGTTCACAGCCTCGCGTCTGAGTCTCAACACTATTCATCACGAGACGGATATTTCATTCATCCAACATTCTCTGACATTTTATAACATTATAAGTATCATTACACGTAAGATATTATTTCAGATATTTAACTAAAATGCAATCAGGTTTTGTGATTGCCACTTAAAATAGCAGTAAAAGCGCTTTAAAATGATGTAAAAAATATTTATTTATTTCATTATTTTACTTATCTGAAAACATTTAAAAATAAATTAATAATGTTCAGATTGTAAGATTATACCTAGCAAACACCATTTCGGTTAATTAAAAGAAAAAGAAAAGAAATAATTTAAAAAACAGAATTAACACTACATACGAGAGGTCATCTGTCGAATTTCTTTTGATTTATCCTTATAATACTTATAAAACAGATTAACAAAAAGCCTTATAGGGTGAACAGCTGTTTAACTCCAAAAAGCAATTATCACGTTTCTATTAAATTTATAGGCGCTACCTAACTTTTCTTTATTCACTTACGGCTAAAGTACGGTGGCATAATATTTTACAGCATAGTATACTTACTCACTTTCCACGAGAAACCGATACGTAAACCGAAGGTATGCTTTATAATAAATTTACTAAAAACCTATGTACCCAATATATAGATACTTATAGTTCCTCAGATTTATTTATTATTTATTTATATCGTAACATAGAGTTTCTAATGACAAATGTAGAATTTATTGTGAACATTCCACGTCCTCCGTGCATAGAAACGTTGTGCACGACCATATTTGTAAAGATACCCACAACAAGACACACAAGACTACAGAATTATAAATGTTCACTCCCGTCTCCATACGTTTGACTACTAAATCACCAATAAAGCCATAGTGGCAGTTAAATCGTAGACTATAAACATCACAACTGCCAATAATAAGTATCATTCACATGTACGGCCTTCACATAATTCCTGAATACACGCTTTATATCAAAGTATTTCTATTATAAGTAATGTTGGTCAACAGTGTCGTTAGTTCCTTGGCCATTAATAACAGGGTTCGGTGTAAAGTGAAGGAAACAGTGGCCCGTATTGTTGCACTGTACTTATAATAAATCCCTTACACAGTACATTTACTTACAGCATAATTTTCACCGACTTAATTTTTATTTGATAATTTTTTGACTCGTATTATTTCCTTGTACTTCCTTCCATTACATTGCGAAAATAGTTTGAGAACCCTTGTATAATATCTTGACTTAGTTGCGCTCTAGAAATGACAACATAATTAACTTTAAAGTTGCTATTGTAATGGAGTTGCAAGAAAATCATGAATAACAACAACTGCATTCATTTGTAAGGCGTCATTTCTAACCTGACCCGATGGCCCATCCACATTCCCATCTTCAATCTGCCCTAGCTTGTCCGTCCTGCCTCCATCAATCGTTGACGCAAGGTAAATCTATCTATGTTCGATAATACTCTCCGAGATTCAGTCATTTTATCAACTGAGTAATATATATTAATTCATACATTCCTCAGTAGTGCGTGGGTGCCATGTTTTGTTTAAGATGTTTTATGAACAGGTGAATGTCCTTTTTATTCATTCCATTTACATGAGCGGTAGTTGACATAACAGTAATTTGTTAAGTAAAGAGTTTTAATTGGCTATTTACCAGATTTAATTTATGGAAGTAAAGCCGACGTATTAATTTGTCTATTTATTCAAAGAGTCCTAACATTAACCACAAAAAACCGCAATAATACTCTTTGCTTGTAATTTAAAAAAACTTCAATATATGTACCTAATTCTTTCTTTGGACTTCTTAGTTTTTATATTTACTGCTATTGTGCTTGACGGTACTTTTAATCACTTATTGCCAGCGATGAGTTAGACTTTATACGGTCGAGTAGTATGTTAACTTGTGAACACAGTAATTAAAGTACAGATAACCCTACAATCTCTATTACGTATAATTTATTGTGTGAAAACACACAGCGGTGTAATAAAAATGCAAGCAAGGTGGATTGCGCTATAAAAATTATTTGAATGCCGCGCTTTATTAATTTTACGATAAATCAATCGCCACTTTACTTGATATTATTAACTTACGTTTTATTTATCTTTATTGATATTATAGTTGAAAAAAAAATATTTTATTATAATTTAATTATACCTACATCTCAGAGACTATAGTATATTGCCACTCCATAGATATTTTTGTAATCTATTTATCGTAAAAACCTTTGTGTATATGTTACGCTCAAAGATCGAAAACGCTCAGTGAGCGGAAAAAAGCTCACAACGCGTTGTGGTCACAGTAAAACATCCACATGGCGAAATTCGTGTTATGGCTCTAATGAAAACGCGCACGACGCGTTGTGGCAATCACAGAAAGACCAAATAGCGAAATTCGTGTCGTGGCTGACATGCTATTCGATCTCAACGCGTTGTGGCAATGAAGAAAAGCCATGATGCGTTCTGAGCATTCATTGTTTTGACCATATCACGACGGACAGGTTGTAACGAACTTCGTCGTTAACACTCCGCTCAGCATCTATGTTATCATCTGGAAGTAAGTAAGGGTTTATAATGTGCCACTGCAAAAGATACTGTATTGATAAAAAGTGCAAGTGTCGCTCCAAGAATATAAAATGCAACTCCAAATGCCACGGTAATAGTTCCTGTAAAAATAAATAGGAATCAAATACTTATTTTAAGTACATTATTGTTGTTTATTGTGGACAATAAACATTTATGTTTGTGTTAAATATTTTTATTACTTGAAAGAATTTAAATTGTCATAAAAAAATTAAAATCCCTAATTATTTTAAGTGAATTGTAAGAAATTTCCAAATAATTAACATTTCGTGTTCAGTAATTTATTACTTAATATTAATACGTTAATTTTTTTAAATATAAAGTAATCTCAATAAACAACAAATATTGTTTTATTTTAATTTATATAATATATTTCATAATAACAAACACGTTATGCAGTGATTTTATAAAATAAAAAATATTTCCTAACGACATCTACCAAAACGTTTCCAGCCTAGGCCTAGTAGGATCCATATCGGAAAGTAGTGTGCATCGTACTCAAATAATATTCCATACGCGTGGTGGCTTTTCTTCATTGCCACAACGCGTCGTGCGCTTTTTCATTAGAGCCATAACACGAATTTCGCCATGTGGATGTTTTACTGTGACCACAACGCGTTGTGAGCTATTTTTCCGCTCACTGAGCGTTTTCGATCTTTGAGCGTAACATATATATAAATTAGAATTCAACATGTAGGTACTTAAAATTTGTTACAAAGAACCTATACAATATAAATTTCAGTATGATTGTATGATTTATCCAATAAACATAATTATTTTAGTTAGATGCTGTCTAAAGCTTCGAGAAATATCAACTTGGGTAAATATATTTTATTTCAATAAAACGAAATATAATAACTTTGCAATAACAATATTCAAAGAATCAAATCACGCTACTGTTTAAGTTTCATTATTTACAAATATGATATGTTTGTTCGTAGGGAAAAGACTGATTAGACACAATAAAGAAATGTTTCTTTATTTCTTTAACTTCAATTTGTAGTCAATACATTTGATTTGACAAATGTTTACTACATAGTTACGTCAGGAGATTATTATTTAGCGAGATAGTGAAGAGCATTTTTCTCTGTTGTGTCCAGGAGCTGAAGGAGAGCTTCAACTATGGTCTGTTCTGTCCCCCGGTCAACGGCAAAGCGGGCAAGTTTCTCGACGAGGAGAGACGCCTCGGCGACTACCCCTTCAACGGACCAGTTGGATATCTAGAGGTAATAAATATCACTATTTACATCAGTTTGTAGCCTATTCAAAACATCCATGCTCGAACAAATTATTTATATAACCGTTCTTTTTGTAACAACTAAGTCGATATTAGCAAAAATCTTCCTGAATAATTTCCTATCCAAAAGTGAAATGAATTAGAAACGAACAAAAATAAGGAAAATACAATGCCGGAAGTGACTTTACATTATGCTACTTATGTTGTGAAATATTTGATTACTTAGGGAAAAATCTGACGTACCTGTGTTACCTCTCAACAATGGCTTTAGACATAGTTGATGAAAATGAAATTTTTTTCATTAGCAAATCTTTGTTCTCAATACGTACGTAGATCTAAGTTTGCGTTCTTATTACTCCAATCGAGCCAGTTTAATTAAATAGTTTTAAAAAAAATAACAACATATTTGTTTAGTTGAAGTACAAGCGACGAGTGTACAAGATGCTTAAATTGGACGAGAAAACTCTAAAGGCTTTACACTCGAGAGCTAATCTGCGCCGTTTCCTCGAGCATGTGACGCACGCGCAACTCGACAAAGTCACCAAAGCGTGTGCTAAAGGACTCGACCCCAACTTCCATTGTCAAGAGACCGGTGGTAAGTGTAATTTATAAAATACGCTTTTAAGATGTATGAAACGAACTTAAACAGGCGGTGAATACTTATGATGTAAATCTCATTGTCATTGTCATTATGTACCATATACTAATTGATAATATTTAACAAGATATACCATAAGCAGGCACGATTGTCTCAATCGGTGGATGGTTATTGCTAAAAGATTCTGAATTGATACAGAATTCGTTTTTCTTATATACGTACTTTATATATATACGGCACTGCACTTTACAATCAAACTAAATTAATTGACTCTTATCTCAATGAGCTACTTGTCTCAATCATATTATCTATTTTGTGACGTCACATAACAACTGGATTCAAAAAAGCCGTCAACGATTACATTCATGGTGAACCACAATATCCACAGTCATACTAGCTGTGACATGGCTTAGTATTAAAATTTAGAAACAATCACCTATTTCCATATCCAATTTCATTATGAACAGATACAGTGAAGAAGGTGCCGTCTTGGTTTCATTCGTCATTTTGGACTCTATATTTTATACAAGACACGAAAAAACGCTGTAATGAAAGGTTTAATTAAGAATTTTGCAACGTGCTGTACTTATTGGGAACACAACGTCATTGTCAGTATTATTTCGATAATCTCTTTCCAGTACGTAACGACATTGTTAGCGAAACAGTACATAAATTCGATTGACGCACATCTCGAGACCATTTGCATATCGACCTCTTATCAACCATTGTTGTATGCGCCCGAAGCGGCTATTGTTATGTCGTCAATCCGTGGAAAATCCAAGATATATATCTCACTTGCCTTGAGACCAACCACGTCTAATTCGGGATTTATTTCCTTCTGTGAGTTATCTTCACAAGATACATTAGAATTCATCATAACAATGAAGAATTGAAAATCAATGGATTATGTCGCTAACAGCTCTTTTCAGATATAACAATAAAATTGAGTCATCTGCAAGAAGCTGTGAAGATATAGACATTTAAAAGTTATATGCCATAAATATTTCATTAATATAATTAACTCTACCGTGTACTTGTGAGGAAAAAAAATTTATAACAATAAATGATATAATAAAATTTCGACTAACTGTAGACATTATTGCTTTCATAGTAATAAATTTAATATGGATACTAAATAACTAACAGAAAGAAAATATGACTTTCCTAGAAATATTTTTATGCCTATCGTTCATTAATATCCAAATCGGTACTTTACACCGGTCCTTAATATATGTACAATATAATTAATGTCTAATATTTTGCCTTGAACGTTTTTCCAGAAACCCCATTGACAATAGCGGCTGGCCTAAAGTCCCCCGGAAAAGTTCTTATAGCGCTAGTCAACGGAGGTGCCTTGTTGGACTACAGAACCAAAGATGGCAGTACAGCTATGCACAGAGCGGTCGAGAAAAACTCACTTGAAGCTGTCAAAACACTTTTGGAACTTGGTGCTTCGCCTAACTATAAAGATGGGAAGGGATTAACTCCCCTTTACCTGTCTGTTACGAATAAAACTGATCCATTACTGTGTGAGACGTTGCTTCACGACCATGCGACGATTGGCGCTACCGATTTACAGGGATGGCAAGAAGTACATCAGGTAGGTGTAGTATTTAATAGAAATTTATTTTAGCCAGTACCTAGATACTTACATACCTTGTTCAGTAATAAATACCGCTTATGTTCTTAATCCTATTGTTCTTAAAAAATCAAACGTCCTGGAGATTCCAAATCACTTTTGAAATTTCATAGCTATTGCATTATTAATAAATTCATACCTTTTCTTTCACACTATATAATAAAAGAGTGTCGTCTAAGAGGGCTAACTGAAAGAGGGGTTAAAATGCTGATTAGTAAGCAAAAAACATCTAAAATTTAGAACCTTAACATTAGTTTATACAGGGAAACATTTCTGTGTAGTAGTTTCAAGCCTTTAAAATGACACAAATCAACAGCCAGCAGCAGGAATGCGGGACTTCAATTGAAATGTAATTTGACTTTCAAAAACAGTGGGATATCTTAATTAGGCGTAATTTTATATTCTACTTCATGAGCCATCATAGATTTACAGGCACACTATACCACCAGTCCGTTTCCAGGCGTGTCGTAACGGCTTGGTCCAACATTTGGACCACCTGCTGTTCTACGGCGCGGACATGAACAGCCGCAACGCGTCCGGCAACACCCCCCTGCACGTGTGTGCAGTGAACGCGCAAGACTCCTGCGCACGACAATTACTCTTCCGTGGGTGTGATAAGGAAGCGCTCAACTTCGCCAACCAAACACCGTACCAGGTACGCTTCGTTGCAAAACTCTAATATCCTTTTGAATTTTAAAAGGTCAAAGTGTGAGTGCACAAATCTTTTCACCCTTAAAACGAGTAATTGATGCCCAAATTTTGAACGATTTTTATAATCGTAATGGTAAATTCGAGTAAGTAGGTTTAGTATGGTAGTAGGTAATCATTTAGGTGATAGGTATGTTGTATCCCTTATGCGTCAACTACTCTTAAGTGATAATCGATTTCGATTAGAGAAAGTCGATCGGTAGTTATGAATACGGAAATTTCGTGTATTAAATAGAGTGGAAATCCGCAATACAGTTAACACCTTCTAGTCATACATAGAATTTACATCAACGGTCTACGAACAAGGACTTTCAGACTACAACAGTGCTCATCACAGTTTGTTTTATCATGTTATATTCGCCATTTTTACAGGTGGCCGTCATAGCAGGGAATTTGGAATTAGCCGAAGTAATAAAAAATTATAAATCCGAGGAAGTTGGTGAGTACAAGCCAACTAGTTCTACTGCATGGCTTTGCGGACGCTTCATATGATTCTATTACTTATTTATGACACAATATTTCAGTCAGAAGCAGATGCATTCGTAATTTTCCATAACAAAATCTTTTCGTAGGCACCTAGTTATGAGTTCGAAGAATAAATAGGTATAGGTATCTTAAGAAATTAAGTGCTGTTACTGACTGTATCTGATTATGTTAATTCTTAGTAATCGTGTTGTTTATTAACGATAAACAACACGATAAGCAAAAGCTTTGCATTCCTTAATTTAAATGTTACGTACTTATAAGTATATATTTAAGAAAATATGTAAGTATTTAGTTTATTGCATGATATCACCAATGCTATTTATATACTTATCTTAAGACTTTTCTATTCCATTGCTTATCATAATGGTGATGGTTGTATTTGAAGGAAAAAACGCTAAATATATCGCAAAGGTATTTATTCATTAACACTGCAATATTAACTATATATCGTTTTGTAAGTTTAGATACGTTTATTATACTTATTTTCACTTATCACACCCGCCGGGTGTTTATTGTTTGTTCATTTTAAATATTACTTTCCGCATTTATATTTTAGTAGTGTTTTAGTTTGTTTCTTTGAAGCGGACAGCCGCTCTATTAGTTTCGGTTTGGTAACGGAACGTTTACAGTGCCGTTCCGGGGTCCGCCACGGTACAACCCGCGGCGGCGGTCCGCGTGGGGGTGGGGGGGCGTGGCGGGCGACCGCTCGTCGCTGGCCTCGTCCACGCGCATCCCCGCCGAGCTGGACGCCCTGCTGCGGCGCGCCTCGCCCTGCCTCGAGCGGCCCTTCTCCTCCGCCTCGTCGAGCATCAGCGACGCGAGCCACCCCAGCCACGAGGACGACGCCAGCATCCTCACAGGTAAACACCGGTGACGGTCAGCCCTCGTGTGGTAAGACAACCATCACCATGCGCACCACTCACCGTCTACTCGCCACTGATAGTTACGTCACTCCTCAGTAGTCACCTTCCCGGACCCCTGTGAATGTAACTCGAGCATTTAACGTTGCATTATATAAAATCTACAAGAGAGACGTAATTAACGGTCGAACTCCACATCCGATGCATGTTATATGTGCCTTTCGTTGATCAGTAGATGTTATCACGATCCGCTTATACGCTTCGTTCTTTTCCGAAATTTTAAATCACCCTTTAGATGTTAGCTGATTAGGGTTAAGTCTATGACAACAAAAAAAAATACTCGCCTGAACAATTAAATCAGAAGTGTAAAGACACTTTCAATCTATATAAAAACACTGTATCGCAAATTTTCACAAATAACATCTTTTTTTTACGATCGATTTACGATACGATCAAAATATACAAACGTGGACCACCACCACGCACGTTCACTGTGAACCCACCGCGCACGTTCACCGCGAACCGCTGAGCAAGTTCACCCGTCAGGGCCGACGCCAATGTCGACAGATAAAAGTGCGGGCGACACCAGCGACATTATATCAGACTCGAGCGGCGTCGGCACCAGTAACTCGGACACGACCACGTGCTCGCTGCAGCCCGCCACCACCGTCGTGTGTCTGCAGCCCTACGAGCCGACGCAGCATGGACATGTCAGACTCAACCAAGGGGATATCGTCGAAGGTAAGGATTCAAGCTAAACTATCACTAGAATCTACTTTTAGAACCAGTGTTGTTGTAAGAGCGTCAGTTAAAACTAGTCATACTATCGGCAGGACTATTGGAACTATCGAATTTCTCAATACTATCGATAGAATATATTTACAGCACCATTGATTGATGATTATAATAATAAAACCGCTATCTAAGATTACGTGATACAATATGTAAGTGAAATGTATATTATTTTCTGTTTTTATCGGGCAATACTATGGATAGATAGCAATGACAATTGATATTTCGAGTAATTCTCTGAGACGCAGTAAAAATAGTAAATAGTATCACGATCATGATATTATCGATTAAGTACCGCTATCACAATAACATTGGTTAGAACTGAATGCCATCGATAATTTTGATCTAATACTCAAATATCTACGGACGGACAAATTAGAAGCAGAAGCAGCGTACCTCAAAATAGTCTAAGGTTAATGCTACGTTTTCTACTTAAACAGGTATTTGTAATTAATCTTCAGTGTAATAGCAAATAGAACAACAAGATATTGAACACGTCGACACGTAATTCCACAAAAAAATTAAAGCACAAATTAGTTTTTGTACCACAGTATTGTTTGCGATTTCAAGATTACGTTTATGATTTTACGTTTTATGTGAACGTCCGTAACATTTTAAAAGTTACTTATTTCTTATGCAAAATTATGGAGTATAATGATCTAACGACAAGTTTTCTCAAAAATAATGGATCTTAAAAATCAAGCATTAAAATGGCAATCTAAATACGGTGTATTAAATATCTATCAGGCGTATTGTGTCTATAACAAAACACTTAAATATTACATACAATGAAAAAATACATTTTATTAAATATTAATAAAACAATCCTTGATAAACTTACACGCGCAGCTCAAACGCAATTCAAATTAACTTTTCACTGTCCAAATATCATTCCATTTACATAAACTAACAAATGGGTTTTCAAACTACACTCACACTTCAAGAAGATATTAATCCATACAAAAACACATGACTCATACAAGTTCACAGTTGACTAAACATGATCTATAACCAGATGTGTCCATTATTAAAACGGCATAATATCACAAAATGATACAGTAGCAAGCGGTACAATTAATACTAACACATTAAAATACAGTCGTTTCAACGCTATTGCATTGCAAAATCCTATAACAAGTACGTAGTATATAATAAGTAAAATAAGAACACTAAAATTCTGTCAAGCGACAAGTATCATGATTCTTTTAAGTATTTAAAAGAGCTTTCGAGAACTAAATTCATACGACACTACATACTCTGTCTGCCAGTGCCTTGTACATAATTGTGGTTAAATTTCTTCGAAGATTTCTCCTCGGCTACTTATTGAGGCAAATCGTAACAAAACGTGAATTATCTCCAGTGACTGGCGCTACGGACGATGGTCTATTGGAAGGCACAGTCCGAGGATCTGGGGCCTCGGGTCTCTTCCCTTCACAATGCGTGCAGGAAGTGCGCCTGAGGCAGAACAATTCGCATTTACATCAGGTAAATAATATCTTAGTGCATTCACATATAATACAAGTCATGATGATGAAAATTTACAGTTTTCGTAACGGTTGTTACTTTAAAATATAGAAGTACTTAGAGTATAGATCATTTAGTACATAGTGCAGAGTTCAAGTGTTGGGACATCCGGTGACGGCGACATGATGCGAAGTACGTAAAATCTCGGTGAGCGATCTCAAAGTTTCAACGATTTTTTTTTTTTTAATAAATGTCTCGAGTCATTATATAAATAAAGCAGCACAAAAAAAGAACGCTGTTAATATACTCTTTAATATAAAATTTAGAGATTTTACATCTTTATGGTTGGCAGTCCAGGGGATTCTCAACTTCCGCCTCTCGCACCATATATCGAAAGCGTCGATTCTCTTCTTTACACTTCCTTTAAAATATTCCATGTTGAAATATACAAGAACATTCTGAGGTGTTAAAATATAGCCTAGGTCTATTGATGTTTCACAGCTATATAAATTTTCATCTGTTTCCAGGTACTAGCATCAGGGCCTGTTCATCATTCACGCGTGACAGGAAGAAGAGAAATGGCTCTAAGCAAAACATACAGCGCCACCGCGCCGAGAATAAAGAAAACGTAAGCGATGATCTGGCGTAGTCTTTCAATAGGGATACACGACAAATTTTTGTTTGTTTGTACGTCAGGTAGTTTGTAGAAAATATTTAACACGTATTTTTTTACTTTTTTCGTAATCATTTCATTTCGGAGATTGAGTTAAATGACACATGACGTCACGCTCTTGCATATTTTCTACAAAACTGCCAAGTTTAATGCCTGTTATCTAAGCTATTTCTTGTTAAATTGAAGTCAAAAATACGTATCCAATTTTATCGGACTGACGAATTACCTAAATAAGTAGAATTTCTTTCTTTTTTATCCAGTCGTCATCGCTATTGTAAATGGAATGTGACAATAGGTTTGATCTTTTGTAAACATAGGTAATGTTTGTCTATTCACTGTAACCATTTTCGAATTGATGTCGCTTAATGCAAGTTTGATGTCTAAAGTGAACTGTTAAGTGATATGTGTTCCGAAAAAAATGCCATTAAAATATTTTGTAAGAGCTGCCGTAATCGAAATAACAACCGCGAATAGGGATGATGACTGGGTAAAAAAAATACAATTCTATTTAGTCCGTCAGTCAGATAATAGAAAAATATTAGATACGTATTTTTTTTTTACTACAATTTAACAAGAAATAGCTTAGATAACAGGCATTAAAGTTGAGGAGTGGGGGCTCGCTACGTCACAGTTGAGTAGAAAACGTACTCTAACGTGACGTCATGCGAAATTTCAACTCAATGTAACGCCGTTATTTTATAATTATAAAATAATAAAAAAATACATGTTTAATATTTTTAAACACTCTACCTGACGGACAAACAAACAAAAATTTGTCATCATCCCTATTATTCATGAAATGTAAAAAACACATCAGCTCTATGAACCACAGCGGGAAATTAACTTATTAGTATATTTTAATATTTTTATAGATTCTTTAAGATAAAAAATACAAAACTAACAAATTGCATTATATAAATACTTATTGTTACTTAGCAATGAAAATGCAAAACTGATAAAACGCGTCCGTCAAAAATGCCAGACCACGAGATTAAGATACATCTTTTTGTTTCCTAAAATTAAAGACTAATTTACACACGTTTTACGAGCTCTGAATAGATACCTTTCTTAAGTTGATACTAGAAATCTTCAGAATAGCCGAAAATAGCATTATTACGAGCGATAATCTATCGATAGTATCGTGATCAGAGGATCCTGTTGTGCCTTAAAAGTCAACCAAAATATAGACAGACATTTCTATCAAAGCCCATCCATAAATAGTATTTATTGGTCATCTGTCCGTACGATTCATTAGTATAGTCTTGCTTAGAATTTTCCCACGACGACGCCTTAATCGGTTTATTATACATGAATATAGGCTGTATTACTCCATCCAACCCAACTCAACTCAGAAGCGCAGATTCTTAGGACTTTCACTAGCTTTAGTATCGCCTATTTTTTAATTTCTTTAGTATCGATACTATTATATACTGCTATTGCAACTTTCCGAAGTTCCATCCTATTTTTACTACTTATTTTCAGCTACGGCAACATGGAGACGCGGACAGTGGTATTGCACAGGGCACGTCGTGGCTTCGGGTTCGTCCTGCGCGGGGCCAAAGCGTCATCACCACTAATGGAGCTGCGACCGTCGGAACGATGTCCCGCGCTCCAGTACCTCGACGATGTAGATGCGGGGGGAGTGGCTGACCGCGCTGGCCTGAGGAAGGGAGACTTCCTTGTGGCAGTGAGCACATTTTCAATGTCCTCTTTTTTGACACATCTAGTGTGGTATCTAAAATGTTAATTACAAAAATCATAATACTTATTGTTATGAACTTTTATATATAGCAATGTTCATTATAATATGCATTCTGATTATGAATCAAATTATTCTTTATTTTCGATTCATCGTATCTGCCTTATTTCAAAGTTAGTTATTTGTCGTTTCCAATCATATCTGACCACAGATTCTATTATGCTATAGATTAACGGCGAGGACGTATCTGCGGCTTCCCACGAACATGTGGTGGAGTTGATCCGCAATTCGGGCGCTCTCGTCTCCATGACAGTTGTCTCGTTGAGCAGCTTCAATGGTTAGTATCAGAAAACCATAATATACGCTCACCAATCATCCTAACATCACCTTACATAATGTTACAAATGTATACTTTGAATTTCCATTTCCATATAAGTGTAGATTTAATTGTACAGTACATCTTAAGAAAAGCAGATACACGCCTCTGTAGTATATCACAATCATATTTGTAAATATAATCAACAAACTAACCAACCAAATAAAAAAAAAAATCACTCTACCCAGCTCGAAGGACCATATTTTGGATAAATATGAAAATAATGTTTATGTTAAGAGCGCACCACTCCCGACCCAGTCTAGCTTACTACTTAAAACATTGACACTGTCATCGTCAGGTAACTACGAGAACAACACGTGTACGGTGCCCACGAGCAAGTCTCAGAATCAGTTGTCCAGCACCGGCCGCCCCTACGCGGCTACTTTACCTAGAAAAGCTGCCGGCGGTTAGTCTCGACTGATAATTCCTAATATCGCTTAATAGACGTTCGCTAAACCGCTTGAAGTGTTCCGTCCGAGTTCAGCCGCTGAAGGACCAAGAGAAGACGACTCATTACATTTTAGAATACGATGAAATCCAAAACACGGGTCCTCCACTGACATCTAACAAACATAATTACACCGAAAACGGAAACTAACTAAAAATCAACTCCACCGGTCAGGAATAGATTTAACTCTCGATCATATCACGTCATCCCATTATCATCCGATCACTAATCTTATTTAATTAAATAACCTTATTTATTTAAATCTAACTGTCATGAGAATTTTTAATTTTAGATAATAACAACACTGCTCGATAACTGTTATGGGTCGCGTTTTTTAAAAAAATGTATGCAAAATTAATTTGCTAAGCTTGGGACGCACACATATTTGAATGCTTTCGCAATGATACATCGATATGTATAGGGTTTCTTGTGATTGCACTGTGGTTACGTACGTTTCAGGGCGGAGTCCTGCGCCGGCGCCGCCGCGGCGCGACCCGCGGACCACACTGAGCGTGGGCCGCGCGCGAGCCAAGTCTATGGTGGCAGGGTTAGGTTAGAAACAACACTTTTCGTACTCTTCACACTCCAGTTTCCAACCATTTTTGCAGAACGTCCTAATTTTTGGTGACGTCCTGGACAGATGTTTTTAGTTTGATATTACTGCATAGTATAAATCAAAGTCGTTTTATCTGTTCCTATATCCCTATGTATGCTTAAATAACTACGCAACGGATTTCGATGCGGTTTTTTTTTTCATAGATAGGATGATTCAGCGAAGCCGCTGGCGGAAAGCTAGTCAATAATAATATAATAATTAATCAGTTTACAATAGTTTTATAATAGTTATAAACATTATGTAATTAAGACTTGTCAGCCAAACAATGAATATTTATATTTTCTTTGTAATATTATAGAAAATGGAGGTGAGAAAGAAGAAAGTTGCGAACCCTTAAGTGTTGCCGGCAAGTCTTCCTCGGCGGAGTCCGTTCAGTTACACAACAGTAATGGTAAGTGTACTGCAAATAAAAACTTGTAAAATGCATAGTGTAGTTCTATTATAATTATTACAAATTACTTACTATTTACATTAGAGGTTCAGAGAAATAATGCCTACTTTAAAAGGTAATAAACGTTTTACATGATTAATCCTCTATATTTACTACAGCGCAATTTTCTTATCTGTATTTGTAACATAATAGAATAACTGTAAACGATTTATTTTGATTATTGTTACAATAATATTTTTTTTAATCTTAAATCGCCGCTGCATCTGCTTTGCGAAAACCATGTCTTTATGTGTATCAACTTGAAATTATATAAGTTACAATAAGATCCCAAAATCAATATTTATGCCTAAAATAGAAAGCGCGATAGTGTTTAAACTCATTGGTTGTATCAAGCACTTATTTTATGGCACTTGCCGATTCTGACAACTCTTTCCTTTGACTCATAAATCGCTGTAATCCAGAATTTGCTAAAACCTTTTATTATTATAACGATGCTTTAATTATTCCCAACAAGTTTAATAATTACAAGAAGTGGTAGGTATTATGTGTAAGCATTTGCTCGGCCTCACTAGTTAATCACTAGTTAATAAATAGTGCAATTTATAAACTACATCCATAACAATATATTGTTTTGTTTTGCTTATTAGCAAAAAGCCATAGGTACGTCATCTATTTCAACACTATTCTATGCAAAGAAACAAACAATCAAATTTTTCGTCTTTATAATATTATTAATTTTATATTTGTGATTATATGAATATATACCTACACAGTGAGCGTGAACGCGAGTGCGCCACGCACGGCGTCGATCCGTCAGCGCGCGGCGTCGGGCCGCATCACCGCCGCCGAGCTCGAGGAGCTGTTCCAGCGGCAGGCGGACGCCGCACCAGACATGTCAGTACACTACACCTTTACCAACCAGACATGTCAGTACACTACACCTTCACAACACTACATTACACTACACCTTCACCACACTACACCTTTATACTCTTTTCATTCTTCATGCTACTGTTTAATGAAATCTCTATATGATATAAAAAACACCTTCACAACACAATACTACACTGCACCTTCACAACACTACTACACTACACCTTTATACTCCTTTCATTATTCATGCTACTTTTTAATGAAATCCCTATATGACATAAAAAAAACACCTTCACAATACTACACTACACCATCACGACACCATACTATAATACTACACGTTATACTCCTTTCATTATTCATGCTACCTTTTAATGACATCTGTACATGACATAAAATCACCTTCACTACACTGTACCTTCACTATACTATACTACACCTTTATACAACTTTCATTCTTCATGCTACCTTTTAATGACATCTCTATTGACATAACGAAAGAAAGAAAATAAGTCCAGTCGCACTCATGTTTTTGCCGGTTTTTCTCAGTACAAGGTGTCCCAGCATAGTTTTGCGAACCGACGGCATTACTTCCGACTTTCACAAGTGCTAGTAATACCCTGTCAATAAATTATATTTATAAAAGAGGAGCTCGATGGCGCAGTGTTTAGCGTGTTCGTGTTCGTTAGTGATCGTAAGGACCGGTCATTAGATGGGTGATCAAAAATTTATTATCTAGAGTTAAGCCGTTAGTCCCGGTTGCAGTCGTTACACCTACCATTCACCTCACCTCACGCTATTCGAATTCATCCATAAGGAAGACCTGAGCCCCAGTAAACGGGAACACTACTAATACACTGGTGATGATAATATATAATCTCGTCTTAGGCAGCGATTCGCTGTTTCACTTCATTTTGAATCACTTTCGCAACAGTTTGTTATGGGATTAAAGAAAAATCTTTTTGCAAGTTTTCATCAGTAAAAACTTTTAAAGGTCTCTAAAAATTTAAAATATATAAAGTTTCCGAATCCAAGCGTCAAACGTACCACAAAATTAATAATTAATCATTTGAACGAAATACGAACGAAAACTAGGTGAAGCCTATTGGAAAAAGTGTTACGAAATAAAATACAACTAGCGCATAATAATCAGAATCGAAGTAAAACTAGCTTGCCTAAATCCCGCCCGTATACACTGAGCAGTCATTAGAGTTCAATTTATAAGTCGATATTAGATCATAATATGTTATAGGTATTTAATCAATTTTGCATTTACAATGCTATACTGAAAAACATTCGTTATTCAAAAGGCAGCATTTTTTTCAATTAATTAAGTAATCTTTAATTTATCAAATATAAAAATAAGAAGAAATTTTAATCTTTATCAAAAATTTAAGCTTTTGTAAAAATAATTCTTTCGGCTGTTTGGGTGGATTGCCTGCGCATTGATGAAAATACGCTCTGTAGTAGCGAAAAGTAAAAAGTGCTTGAAAACTCGTTAGTCTTTTTAGGTCCTAGGTAGCTCAGTAAGAGCTGTCGCCCGGATTGCGAAAGGTCATGGGTTCGAGTCCCATCTCAGAGTGCCAGGGACAAAGTGGACTTTTTAAACATTTTTAATTAAGAATACGTAATATGTGTTTGCAGCGGCGGTAACAACGCCATGATGACTCGTTCCGCGTTCCAAGGCGGGTCCAACTCGCCGCCGTACTCGCCCGCGCGCGTCAGCAACCGCGTGTACGCGTCCGTCGCTGAGATGAAACGCTCCAGAGGGAAGGTAAACATATACAATGGATTCAGATAATCGCACTGTTCTTACCGGTTAAGATTAGCGGTAAAATACAAATATCAACTAAATTCCCAATCAATTAAGTTAAAGAACCCCAACCGACTTAAATCGGTATTTCAACTATATAAAAAATGTACATGATCTGTAATTTAAGAAATTTCATCATGTCATTTTGATTCTCTATTTAATTTAAAAATAGATTCTCACAATCGAATCTGTAGTCGCGTAGACGTTCTTCTATTACTTAAGTAAAGCATATATTAAAAAAGAAAAAAACATGAAGTGACTTTTATTATTACTTCATTCAAATTCACGTTTAACCGTTAAAAATATTTGCTTACGATCCGGGCCTGATGCCGCCCTCCCGGGGCTTACCTACTTATCTACTTGACTATATATATAAGTGTACTGTGTGTTGTATAACTAGACGTGGAGCAAGCCGTGCACGAGTAGTTTACGTCGCGACTTCCACTCGACGCCGGACCTGGCGGCCGCGCCCCTCCCACACCCGCAGCGCACCCGCTCCAGCGAGGACGTGCACGGTCAATTACTTTATATTTATTTATTTTAATTTATATATGAATAGTAAATTCTCAAGGACTGCATGTTAAAGTGCACGGGAACTGTTCGCACGGTTTTATTTATTTATTTAAGGAAACAAACAGCCTTACACAGTTTAACTTATACAAAATATAATAGAGATAAACCTAAAGGTCCACGATTCACATACAATATGAATACGAGTCAATGGTAACTTGAGTATTTATGGTTTAGAATTAGGAATATTCACGTTCCACGGATTATTCGTGGGATACCTACTTAACTGCATAAAAGTCAGATTGTATAAAACGTTAAACGTCGTCCAAAAGAGTAATTCTCCTATGTGCCGACAACACAAGTTCCTGTGTCACAGTATATCATATAGACAGCAAGTCAGGCTATAATCCTCTCAAATTTCTTCACTTGATTTTAAATATTAATATGTTGAGAGTAGATTTCAAAATCACATACGGAAATTTGATTATTGTGGTAACCCGACGTCCAGCTGTATGTACGTTGTAATAAGATAGTATTTACTTGCCGCAGGTCCGGTGCGCGCGCCGCCCCCGCTGCACCCGCCGCCGCCGCCCCCCGGCGCCCCCGCGTCCACGTTCCGGCCCGCGGAGGGCGCCAAGCTGTACGCCGCGCCCCCGCCCCGCCCCGCCGCCCTCTACCGCACCCCCCGCCCCGACCCGCAGGTATACATCTAACGTAAATTCGTCCACTGTCCGACCCGCGGTTAGCACCAAGATATCCGCCACGCCCCTACCCCGCCCCGCACCGCTACTATCTACTGCTCCCCCCGCCCTTTCGATCGGGGCTCGAGTCGGCTTACTTGTTTGGTTTTACTATGCATGGCAGCCGCGGACGGTCCTTACAATATTGACAATCACAACATTTAATCCGTAAATATCGGTAATGATAATCTTGAGAGACATTGATCACAAACTTGATATCGTATGGTTCATTCACTCAATACTAACACAATTGGCGCTAGTGTCGCACATCAAGAGTGTCAAACAACACAAAGCAAAGATATTATAGATCAACCGTCCTACGTCCATGTTCAGGCCACATTCATCAATTTAATCCGTTGAAAATCAAGGTTAAATATAACAATTGCCATAATTTCTTTGTACTTACAGATACGCAAGGCTTCATCTCTACGATCTTGGGCGGGTCCGGCGAGACCGCAATCTGTTGACGAACCTTCCAACCAATATGCGCAACCCTTAAATACGCACAAAGGATTTATCAGACAGGTATACTTAGTTTTTACGTGAGATGATATCAAAGTTGCAAGAATTTCTTGTGTAAATTATAACGGCGCAAAATTAAGATTGAATCTCTTTATAGCGTAAGTTTATAAGGCCTGCTAGACACGTATTATTTTAGTCATATCCGTGATGACTTTCTGATAAAAATTATCTTTATTCTCAGAATTCGACTCCAGCACCACCTATTCCTGAGCCAGACTATAGTATGTCGGAGTCGGACGAGGAAGCCGACTCCAAGAATAAACCAGAGCCACCTCCACCCGCGGAGACTAGCGCCAACAGTAACGCCAGGTAATAAATAGACAATTCGTCCCGTACGAAGCTCTTTTATTTTCGTTATGACTTTTTCGTAATTCTTTGTCTTCATTTAAACGTATAGGTGATATTATAAGATTAGACTTTTGTTACAATTGGGCAATTGGCATTTTCAGGACTTCGATTTATGCAACAATTTACGAATACGCAACAATATATGAGAACGAAAACGAAATAAGTTGTATCTGATTAAGATCACGTAGCGTCCCAAGGTACAGTGATTTGCGTTTGCGTTTAAATGTGGGGACGTTTCGGGGCTTTGTCTTCGTGTAAACATTGTCATCTCGATCTATGTGGACGATATCATCGTCCATCATCATATCTTAATCGTCATAAGTATCGTAAGCTTTTAATATCTCTTCGCCTTCTTTTTTTCGACTCTCCGTGTCCGTGTCTAACATTCGTCAGTTTCGTTCATCCATCACGCGAATCGTTCACGCATACAACCGATTCCATCGCCGTTTCAGCGGGAGCAGCTCCGGGTCGGGGTCGATGCAGCACTCGTTCTCGGTGGACGAGATCCAAAAGATCCGCACGCGGCTCAAGTCGTCGCGGTCCTGCGGCGACGAGCTCGGCGGCGACCGCGACGACGCCGACAACTCCTCCTCGGGCGTCTCCTCCGACCAGGAGCCGGCGGCGGCGCCGCGCCGGGAGAAGGTCTCCTTCTGCAGCTCCGTCACCGTCAAGTCCTCCAACGACGTCATCAGCACCGAGCCCGTGCACTCGAGCAGCGAGAGCCTCGCGCCGCCGCCCATGCAGCGGCACAACTCGCTGACGCGCAAGCGGGCGGCCGCGGCGCTGGGGCGGGGCGTGGGCGGGGCGGCGGCGGGGGCCGTGGCGGGGGCGGGGCAGTCGCGCGGGCGCTCGGCGGCGGAGCGGCTGGGCGTGGACGTGGAGAAGGCGCCGGGGCGGCGCGCGCGGCTGCTGCTGGCCGCGCTGCCGCCGCCGCCCGAGGAGCCGGGCGCGCCCGAGCCCGCGCCGCTGCTGGCGCCGCCGCCGCAGTTCAGCGACCGCGTGCGCGTGGTGGCCGCGCTGCCCAAGCGCGCCGCCCGCCTGCAGTAGCCGCCCGCGCGCGCCCGCTGCCCGGCGCCCGCACCGAACCAAAGATTGTATAAGTATTCGCGAGACGGAGCCGCCGACCGTCCGGCGCGGCGCCCTCGGCGCGTCCGTCTCGGATCCCGAACCGTCGGGGCCGTTCTCTCCTCCCCCCGCAACCGAGTGCCATCGCGTCTATGATTTAAAGGATATTTTTGTATGTATCTGTAAATATATTTTTCTGGGGCCGGCCGCCGCCGACGGGTCGCGGCCGCCCGGCCGGCCGTTCCGGCGTGCGTTTCTCCCGGAACGCCCGTCTCTAATTTATTTATCGCTCCGGCGCGTTCCGGTCCAAAGATTTATCGTAGCTCGGCCGGTCGGCTCGCCCGGCGGCGTCTCGCCGGCCCCTCCCCGGTGTGTTCTCGTCGGGAGCCCCGCGCTCCCGATATCGACCGCATTAGCATCTCATCCGTTCCATTGTATGATGTAATTTTTTATACTAATCGAAAGCATCCGTGCATCATTTAGATAGATATAGATTATATCGCGAATATAAAGATGTCGACTTGTAACACCAATTTTAACATTTTTTATATTTCCTTGTATATTTTGTATATCTAAATTTACGAATTAGACCCTGCGTGCATTTATTTAAACGGGTCATGATTCGTGTGAGGCTGATGGTTCTCGTTCGACAATCTTTCTAACGTTACATTTGTCTTTTTTTAAACTTGATCACTTTCTATCGACTTTAATTCAATTCAGATGAAGCTCCCTTCATTATTTTATTGCATATGAACGTTTGTAATAATTGATTTACTCTTATGCGGTGACACAAATGTATTTTTCCTTTGATAAGTAAATTTTAATAAAAAAAATGTAACAGCTAGAAATATTGTTGACATGAAAACGAAAAAAAAAACAGCCTTACGACGAACACTGCCTAACTTGAGAATGCCTAATTAGAATTGAGAATTTATTATTCGCGCAGCCAATATGTACCTTAAATTCAAATGCATAAAGTTTATTTTTCACTAAATATACATCTTATAGATCGAATAGCCAATAGAAGAGGAAAATAATAATATTTAACATCAGAATATTAATATAATTCCTTTGAATGTTAATGTTTAAAATGCTAGAGAATTATAGGGATGAATCGAGTCAGTTGATTCAAAACCTTCACTGTATTATTATATTAGCACAATGAAATTATTTCTATTATTATTATTCAATGTATTATTTTGTTATTATTGTCTTGTCATTACTTTAAGTTGTATAAATGTAATGTCTACTTAAGGCATAGCTAGGTAGTAGTAATTATAATAGGGCAATATTTGATTCTAATAGAAATAAAATGAACGCCGTATGATCGAAAGTGAACCGTTACAGATGAGATCAATTTCCGATCTCGTCAACGTTGGAATAAAAATCTTTTTCAAATGTCAAGTGCATTCCTACCGTAACGAATAGCACCGAAGTTTTGTAAATTATAAATACCATTGTGTTTTGCATTTCATTTGAATCTCAGTATCGAACGTGTAATTACAACTTGGTATACTTTCAAATGAAAAATTAAATGTTTCATCACTAATGTATGCTTTTAATTAATTTTTGCCTACATACATTTATTACATTTAAACTTATCACACAAAATGGACGGACTAAATTACGTAATCACATTACATTGTAAATCAAAAATATAACTTATGCATTAGAGATAGTGTCCAAATAAGGAGATATGTCCTCTAATTTTACAAGCCTGCGATAGTCGACGATCTCGCCGCACATTGGACATTTGCCTTCTTCTTGGAGGATTCTAAAACAAAACCACCTCATTAAATGCTTGGCTGAGAGTAACTGAAAAATTTAAACTATGAAACTCAATTTTTATAACTCTTAATTTGGAAGAAAAACGTAAACATTTAAATAATTATTGATATATGAACATTCCAAATATTAAATACACAAAATATAATTAATCCGTCAGTCTAATAATGGAAAAATATTAGATACGTATTTTTTTACTTCAAATTAACAAGAAATAGCTTAGTTCACAAACATCAAAGTTTAGGATCGGGGGCTCGCTACGTCACAGTTTTGTAGAAAATGTACAAAAGTGTGACGTCATGTGACATTTTAACTCGATGTATTGCCGTAATTTAATGATTACATAAAAAAATGAAAAAAAAAGTGTTTAATATTTTTCAAAAATCTACCTGACGAAAATAAAAAATAGTCATCATCCCTGTTAATTATTTTTTTTAAAATTTCAGACCTTTTAATTGGTTGCTTTTTTTTTATTTATATTAAAACATCTACCACCGTCTTCCGGTTTATATACCTTGGTTTATTTATCCTGTTCAAGGTAATATTTTTAAATTCAAAGCTGACATTATTCAAATCGGTGGTATTAATAATGCTCCTTCAAGCATTCTAATGTATTTTGTTATTCCTTTTTAGGGTCTCGTGCCCAAAGGGTAAAAACGGGACCCTTTTACCAAGACTCCTCTGTTCGTCTGACCGTCAGCAGGTTTTTATCTCATGAACCGTGACAGTTAGACAGTTGGTTTCACATGTGTTGTATTTCTGCCGTTGATATAACAACGAATATTAAAAACCAAATAAATGTTTAAGGGGTACCCATTAACAAACGCGATTTTTTACGTTTTTATAGCTAATGTTACGGAACCCTTAGGCGTGAGTCTGACTCGCACTCGGCAGGTTTTTTAAACAAATAGAATCATAATTAAATATAAACAAAACTTACTCTACAAATTCAGTCATGATTGCCGGAAAATCACATTCCGGGCAGGCCGTCAGGTCGTCTTTAACGATATGTAAACCCTATAAAAAAAAGTAAAATTATCACACAATTGCACTAGCACAATAGAATCAACAAAATGAGAGTCCCATTTTATCTTGAAATCATAAATCGATATTATAAAACTAAAGAGTTAATTCGTTTGGCTAATCGCTCTAACCTTAGGAATTTATGTGTTGAATAGTCCATTTATATGAAAATGGAAGGAGAAGTTTGTATAGGGAATTAAAACGTTACCATAGTAACCATTTTTACTATTCAATTTGTCATTTTAATTATATCTGTGTTATGAATCAATATCCAAAATTATTTAAACCGTTTATACAGGAGTAAATAATCTTGTAATTTTGTATGTTTGTTACATCTTCACGCAAAAACTACTGAATGGTTTTTATAGAATTTTGTATACGGATAATTCTAAGCTTGGGTTAACATATATGTCGCTTGCGAAGCGGCTGGCGGTAAGCTAGTATAAGGCGTACTGAACATCTGCAGTGATATAACAATGGTACTGACAGAGGCGACACAGAACGGCAGGTCGGCCTCGCAGCTGGGACAGCTGAGGTCTGCGGCGGGCACCGGCCGCCCGCACACCGGGCACGGCGTCTCCGCCCCCGCCCCCGCCCCCGCGCCCGCTCCGCCGCGCGGCAAATGACGGACCACGCCCTCTATCTTCTTACTGTACTTCGGATCAATCTGACACGAGATCAAAACATCCTTTTATTTATATAAGCCAACAAGGAAACCAATAATCGATGCCACATTTAATAAATATATTTTATCAAAATATCGTAAAACACTGGTCTACGTAAACACAAAATTAAAACGTCTTAGATGTTCCTACTAATTTTTTAATATATAAAAAATAATCAAATAAATGTAGCTTAACTTCCGAATTAATGCGGCAAAAAAAAATACGTATCTAGTATTTTTCTATTATCTGACTGAAGGACTAAATAGATTTTCTTTTTTTTACCCAGTCGTCAACCCTATTATTTTTTACATACTTATAACAATTATTACGAAAAGTGATTGGCGGTATGTGAAATCATTTATTTAAATAAAATAATTAAACAGCGCATACGTTGGCCGGATACAAAGTTAAGTAGCTATATTATATCATAGAAATCTGGTACAACTAAAACACCACACCACCCAGACACGAAACAATTTAGAAACGTTCATTTTCTATAGACGACGCTCTAAACCGCCATGCGAGCTACACTGCTGCGAAGGATTATGTGAATGCTTACTGAGCTACCATAAACCTTAACGAGATAGTCTAGTTTATGAAGTGACTGTTTCTTTTGATACTTTATCACTATTGGGACGTATTTTTATCACTATTGGGCAATCTGCCTAATGCCTCTGCCATCGATGTAAAATCAAGAGTAGCTTTAAAACGTGAATTTTGTAATAATTATCTTTTTTATATTATCACAGGTAATTAACGGAATGCATCGCAACTATAACTAACTGAATAGATTTAAAACCGATAATTAAATACACCAATTATTTAATCACTCAAATAACTAATCAAAATGACTCCTCGTACTGTGAATAAATAAAGATAACTAATATAATAACAATTAGAGTCGTTATAACTCGAACGGTTGCCCGAATGTCTATGACACTGATACTAAACAGCCAACAATAATTTAATTGCTAATTTAACTTCCCATTAAGATATATTTTTTTTTACTTTTTCTATAACCTTACCTGCGATCTGTATTCGGGTTGCATCAAAACTTTCGCCCAATGATGCGCTTGTTGTTTGATACCGGCACGACTGCACTCGATCACGGCCGATGTTAAAATGGACACTTGATCTGAACAATATAATGAAATTATATTAATGGCAGTTAGAAGAATAGATAATTATAGACTAATTTTATAAACATACAGTCATTATATTTGATCAATTTTGCATTCACAAATTACTGAAAAATATTCTTAATGAAAATGCCTAAAAAATCCACTTTGTCCCTGGCACTTTGAGATGGGACTCGATTTCTATCGACTGTTTGGGCTGTCAGTGTTTAGAGAAGTCATCCGGAAAGTGCGAAAGATCATGAGTTCGAGACCCAGTGGCGGACTAACGTAACCTCATTGGAGTCCCGCGTCGACACATTTTTTCAACCGGGGCAGAAACTTGTTATTGCATTTACAACACCCCTGCCCCCACCTCGGGCACCACATTTTTAACTTGACTATATTATTATGATTATGGCGGATGCTGCAGCCATTTGGCCCCCCAGGACCGGATACCCCTCCTTAGTCCGCCACTATCGAGTCCCATTTCTGTGTGCCAGGGACAAAGTAGATTTTTTAAGCATTTTTCGTTAAGAATAACGTACAATCAGTTGCACAAACGTACATTAAGGTTTAAGCTAAGACGACTTTAAGCTCTGGTGAATGTTCTAAATATCAAAATTTGTATCGACAGTTAAGCACATCTCAAACCGTACCCGAATAATCTTAAACGTCACATAAACAGGTTTCCATTTCTATTTAAAAAAAAATATTGACCAATTTATAGCGGTTTCATAAAAACTAGAAGTTTTTTCTTAAGTTATTGAGAATAATCAGTTGAGGTTTTGTACTTTTCTTAATTCAGAAACCGGCCGTTTGTGGTTGAAACGCTGGTTTTAAGGTGGCATCATCTCTGAAGTTCCAGGTTCGATTCATGGCAGGGTAATATAGAAAACTAACTTTTCTACATTGTCTAGGCTATGAGTGGTTGTGGTAATTCCCTTGCATCAATTTTCAATAAAATGTGATGTTAAAAAAAAATAAAAAAGACTTACGCTGTTGAGTAGGAAAAAAGGAAACGTCAGCAGCCAATCGCAAGAGAAGTCGCGCTGCGAGTTCATGTCGGCCACGCTTTACGTGCGTTCGAACCTACACAAGTATTTCAATATTATTGTAATTCTCACACACGTCAATTAATCTTATAAAGATACTGGTTCAGCCGGAGTATTCGCTTGTATTTTAAGCATTACAAAACTGCGTCCTTGATTTGGGCATTTCACTTTAATTTAATAGTTCAGATTTGATTTCTTTTAATTAATATCATAAATTTGTACACTATATTCTAGATTCTCTTCCAACATTAAAGAAAAAGGTTCGTAATGTAATACTCGATTCGCTCCTCACTTATATGCTCCTAATTAGAGAGCACCATCCTATCAATTTGATGAGTTTGATAATGTTTTATGTAAAACTCCCAAATAGTTTTTAACTAATGGAATGTATATAAAGTGTAACTTGTGCATTAATATAAAGTGTAACGTTTAAGAGCATTTTAGACTCAAGACACATTAAAAGAAAGTTAATTTGTCTTTGTTTTTTATCCTCTGTTGTATATTATTAAAAGATAAGAATAAAGTGAATTTAAAAAGCCTTATTGCATTTACAAAACGTTAATCTTTTGTTTGCGACGGCTGTTATGTTTACAAGTGATCATAATTTACTTGATTCCAATTGAATTTGAAAGCAGTTGTTGAAATCGAATCAGTACTTTTAGAATGTCCATTAATTATGTTACACGCTGTATGGTATTGGGCGTTGGGCGTTGTGCGTGTACCAGTATGTAGGTGTGCAGGGCGGCGCAGGCGCGGCGCATGTCCCTGGGCACGGGCAGGGCGCGCGCGCGCAACGCCGCGCACATGCCGCGCGCCACGTCGCGCGCCTCGCGGTACCGCCCGCGGCCACACTCCGCGCCTACTATTATCACCTGCCGTCCGACACACAACGGTTAGGGATGCCGATTACGATTCGATTTTATCCGAAATCGATCTTTTTGAACTCGATATTTATTTTTGAAAGTCTATAAAGAATTTATCATTTGTTTTCCTCGTTAGTTTAATAAAAAAGATGTAATCTAACCATAATTATTATCAGTTTATTTATTTTTTAATGTTTTTTGATTGGATAATACCCTGACAATTTACACAGAAAAGTTTTTTAAAATTTTTGAATGATCGATCGTTAGCTCAATGAATCATGTTAAATGCTTCGTTTCGAATAAATTCACAAGATCGATTTTTTGCTATAGTTCGGAAACCCTACAAACAGTCACTCACGAACAGTTAGATCACGAACAGAAGATGACTGTAAAGAAACCGGAGACAATTACATACAACTCGAACCTTGAAGCGGTAAGATGTAAATGGTATGAATTGATAGATTTAAAGTGATCTGCCGTCATCTCCCTCCCAAAAATTCTGTGAGTTTTGACAATCTAGTTATTAAAGTGTCAATGAAAGCGTTCAAGTTTATTGAGTTATTTCTGAAGTACAAAGATATGTTGTTAATTATATTCTTCTTCTAGTTACGTTAGGATCACAATCCATCCTCCTTAACCATCCTTAAGGAAGGCCTGAGCCCCTGCAGTAGAGACGTAAAAGGGCAGATGATGATGATGCAAATCCGTAAAACTAAAGCTTGTGTCGTTAAAAAATATCAATCGATCAGAAAAACATTTAGAACGCAACACCTCTATGAAACTTTTTCTTATAGTGCCTCTCCTACTAGCGAAAGTTGGCTTTATTAATTTAGCGAACTCCTCTCGATATTTGGCAAGGAGAAACAACTGGATTTCGCTCTGAATCTAAATTATTTAATATTTTATGGTAGTCTTATATTTCGCCACTTCTTAATTGACAATCGAGCTGATTTTTGGTATAGATACAAAAATATTACTGTTTTGTTGAATCATAACTAAATCGAATTATTACATTTTGGCCCATTTTCCGTCTCCTCTAATCATCAGAAATTCATCCTTCAATTATTTTTCTATTATATAAACAGACAAGCGCGATTTATCAGAAATCAGCGAGTGGCATCATATATATTATACTCGTATCATTTATATAATTAATTAAGATGTTCTTACCGCAGTCTTCGCCGCCTCCGTGAACTGTCTTCTCGCCATATACAGTCTGAATAAATGTCGAGGTTCTCGAGGAGTTCCATCAGTTTCTCCGAGTAAAAACTCAATCAACCTTAAAAATAAATGCTATTTTAACTTATATTGATTTTATTAATTGACTATCTGAATGAATTTATCCCATGGGTATATTTGTCTTTTAGGTTCGAACTTGGCTACCATATGTTTCATAATAGAAATAATGTTTGCGTCCAAAACTGATTAGCATTACGGTGATTCAAAATGTATATATTTCATCAAGCTCACCTTCTCGACAGTCGCTCGTCATCACTCGCCGCAGCAGCATCTATAGCCACACCTATAGCCTCGGTCTCTTCCTCTTCAGAACCACCAGTCTTCAGCAAATGCGTCATCGCTTTACTGTATTCCCCCGCGTGAAAATAAAACTTCCCCGCCAACAGATGATTCTTTTCACCTTCAAAATGCAACGCCAGACTCTTGAAATCTTCTGGTCGAGCTTGCGACGTCTGAATAAGAATCTCCCCGTACAAATGCAGTTTACCATTCTTCCTGGCCAATTGAAATGCTTCATCATAACATAGGGACATGACTAAGAATTTAATCGCAGAAGTTGGATCATCACTGTTTTGGAAATAATTAGCGACCATTTTGGCGCCTTGCACTGATTTTGTTTCCTGAACCAAATTCACCGCTTCATCGATATCGTCGAGTTTCTCCAAATTCAAGCGTATAGCGGATTCAAAGTCTTGAGCTTTCATGTAAGACTTCAAGGCATCAGTGTATCTGCCCTCCGCTTCTTTGGCTTTTGCGTATTGTATGTGAATGCTGGGCGAATTGATTTTAGGCAGCAAAGCCTCAACTTTGAGCCATGATTTCAGTTTTATGTATAGAGACGCTGCTTTCTCTGTGTTCCCGGCGTGATCGTAAAGAGCTGCCGCGTGGCTATACTGTTTCTCTTCTTCGAGAAGTTGAGCGCATTCTTTTAGAAGGGCAATATCATACGCATACTTCATGGCAACAGTAACACCTCGCATGACGTCACCGCAACGGATGGACATGCGAGCGATTCCAGCTTCACACTTAGCATTATGTTCCTTTACCTTTGCGTCATCGGTATTGTTAGTGATCAAACTTTTTTCATAATTAGCTAGAGCGTCGTGATAATCGGCACTGTAAATGATTTTTTTTTTAATAACGGCGTTTTTATATCATATCTTGGCTGATTACACTTGGACGATATGGAATTTGGGTAAATCACAAAGTGTAAATTAATAAGTTTTAATTAATTCACTAGTTTTTGGCTAATGTCCTGTAACTTCATTTGGAGTTTCCGACACGCTACTTTTCATCATCACTGCTGGGGCTCAGGCCTTCCCAATTAATAGAATCAAATCAAATCGAATAGAGAGAATGGGCCATAATAACCCACCACGCGAGCCCAATGCTGATTGTAGGGTGTTAATTACTGCATATGCAGCCGGGACCAACGGCTTAACGGGCCTTTTGAACCCTAAATAACTAATAATAGACTAAATAAAGCTTATATTAAAAATCCGGTCAAGTGCGAGTCAAACTCGCGCATGAAGGGTTCTGTACCGGAAACTAGCAGAAAAATCATGTTAATTTTATTTGATCAATTTTGCATTCACAATGCTATACTGAAAAATTTTCTTAATGAAAAATTTTTTTCACTGGTATTCCGAGATTAGACCCATCTCAGAGTGCCAGAGACAAAGTGGAGTATTTAAGCATTTACATTAAGAATAGAATCACATTTGTTGCATGAGAGCTTCCTCAAATGTTTATTTTATTCTGATCTTTAGCATTTGTTGAAGTTGAAGAGGCAACAGAAATTCATCATAATATGTGAAAATTTCAACTGTCCAACTTTCACGATTCATGAGATACGTATTAGTAATATGGATCCCGTTTTACCCTTTGGGTGCGGAACCTTAAAAATGATAAGTAGATCGTACGTGAGGTCTTGGTGTTGCGCCATGTTGAGTAGTATGTATGGCGCGCGCTTGGGGCAGTGCCTGGCGGCGAGCTCGTACGCGCGCGCCCACTCCCCGCGCGCCGCCCCCAGCTCCAGCGCGAACAGCGGCCCCGCGCCCCCCGCCCCGCCCCCGCCCCCGCCCTCCACCCACCGCGCCGCCGCCTCGCCCTTGCCCAGGCACGCGCATATCACACCGCTGTACGTCAAATTATCGATCACTGAATATGGCGACTTTATCGATTTTTTAAGTGTGGGCGTAAAGACAAACGACGAATTGCAAGTCATAAAGTATTTTAATGAATTGATTGCATTGAAATCCTCCGCTCCAAAGTTATGTAAAAAAGAGTTTTAAATAAAGGTTTCGAGCGTTTGCCTGTAATGTTAAATTTCACAGATATTCCAACTTATAACTTGTTATGACTTGATATTTTTGTTACTTTAATAAAATATAACAGCTTAATTTTTGATATACATTTCATTTTCTTGCAAAACAGAACCATATATGCTCAGTCTCTTTAATTTTCCATTGTTTAATTTTCATAATTGGATCACTATTTTTAACAGATTTCAAAAAGTAAATTATATATTTTTGTTCTAAATTGAGAAACTACTTTTAACCGACTGTTCCGTATTTTTCATTAGCTGTAATATTATAAATTAACACAAAACATTTATATTACCATTTTATTTCAATAATGCAATGCTTAGGCTCACAAGCCCTAAACAAAACGCATCATCGTGCAAAACGAAACGTATCTCTTTACGTTGTAAGTGCTGCCACCTATATATAAAAAAGAGAGAAGAAGGTCTCCGATCGCCGCTCGCAAAGCAGGCGGCCATATTATAAATATAATATAATCCATTTCATAAAACCTAGTCAAATTCAAGACAAGTGTTTGTTGATGAAAGTTTTCAGCGATCTAATTATTGAAGCAGCTACTTACTAGGGCCCTGTTTCAAGATCAGGAAATGTTGTGTACTTGGTAAGCGAGTTGATCGCATTGCTAAACTTTCTTACACACCGACTTCAAAAGAGGCTTTTTTGAATTTAATTTTTTGTACAAATTTATATTTTAAATTGCCGATACTAATACTATTACGTACCACAATATAGGTAGTTCTTCTATCTGGGAGGCGTCTTCTAACGCCCACACCATAGCGACGTCGCTTAGACGTATGTATACACGTATAGCTAAAACGAAACAACTAATTAGTATTATATTCGATTAATTTTGCAATCACAGTGCTATAATGGAAAATATTCGTAATGAAAAATGGTTTAAAAAATTAAAATTGCCCCTGGTACTCTAAGATTCCTACCCACGTCCTTTCTCAATCCAGACGACTGCTCTAACCACAGAGTTACCCAGGTCCTAACAGGATTGAGAATTGCCTGAACATTAATGAAAATACACTCTGTATTAGCGAAAAAGTAACAAGTGTAAGACATATTAGCATTTAAAAAAAAGACGAAATTTTGATTTAAGTGGAATTGGCCTTCAGGTGTCATGTTATTTCCTTCGACAGACGCCAGCTTAATGAGACTTGGCCCTAGACAAAACACTAATTTAGAAAACACTATTAAAGGGTGTAATTTTACCATTAACAAAAGTAACTAATTAGATATTGCTGGTCTGGAACTTTTGTACTTTTGTATACCGCGCGACATGGACTCATGTTCAAAGAACAAACGTTTATTTAAGTAACTGCATTTTTATGGTTCAAATAATTTGTGCAAACAATCTATTTGCCATTCCATGCCGCTCCCTTAAATACAAGCCCCCGACAGTTGCCTAGTTTGCCTACATGGACGGGCCGGCCCCACGTTCGGCTAGTATTGTTTCTCACCAAATTCTACGTTGAGGTCAGCGAGTGCCGCCTCCCCCAACGTCCTCCAGAGGTCAGGTTCGTCCACGGCATCACAGAACAGCCACGCCTCACTGAACCTCCTAAGCATCAGCAGTTTCTCCACGTGCTTCTTTTGGTTCGTTATCCGGCGATCACCGTCTGCGTCCGCTAGACCGGCAGTATTGTGGGAATCCAGTGATATTTTCGTAACGCTGAAATGTAAACAGGGGTTTCAGCTTTCGGATAGGCTACTGGATGATTTTCAGGCCGAAAACGAACATTTAACTTTCAATGTACAAAAATGCCTATACAAATCTGTCAAATATCTTCACTTGATTTTACACCTTAATGCTTTGAAGGTATATTTTAAAAACAATTGAAAAAAGTTGACATATTGTGGCAACCTGACGTGCAGCCGTGTGTTCTAAAATATTATAATAACATAACCTCAAAATGCCTACTAAATATACTCATTTTAAATTACCACGTTAATTTCTAATGAATCTAGAGATAAGTTCGATGCTCAGTCAGTCCAAAAATAAACTGTAACGCCCCAAGGGTATCAATTTTTAATAACACAATGAAACGCACAGATAAGTAAATGCACAAAAGCCTTTAATATGAAAAATGAAATAAACTTATATCAATGACTAAAATTCTTAACACCGCCATTTACACAAAACTATAGCGCCATCTATTAGAAATTAATTGAACTAAAAATTCATAGTAACATTTTATACACTCTGCTTTTACAGATGGTATCGATAAAATACACTGTTATGCTAACAATAGCTCTACTACATTTCATTTACTTTTTAACTCAAACTGAGTAGCTCGGTGGTGTAGTGGATAAGCGCCGCGGCCCGCGATCGTCGAAATGGGTGACCAAAAAATTATTATCTCGAGCTATTCCGTGCTTCGGAAGACACGTTAAGCCGTTGGTCCCGGCTTCATTTACAGTCGTTAATACCCTCCAATCCGCATTGGGCCAGCGTGGAGGGTCATGGCCACTCCTCCTTAACCATCCATAAGGAAGATCCGAGCCCCTGCAGTTGGTATTCCATATTATACTAATTCTATTCCTACCTGCCACCAGCCACATAACAGAAGGCGTCGCCGGAAAACAATATGAGCGGTATTTGATCCGCAAGTATGACCGTAGTGGCCACGTAGTCTACATGCGAGCCGTTGATGGAATTGGCGGCGTAGTAGTAAGTCTCGATCGCTTCATCCCGGTGAACTATAAACACGTTGCGGTCTGACAGGCATATGTCCCAAATAACGCCCCTGCGAAAATACTGTTTGGTCAGTCAGTCATTTATACAGGTTAACTTTTTGAGATATTCCGAACTACATACAGAGATTTTTGGAAAAAAATGTAAAGTCAGCAAAAAATCTTTTCGCATACATTTTTTACTGAAAAACTTGTAGGGACACAGAATAAATGTATTTAGCTGACTTAACATTTTTAGCTTGCTCGCCAGTCGTTCTCCGTCACACCTAGCGCTAACTCGTAAATAACTGTTCAGTACGCACATAGTTTATAGACTATATCTTTTGTAATATATATGTGCTTCATTGTTTATGATCAATATAACTAATTCCAGTGCTAAATCTTAGTGTTTTCATTTACAACCTTCTGATGGAGTAATATCCGTTCTAGTAGTGAAAAGTGAATATCAAATATCGGACAGAATAAAGAGACCAAAGTAAAAGGAAAGTTCGGACAAACTAAAAATCGCACACACAAGACAGATTTGATTTCTCGTTATGTATGGGTAAAGACGTGTAGTTCGGAGGAAGTAATCGTGGCTTCGTAACAGCAGAGTGGACGGGGATCAGTTGTTTCGCCTTGCCATAGACCGAGACGAGTTTTTTTAGTCAATTGACAGTATTGCGACTGCAGATGTTAACTAACTTTCGCTAACTCCGGTTGTTTTATGGGTCAGTTTTTCTTCTATCTATAAGAAATGACGTAAGCGGTGAATTATATGGCAAAGTTGTGGTTATAAATGAACACGGCATAAACCAAAATATGGATATAGTTTAAACGTACTACGATCAAGTCGTCTGCAGATCATCACATCTAATGTTGAAGAATCATTTTTTTACACTCAGGGAAAACGCAACTTTAAGCGTTAAACCAGGGGTCGAACAGCGGCTAGCGCATAACTCTCCGTTTATCATGTTTCGGTTCATTATATCAAAAGGAACTTTGAAAGATATCAGGTTGACACACGATCTGTGATCAGACCAATCAAATTGGTCTGAATTACTGTTCCTCGCTCTCATAGGTCATCGTTTTATTGACCAATGAAATGAAGCAACAGAGGTCGCCCATGCTCCGGTTTTCAGACCCCATCGATCAGTATAACTGAGCCATAATTGTGATTAGTCTTCTAACTATGATCTGCCAGCCGGACAGATTATAATTAAGGCTTCAGTGATACGGTAAAGCTTGAGAATTTAACATTTGCGGCATGAATGTTTCACCTGAGATCCCACGGGGAGTCCCCGGCGGGCGGCACGGGACACAACTCGTCAGCGGCGGGACAATACACGTGCAATCGTCGCCGCTCGTCCGATATGCACGCGCGCGCCCCACCTATATCGCAATATACTCCGCGTATCCCACAACTATGCTTATACCGCATCGACGTCCGCCATTCTTCCACACCGAAGTATTCGATATGACCTTGCTAGAATATTAAATATCTATAGTTATTTGAAAGCTTCAATAATATAATAAACAAACAAATGCTAATATAAACTTACATCGGTGACGAATATGAAAAAGTCACTTGTGAGGTGTATATCAACAATGTTAGCACCCTGCATATGTGGTTCGGGAAATATAAGCGCCTCCCTTTCCGGTTGCGATGGATCTGGAGAGTCGATCTGTTAACGTAAACAATAGGAAATATACACCTGAAGAAGAAATACCTAAAAGTTGAGATCCAGAACTCAAATCTTACTCACTCACCTGGGTCAAAAGCTGAGTAAGTCGATTACACGTTAAGCTGTTTCTATTCGATTTATGCAGACTTTACCACTTGGTTCCACGTGATAATATTTTTTCCATGTGTTTCTCTTATACAGCAGGACTGCCATAGTCAAGCATTAATAGGCTGCTGATAAGCCAACTCAGTAAGCAATAATAATATGACTTACTGACTAAATAATAATAATATCAACCCAACAGAATCGTTACAACATTTGAACATTTTACATAAGTATAGATAATATATTTAACTCCTTTCTAAATCAGACACCTATTCTCTATACAATAAATTATTTAAAAATATTGCAGTTTTTTATCCTCGATGGGCAGTTACGAGAACCGACGAAGTAAAATGCCACATCCCACTTAATTCAATAATTTTTATCGTATCATACATTCAAACATACCGCATGCAGCATCGCTCGTCCGTTGAACAGCGCGGCGGCGTAGTCGGCGGAGAGTCGTATGGCGTGCACGGGCCCGGCGTACTGGCGGCGCGCGGCGGTGCCGCCCGCCAGCGGGTAGTACCACGCGTGCGCGCCGCTCACGCAGCACACGTGCGCCGCGCCCACCGACAGCAGCGACGGCTCCGTCGGCAGCGCGTACGTCGCCAGCGCGGTCGGCTCCGCTGTTATATACAACTCCAGTAAAATACTAATACCCGCGCGACGTCATTTGAAAATAGGTTTAGATAGCACAAAAGGCAAGGGATAAATGATTAATTAATCATCGAATAGAGTTTTAGTTTGTAATTTATTGCGTGCTTTTTGGTATTATGTAATGTATACGTAAATATTGAGATATATGGAAATGGAGAAAATAAGAAAAATAAAAACATTTCCTATGTAATAATATTTTTTAATGAAATCAATTTACTTTTTGTGGAAATCATAATAACAGTCCTATTTTAATCAACCGTAACAAGTAACAACATAACTTAACAATAACAATCGAAAACAACAAAAAAAATACAAAAATTATGTGTGGTCTCAACACAACCGAACTCAATAAGTGTACTCGTCAATCAATCTTTATTTGTTAAGGGTACTGAATATTGAACACAATTGCGTCACCAAAATGGCCTCCAGGCGCATTATCAATTTGTGAGGATTATACTACTAATAGAAAGAGCGGTAGGCTGTAGTTAATTAAAGACACACAAAATAAAGAGACAGACAGTCAAGTAAAAGCAAAATCATACAAAATTCAAATTTAAAATATAAAAAACACATATCTAGTACATTGGTATTAAAAACACGTATATTTTCGAAATAAACATATAAGCGTGACGGATATAATTTTAACAAAATTATAAGAACGATTCGAAATATTCGTTCGACTACAAATAGAATCATGTCTTGTTAATTCGTTCTAAGGTACTGTCGCCTTTTTATCACCCACCGTTTCCAACACTGGAGTGCTAAAAATCTAATTGGCATATATTTTAATAACAGTCCACTGACAGATAAATAAGGTCAAGACAGTACAGTACCTATATGACAGTACTTTACCTGTTCGAAATTTTACGTCCACACATAGGTTTATAATATGGGTGTGAAAGTATGGATAACGTAATTTTACAAGAACAGAAACTCAAAGTAATTAATCTTCACACGCAGGCAAAATTCTGTAAAAATCCGAACCCGAAATCGAGTTCACTCAAGTGTCTGAATTCACTCCGAAGCGACATCCGCTTAACTTGGATTACTATAAAAATTCTATTGATTCAATTATTTGTATTAAAATACAAAACAAGATTAGCCGATTCATACGTGTCTCAGATATTCTATCCCCGTCATTTCGTTACTTGCGAATGGTCAAGGTTAAGCGGATGTCGGATTCTTACAGAATCGCCCCGCAGCTCACATCTAGCGGCGTCCGAGTCGTGCAGCGCTATACACTGGTAGACGGTGGCCTCGGTGAGGCTAGTGAGCGCGATGAGGCGGGTGGCGTGCGCGGCGTGCAGCGGCGGCAGGCGCGCCACGTACACGCTGAGCGTGGCGCGCCCGGACGCCGCCAGCAGGCGCCCGTCGCCGCTCCAGCGCGCGCGCTCCGCCCCGCCGCCGGGGCTCACGCAACCCACCACCTCGCCGTTGTTCCATACCGATATCAACTTCAACCTATTTTCGAACACTTTTTTCTTCTAAATTCGATTTAAAACTATCAACACGATAAACATATAAAAAAAAATAAAATAAAATAGTTTATTTCCTTAAATTGCATACATATAACAGCAATGTGGCCAGAATCACCCAGGAAGTGCCTAAAAAGCGCTTGTGTCGGGTGGCATATGCATGAACACTTTATTGTATGAGTCCCGTAAATTGCTAATGCGCTAGTACCTTGTCGAAATAACACCGGCGTGACGTCATATGAAAATAGAAAGTGTTGATAGCACAAAAAGCAAGAGATAAATTTATATTAATTATTGAAATATTTATGAATAATCCCCAAATTATCGTTATAAAGGACCTAAGGACTGACGAATTTTTCAAACATATGTATACTTTTTCGCTTCTAAAGAGCATATTGCCTTCCCTATGGTCATAGGGAAATAGGTCACGCAATACTCTGACAGACCAAACGACTGCAGATGCAGCCAAAACCAACGGCTTAACGTGTTTTCTGAAGCATGGACGACAAAATTTGTAAAATTATGTTCACCCGACCTAAGCAACGCAGACCACACGCGCTAACTACTCCGCCATCAAGCTTCTCCACTTCTTATATACAGAAATTTTATTTAAATTTAGATAATTCGCAATTTTTTGAGCACCTTACACAAGTAATGTTGAAAGAGCCTATTTGTTCCCTTGGGGTTGAACATTTGTCAAAAGGTGAGGAAGCGGTGTCTTTAAATAATTATAATTTGATGATAAAGTATCAATTATACCTATTATTATTTGCAATAAGTATAGCCAAATATTATCAATTTTATTTAAGTATGCACTTACTGTCCATCGCCACACGATGCAGCCTGTCCATTGCAAATAGCGATATCGGTAAGGTTGTCCTTATGATTTTTAACTTGGAACAACTCCTCGCCCACCTCCTTGATGTGGGTCGAAATGGCTATGATGAAACCAGCACTGAACCCGATCAATATGTACCCATCACCATACCACTTGTATGTTACTATTGAACCGTAACGCTGTTGGAATGCCAATTCAATGGGGTTTTCTGGATTTAGAAGGTTGTACAAATAAAGTGTTCGTTTTCCCACTATGAGGCTTATCTACAAAACATTATAAAATAAGTAACAAATTAAATATCGGTAAAACCATTAAAACAGAAGACGCAGAAGCTTTACCGTATTTTCTCCAGCTACTCGTTCATCAGTTTTCATTTCAGAAAATTGTAAATCATTTGGTGTGTCCCGGAGTGATATAATACGTAAAGTGTCTCCATCAGAGTTGTTAATAGACAAACTTTTATCTTCAGACGCGAGGACTAGAATACTATCTTTGTTCCAAGCTGCGCACGTGATTTTCTTTGTATGTTTTCCGATTATAGGTATTCGCCTAGAATAAAACAAACGTGTTTTATTAATTGCACTCTAATATGACGCCTTCTCCCTTCTCCATGGAGGTACGAGTAAAATTCTTAGGTAAGTACTAATAACTTTTCTGAATGGAAAGACTGATAGTAAAGGGCTTCGTTGAGGGCAAGAGATCAAGAGGCCGATCACCTTCAAGATAGACAGACAGACAGACAGAAATCAGTGACGCAGACTGTTATGACTTACGAGATTTACAAGTCGAGCAACTGACCGAAGAATAATCTTGTACGCCATCAGAACAACCACCACGAGAAGAACTCTGTCAAGAGTGCACGATTGAGAAGCTTAATTTTTAAAGTCTCGGTTCCCATGCTCTCGTAGCCTTTATCAAAGTATGAGTAATCTAACTTGGTATATTTTTATGATCTTGCCTAAGAACTGTCAAGAGTCCTTCTCCCTTTTCCTCATAAGAAAATATTGAAACCCTCATCCCCCCACATCGTCTTATGTAATTACTTGATGAATTAATTATGGGTATTTATAAGGGTTGGTGCAACTCTAACGAAAGTTCACTCACATGTCGAGCGAAGGTACGCGACAGAATTTCCGTAGTGTGCCCCTGCCATTATTTATCTTAATAAGTTTAAGGCATCGTTCTGGACGCCTGCGTTAGCGGTGCCAGTGGTGACCGCGGTGCAATGCCCGATCACACGACTTGTTACTTTGTATGAACCGTTCTGGACGGCAGCGGGCGGGGAACGGTCAAAGAGCTATCCGCGCCAATCAAGCGGCGATTGCGCGACTGAATGTTGTCTACTACTGATTTAACTTATTTTAAAACGTAAACGACATTTAAATAAGTAAAATTAATAAACAAGTGATTAAATATACATATTTCACACTCTGATCTTATATTATATTAAACACATAAATTGAAATAAGTGATCTGACTGCTGTTGTCAAGAACGGAATCTTAGGCTTATGTTAATAAACAGATATTTACTTTGAAGTATGATGATTATACAATGCCAGGTTGCCTTTTTGTGTTCCAATGGCTAATAGAGGCTCTCCATATGCCCACGCTAAACATGATGGGGGTTCTCGAAGACCTGTCTCGATACTTATCCTCTTGCTAGCATGACACTCCCAAAGTAGCACAGAATTGCTATTTGGGGTGATCACGGCTAAGTAATCACCATCATTATCCCATTCCATTCCAGCACAAAGTCTATCAAACAAATATTTGTTTAAATATAATTGCATTATGATTGTTTACATTATTTAAATTTATCAAAATTACAGTAACATCATCATCCTTCTTTCCCAATAGACAGAACTCATGATGCAAATGTGAAATACCTTTATAAAATTTGATATTCCAGTATGTTGAACTACTAAGGGCACATTGTGGAGATCAAGAACTGGAACACCTGGTGGTGGCGTGGCAAAACAATTCTAGCAATTGCCAAAAATATTTGTTCCATTAAGTGCAAGTCTGAGTACATTACAAACTAATAATGTACTTTCAACTATTACAAATCTCTTTTCTGCTTATATTCACAGCAAATTTTTTATATTAAGAATATGTGGTGTTCCAGCACCTGACTTCTGCACTGATTACTGAGTGATGACTTAAACATACTGAAATATGAAGCTTTTGCACATTTTTGTCATGATCTCTGAAACTAGAACAATAAATAATACCTAAGTTCTAATAAAATAACCAACTCAAAATAACACAAATAAAGTACCCCTGTAGTTTCATTCTTTCCAAGAGCTGACCAGAACGATCATATATTGCAACTGTTGCATCTGTGCCAGTGGTAGCAAGAAGGGAACGAGCCTCGCCTTTCTGCCAGACAAAATACAGCTCGCCAAGTCCATGAGGCTGGTCAATAGTATATAATAACTGCAACATTTGTAATATTTATATAATTTTCAAATAACATAACTATCAAAGTGCCCAACTACAAAACGCGCTCTGATGTTTGTTCATGAATTATAGAATATATCAGTTATAGTTCTTAATTGAGTGCTCAGGCAGAAGTAAAGATATTAAATAAAACATTCAGTTTTTTCATTTTTTTTTTTTTATATATATTTTAGAATTTTCATATCTTCATTAAGGACTTAAATACAACAATAATTTTATCCAATTTCAAAAATTTATAGTCTATTTATAAATAATAAAATAAAAAATAACTCACTTTTGGAGTAGTCATATTATGTTGGTGAATATGATAGCTGATAACATAAAACAAATGTATACCGAAAATTACTTTTGTTTCACAGAAACCTGCAGCTGCTTGGTTCAATAATTAACTCAACAAATAGTTAACAAAAATTAACTCTAATTTTCTTTAAAATGACTTGTTTACATTTTTAACACATTGATTTACACTGTATTAAATTAACAACCCCTAGATATTTAAACTAGTAAGTTTACGGTCTAATTATTATTTTCTATAGTTTATTTTGATTTTTATTAAAAAAAAATACTACGACTTTCTGATTGCATTCATTCAAACTACATTTTCGCGTTGCCCAGCAACGAGTGTTGCCATTCCATGTCAAATATCATTTATCTGAACTAGTTTTTATATGTTCTGTATGTCATGTCATATCAAAATCGTTTTTTTAATAATTTTTCGGACATAATAAATATTATGAATGTCATGTCATATCAAAATCGATTTTTAATTATTTTCCGGACATTATAAATGATTATGTCAATATTAATTAAACCATGTTTTAATTTATTCATGAATGAAATAATTACACATCTAAACTTATCTAAATTAAAACTTGGCATACATCACATATATTTATATACATATAGTAAAAATAATAATGATCGTGATTGAACTAAAAACACAGCTGAAAACAATTAAGGCTGGTTTTAGTTAAGGTTTTGGTATTACGCGGGCCATCCCCTATATATTATACCAAAGATTACAATATTATACTGGAAATATTATACTACTCTTTGCCGCCCGCGCTGACGACTATATAAGAAAAAAATAATACAGTAGCGCGCAGCCAAAGAGTAGCGTTTTAAACAATTTTGTGACGCCATTTTGTTTTGACAACTTGGATAGATTGCGTTCTAAATCTAAATTATTTCTGATGAATCTAAAAATATTTGAATATTGCTTAAAAAATATTGTACGTATAATAATAATAAATTATTTATTTATTATTTGTAGAAGATATTCAGTATGTAGTGGCGACATCTAAAGGCATTTTGAGAAATTATAACAAAACTTATTTCGGGATCACGGCGCTAGATAACGCTACCTTCTATATAGAATTTTTCTAGTCTGTAAATGTCATACCCCTGGCTAATTTGACCCTGGTTAATAGATACCTATTAAGTCTGTGGTAATAGTAACTGGTCAACAATGGATTATTTGTTACGAAACACGAAATGAGTTTACGACTCAAAAAACTTTTGCTAGATAAGGTTTGTAATACTTATCTACTGTGGTAATACCGATATCTAATTGATTTTATTTACAGATCCCTATAGACAAATGTATGTAAAATATATTTATTAGATATATACCGCATTCCTTTTATATTGATTTAACTACGTTTTTACCTTTTCATAGGTTATTGTCTTTTAAACAATAAAGAATTTATATTGCAATTTTTGTATCATAAAATGGTATGATTTTTATTTTACAGGTCCGAGCCTGTTACACTAATAAAACACCTGTACTTAATAATTTATATATTTCATATAAACATGATGAAAATAAGTTTCTTATCAAATTGTTCCAAGAAATTGAGCAACAGGGAAATGAAACAAGATATGGCAAAACGGAAAGTAAACTAGAAACTTTAGAAGTAAATGTAGATAAAGATACTTTTATTAAGAATGTCCTGTTTAAAACGTCACCTGAACTTACCTTTGAAGCGAAACCAAAACATATAGTTATTGATTTCAGTTCTCCAAATATAGCAAAGCCTTTTCATGCTGGCCACCTAAGATCAACTATTATTGGCAACTTCATAGCTAATATCAATAAATATTTCAATAATAAAGTTACAAAAATCAATTATTTAGGTGACTGGGGAACACAGTTTGGTATTCTCCAATATGGATTACAAATGAAGAATATTGATCTTGATGAATTACAAAGTGATGCTATTAAGAATTTATATAATATCTATGTATATGCAAATAAATTATCAACAGTTGATGCAAGTGTACTAGAGCAAGCCAGAAAATACTTTGCAGATATAGAAATGGGTAATGCAGATTTAGGGAATTGGAGAAAAATTAGAGGTATAACTGTAAAGGAACTAGAAAATGTTTACAGTAGATTAGGAATACAATTTGATGATTATCATTGGGAGTCTGATTATAATGGAGGTGTCATAAAAAAATTGATGAATACATTAGAAGAGCAAAACATTATCAAAACTGATGACACAGGCAAAAAAATTGCAAGAGTTAAAGATAGAGATGTTACAGTGCTGAAAAGTGATAATTCTACTTTGTATCTGTCCCGTGATATAGCAGCTTTATTAGACAGGTATGACAGATATAAATTCGATAAAATGCTTTATGTGGTTGATAATGCACAAACAGATCATTTTACTGCTCTGTTTGATATCATGAAGAGAATCAATAAAAACTGTGTGGAAGGATGTGAGCATATAAAATTTGGGAGAATCAAAGGCATGAGCACTCGCACTGGAAATGTTGTTTTTTTGAATGATATATTAGATGAAGCCAAAAAGAAAATGCATGAGCAACAACAACAGTCTAAAAGTAAATATAAAGCGATTTTTTTCAAAAAATTGAATTTATTAAATTTTACAGTCTGTCAAGTAAGAGCGTGGTCGTGTTAATTTATAAAAAAAAAATTTTTTATGTAACTTTCATATTTATATATACATTGTACACATTACAAACAATGATGCAATTTGGTCAATAATGTGTCCAGTCACCACTGGCTTTGATAATTGCCTGGCATCTCCGAGGCATGCTTTCTACTAATTTGACGGCGTATTCTAGTGGCAAGGATCTCCAGATCTGACGAATTTCGACTTCAAAGTATACGTGCGTCTTCCATGAAGCTTCCGTTTAATATATGCCCACACATTTTTAATAGGGTTTGCATTGGGCGACTGCGACGGACAATCCAATGTAACGATGCCAGATTGAGTCTTCCACTGAGTACAGAGCTTGCTGCGGTGTTTAGGATCGTTGTCCTCCTGCAGAATCCAATCTTCATTATTTGTGATGAATCATCGTTTAGCAGATGGCAGTAAAGCCTTTTTGTAGATTTTCTCGGCATTTAGGTTGTCAGTAAAGAGGTACAAAGTGCCGAATCCCTGCTTTGAGAAGCAGCCCCAAAGATGCACCTTTATTCCATGTTTTACGGTCCGCTGAACAAGCCTATTGGTGGAAGTTGACCAGGCTCGCGTGAGGACAGAACGTGCCCATATAGAACATTCATCAGTAAAATTGACATTTTCAAAATCTCTATCAATATTCTCATGCGCCCAAGCGAGTCGCTTTGTCAAATGTTTTTCAGTCAACAGAGGCTTCTTCATTGTGTTGCGCCATTTCAGATCATGAATTTGAAGAAAGGTTCGGATAGTTTCGTAGGATATATCTAAACCTTTTGCCATTAATTTTGCTTGTCCTTGCCGCAGTGTTAAAGCAGGATTCCGCAAAAACAGAGTCACTACTCTTTTTTCATCTTTTTTATTCACTTTTCCTATCGAACCACGTTCTGGTAAATCATCGACATTTTTAGCCACTTTATATCGCTGTATCCACTTCTGTACAAATGCCTTCGACTTTCTCATATATTTCTTTCGGGTGGATGCAAAGAAATACAGCCTCGTAGCGCGACGCGTACTTAGCACTCATGGCGTTTCGTGATTCTCTTTCAAAAGATCAACGACAACTGAACCTTTGTTGACAATGAAGAATGTTAACAATTTTTTTTTATTAGCACTCCATATTCTCTTTCAAAAATAAAAAATACTACTGAAAGAATTACTTCGATACGACAATTAGTTTCCGATTTAGAAGTAAAACAAGTTGTAACCGCACGACGCGGGCTGCCGGTGACGGTGTGACGTCATTGCACAACACGCACAGTCTGGCTCACTTAGTCCGCTCGCAATAGCGCGCCTGTATCGTCGAAATTTTACCTAAATACTTTTAAAAATGTCCAATCCAAATATTAGGAAATCATGTGTTGTGCCTAAATGTAAAAATACAACTACTAATTCGTCGGGAAAGTTGTTTTTTATAGACATCTTTATGATAAATAGACATCTTTTCAACCTCTTTTTTTTTTACATATAAAATGTGAAAGAGAACACTGTATTTAATATATATAACACTTGGTAGCAGTCGTTGAAGGCTCTTCGCTTCGACGATGTAGCCATATTAAAAATGCTACAGTATGTTAACAGCCACCTCTGCTGGCGGCACAATCTTCGCAGGTTACATTTAATACTTCTTGATCCTTTTCATTGCATTCTAAACTGCAATGATAAGGTGTGGTACGTACGCGGTGTTCTGGCGTGATTCTACATTTAACCGTACATACATCACCTACTCTTTTAACTTGAACATAACCAATAGCATCATTGCCATAGCTGTTTCTTGCTGATCTGAAATAAGTTTCAAATAAAAATAAATAGCCTTAAGTATTTTATTAGTAAAAAAATACTAATAAATAAATAAGGTTTAGTACATCTGTTCAAACTTCTATATTTGCAACAAAAAAATAATTTAATAAAATGGCCTTAAGTATTTTGTAAGTAAAAAAAATACTAATAAATAAAAAAGGTTTAGTACATCTGTTCAAACTTCTATATTTGCAACAAAAAATAATTTAATAAAATGGACTTACGTATTTTGTTAGTAAAAAAAAATACAAATAAAAAAAGGTTTAGAACATCTGTAACGTTTAACCCACTACATCTACATCCTAGGTACCTATCCTACTTCCTACTTATATTATAAATGCGAAAGTTTGTGTGTGTGTTTGTTTGTTATCTTTCACGCAAAAACTACTGAACAGATCTGGACGAAATCTGTAATAACACATAGGCTACTTTTAATCCTGGGAAAATGTACAGCTCCCGAGGGAATCGTGGGCGAAGCTGCTGGCGGAAGCTAGTTTGCAATAAATCTAATACAAAACTATAATACATATTTGTCTTTAACGTAAAAATTTAATGGTAGGTAGGTACTTCTACTATTTGAGTTGCATTCTTCCATTGCGACATGACATTAGTTGCGTATTTTGTTTTGATAAAACAATTTAGAACAGATAAACTATTAAGCATCAATAGTAGCAAGGAAAGTTTACTTACCTATGCATTTTTATTCCTCGCATTTCGGCGGCAACGAAATTACTATTTGTTAATATATAATGCGCAACTTTTAATCCATCTATTTTATTTAGATTATCCGATTGCCCTTTTTCGAATCCTTTGTCTATTTTATTAATCGAATAATATTTAATATTATTAGACTATTAACTTAATACACGGGCGAAAACAACAAAATACTGCGCAAGCTATTATATCTACTATAACCGCTGGCGACTTGATACTAAGCGGGGCACGGCGCGTTGTGACATGACGTCACAAGCGGTCACGTGGCTGTTAGCGGGATTCGATATTTTTCGAAACTTTGAATGCATATAAAATCAAAATTACTAGGTATTTTTGACTACAACAAAAACTAGTGTATTTGTATACATAAGGGCTTTATTGAGACAAAATTTCAAGCGATTTGGCATACCTAGTAACATTCTTCATTCATCAAGGACAAAGCTTCCCTCTATCGGCTCGCGAACGAAGGAATTAGAGCGAAATCTTTCATTAATTGTCGGTAAAGTCGACCACGCTCTTACTTGACAGACTGTATATTAATATATTTTATCAATTTTGCATTCACAATGCTATATTTGTAAAATTTTTAATAAAATAAATTTATGTAAATTTTTAATAAAATAAATATCAAGAATTTCTAACAGTTAGAATCTAACTACCTATAGATTGTTACTTGATTTTTGTCATCATGAGATTTTAATGCAATCATACATTTTTAAATTCTAGATACAAGAGCCTCAGCAATGAATGATAAAACATGTGAAATATTGGGAACCACTGCAGTAATCATTAATGATTTAAAACAAAGAAGACAGAAAGATTATGTATTTGAATGGGATAAAGCCTTACAAAGTGAGGGTGATAGTGGAATTAAATTACAATACTTACACTGTAGACTTTGGAGTTTAGAAAATAACTGTGGTTTAACATTACCTGATGTTTGTGAACCAAATATTTTGACAGAAGAAATTGTAGGTGTTGTTGTAGCAGAGTTAGCTAAATTTGAAAATGTTTTGAGCCGAGCTCTGAATGAAAATGAAGCTTGTATTTTAGTGAGCTACCTTTTCCGATTAGCTAGACATGTGAATAGAATGTTTAATGAGTTGAAATTAAAAAATGTGGACCGTGATTTGGCTACCCAGAGATTGTTAGTGTTCCATTCAGCACGACTAGTGGTTAAAACAGGTCTTGAAGTATTAGGTGTGCAACCTTTATATGAAATGTGATATAACTGGAAATAAAATAAACTTGAAAATAATAGATATTTCTTTAAACCCTAATCTCTAACCCTTAAAGCAGCTGTTGATCAAACATACAGTTAACAGTAAATCAGATCATTGAAACTTCATACCAATTTCCCAGGTACTTATTTGTAAAGTAACTTAAAAGAGCGCCGTAAGTCAACAAGGAAAAAGATACAAAAATAAAATTCTGATAGTTCTCCAAATCAAAATAGATGTCGCTATACAGTTTGAAGAATTAAAAATACATTTAAATTTTCTTTTTTGAAGTAGGTACTGTAATAATCTAAATTGTGTTTAGAAAATTATTTCTATTAACTACACATTTCAGTTATTTATTAAGCTTTATTGCACAAACAAATAATGTACAGTGTGTACTTGTAAAGGAACGGAAATTTCTGTTAGGGCGCTTGTGCACTACACTGAATTTTCAGGTTAGGCTTGTCCGTTTTTTTTCCTGATCGGAGCGGCGCAGTGTAGGGCAGCTCTCTTTGAAGCTACACGTCACTTACGTTAGGTACAATGAGATTTTTGAAACGTCGGTAATTGCGTTCGAAGACGTAGAAAAGTACCTACACCTAAATATTGACCTGATCATTTTACATAAACCATAATAAATTGAGGCAAGACGAAAGCATTTCTTTTACTACTATCAGATGTAACAATAGGGTATTTGACACTTTTCTGAAAACTATTTTAAATCGTTGTTTGCTATATTATAAACACACTGTCATAATATTTCATTGGAATCTTTTCTATTTTTGGAGAAAATAATTGTTAAAATTTAAATAGCCAAAAGCGCGCGAAAAACGCTGCTCTATGTAATGGCGCTGATCGTGACGTCACAGGCCAGTAAATATGTCAAATCGATAAGTAACAACTGACTTTAGAGTAAATTGAAATAATAATTTAGAAAAGAAATTGAAGTCGTAGTGCGTATTTTTTACGTGTTTTATTTTACTCTGCTTTCGTTTTCTTTTAAAAATGAGCTACAAGTGGTGCGTAGTGCCACAATGTACTAATACTAATATAAATAACAAACAAACTTCGAGTCTAGAAGAAAATAGATTCACAATCACAATAGAATAGTCGCTATATAGATGGGTGATAAAATTAGGTAAGAATTCGCTAAAAGTATTGAAACTTTTTTATTTCATATCAGATCATCAGACAGATGGATGAGACATTAGTACGAAAAAGAGTGTTCCATTTTTTTTATACATGCATGTAGTATGTCTGTCCACTAAATGCATGGCATTTGATAATTAGATATCAGATCCCGATGATTTTTTAAATTAGTTTTTAACTTGGAGAACAGTATATATCATCAAAATCGATTTTGTAATTTTGAATTATTATATTAAAGTTCAAGAAATGAGAAAAACATGTAAGTTGCTCTTTTTTTAAATTGCTGGCGTTTTCCCTGTTTCTTGGATTTTTTAAAAAGCTTAGTAAATGATTCTTTTTTTCTGTATTTCTTTTTGGCAGTTCTTATCAGTATAAGCGGCAAAGTATTCTGTTATTAATAAATTACTATAAAGTACTCGATTCCTACAGGCATCGATATTTTGTGTATCTTTCTAACACTACTTTGACATGACAGGTGATGACGTCACAGGCCAGTAAACAGAATCGTGATTGGTTGTGACGACGACCAATTATAGGACGTTTTCGTCGTTGAATAAATTCCTAAAAATATTGCATTTTCTTTACGTTATTTTACTAATTCTAAACATGTTTTTTCTGCAGATGTTAAGAAATAAGCTTTATTAGATTATTATCTATTAGGATGACCACAAAATGCAACTTATTTTCGATAGTGTCAAATACCCTATTTATACCCTTACTAATTTAGGAACAGCATTATTCACATACAATAGTTAAAAAAATCTGTGACATTAGAATAAAATTACTGATAATGGTCTAGTACTTGATGTGTAAATTTATAATTTATAACGTGCTATTTTTTTTTCAAAGTTTTGTAAAAACAACTTTAAGCGATGACAGAGATAGACCAATCGGTGGCGCCATTTCGTAAACAAATCGAAATTAGTGCCGTGTAAGCGGAGTATTAATATGCTAAATGAACTTTACGAGATCAGTTGACTGTATTATATATAGGCATAATTTTATACGCGTGGTGTAGTTTCTTTGAGCAGAAATATTTTTCCTTAGAATACTTTTTATTTTTTTTAATTTATTTATGACACAAACAGTCATTTCAAATTTTATTACAATATAGACTTAAATGCGAAAAAGACATCGAGTGCCACTTAATTTCTTATATTAATCTTCTGTTTATTCTTTATTATTACTTCTGTTATCAAATGTTTATCTATACTTATCATTTGTCTAAAAATATTTTGGTAATGATATATTTCCAGGCAAACTATCATCCCCTATTTTTCGCGATAAAATGTATCCTATATCCTTTCTTAAAGTTAAGTTTATTTACTATATTAATTTCCATTAAGATGGGTTCAGTTGTTTAGGCGTCTAAGCGTAACAACACTTATTTATCTTACTTTAAGTTATCGATACTTTTAATACGATTCTAAAATCTAGCTCAGAACGGATACTAGAACCATACGCTGATCAAATTAGAACTATACCGAGTTTGCCAAAGCATATGCAGTGATATTTACCAACTATATTAAATCATCATATAAAATATAGCATTTTATAATCTACAATAAATATCGATTATAAGTTTATTGAAAATTAACAATATCGCCGAAATAAATATCGATTTTACCCATATCGATTATTTTTCAGCAGTGCACAAGCGTAAGCACGTTTTTCATTGCTGCCATCACGGACCTGAAAAACCGGTCCGGAATAGAGAAAAGTAAAATCTCGGAAGATAAAAACCCTGACAGTGCACAGGCTAGCATTACCTATATATGGCCTGACATATCGGACCGGACAAAATCGGACCGCCAGACCTGAAAATTCAGTGTAGTGCACAAACGTCCTATATGTATAATTTTCATAAAATATTTTTTTATTGGCAAATATTAGCATAGCCTTTGTAAGTTCATAAACCTTTTGTAGACCTAGCTTCATTTGAAAGAAAATACAAAAATACTGATCCGATTTCGATAAAATTTTGATGGAATCCCTTCAAAAATATAATATTTGAAACAAGAACAAAATCTTTAGAATCGGTCAACGTACTATTGACGAAGATATCATGGAAAATATGAATTTTAATATATTCTTAATATGATAAGTTATATTCAATGTAATTTGGGATTATTTTATTGAAGTCAATTTATTTCCGTGATTACAAGGTAATTGCAATTATTTTATTGTTAATTGATTTATTTTCAATTGTTCCATCATTTTGATACACTCATTTAATGTATTTTATAGATTAAATTAAGTCAGTATTATGTATTTCATTTGATATAATATTTAACCGCTTAGATTACATAATGCCAACTATTACTTTAGTTTTGGACACATTCTACTGGGTTATAGTATATTTGTTTTAATAATTAAATTTCTTTAATGAGAGAGTATTTAAAAAAAAAGGACTTAAAAGCATCTCACTAAATAGCGACTCTAGCAAAAGTTGATTTTTGCAGGAAACCAATGGACCAAAAATAGTAACTTCCGTTCCTTTTAACTAACATATTAAAAAACTGAAATTTGCAAAGTTCGAAATTTTGATATCAATACAATTACCAAATCTGCAAATGGAATATGAGTTGTTTATTCAGTTTTTCAAATTAATTTCCTTTTATACATGAAAGAAAACCGGAAGGGTTGTCTTGGTGAATTTAAGAAAGTACCGTAGTGACTTCTAGTTTATTTGGGGAACTAATGTTTTTTTTTAAATACTTCTTCATTCATGTATATGACTGTAATCTGTAATGTGTTGCAATAAAAATAAATAAATATATATTTGACGTAATTTGCCCAACAGATTGCGCTTGTTTGTGCAATTATAAGCTTGTCTTTATCATTATTTATCAACCATAGATTTATAGTTTTTAGCTAAGAACTAATCACAACACCTGACAACGACAATCTAGCCAATCTTACATTTTACTTCCACAAATTACCGCGGGACCTCTTTCGTGAGACAGACTCTGCCACATATTTTAACTAGAATTGCCTATCGATAGATGAGTCGACTATCGCTATATTTGTGCTCTGTGATTTAGAACTTACTTAGATCTATAATTAAAGTGTCTTTTGCTTTACTTGTGTTCTGTGATCTAGAACTTATCCCACAATCCGGATCTAAAGTCTGTCGGTAGCTGACAACTTATCAATAGCATCGAATAGATAGATAAGTCACAAATTAATTATCATCACAAGTAATATCGATGCTTTAGGAAGTAATACTGTTAATAGTATGATAGGATACACAAGTTAATAAACTGCGATAGTTTTATTATATTTGTTCAATTTTGCATTTACAATGCCATACTGAAAAATTCACCAGCCCTAAATACCCCGAGACCAAACTAGACTGACGAACTTTTCAAGTACATATTTTTATCAGTGATGTTTTTGTAAAAAATTAATCTTTCATTAGTATCAATGTTTAATCAATGCATATAATCGACCCTAATGCTTCCTATTCCTGTCATTATTGACACTAAATAAATAATTTTAATATGGTTGTTAATTTATATTAAAAATTGGTTTTGAATAAAAATAAATAGATCTCCATCTTTTGTTTTATAAACAAATTATTTTATGATTGTAACTAAACGCCTGTTTTGTATAGACAGAAATAACAAAACGCAGTGAAAAGGAAATTAGTTGTCTATGTTTGTATAAACCATAGTCTTTCTAGAGACACGTATTGACGATATAGCCACTCCCGAATTGGAGGGAAAGTTTGAATGTGATGGTGTGCACTCCATTTATATACAATTTCTTATAATAAACAGCCTCAAACACAACTAATTATGATAAAACTTAATATTTTTCATAACTTTTCGAAGGAAGAAATGGGTACGAGAATTATTTATTTGATAAAAACTAATAACATGAACTATAAAGTACTCGGATAACATCGGTTGTACTCGGAACTCGATGCGTTGACGTCAGAACATACGGGCCGATCCTGCGTCAAATTCGTACTTCCGGTTGTCACGTGGTATGCGCAAACCAATGGCAACGCTTTATTTCTTTATAGGCCGACATTTTCTGACAAGCGTAGAAAAAGTTTTCATCAACAGCCGCCATTTTGCGCTGGAGAGACTGAGAAGAATTTCGGAATTTGTCGTGTAAATTTTCTGTTTTTTCTTACATCATTTATCATAAACTGTACCATTCCGTGTATTTTAAAGTGCTAAGTGAAATTGTGTCGTTCGATCAAATAAATAAGTCGTCTATAGTAGCTAAAATCTGGTGATATTGTTTTCATTTATTGTGCTAGTTCCGACGGAAGATGGTGAGAGGGTCTGTGTAGCTCTTCGATTCGGAGCTTTGTAATGGCGAATACTTGAGTGAGAAATTATAATATGTGCCTTCAATGGTGCGGAGGACATCGAACGATTGTGATGTGGGTGAATTACATTAGAATGGATGACAAATCGCTCTAAAATGTTATTTCTTCAAGATATAAGACATAAAAGTGTTATTTGAATCGGCGGGCCGAAATATTCACGACGGCATACGTTTAGTAAACAGAGCCATGGCCGATCATCACGGAGATGAGCCGCCTAACAAGCGGCCTAAAATGTTCCAGGGTCCATCGGACTCCACGGGTATGTATTTTGAAATATTTTACAACTTTGGTCGTGTTCAACCACAAGTCTGTCACTTTATCTTTCTTTGATTTTTGACATTTTGTCTTCCTTCTTGTTAGCGCCTTGGAAGATTTGCGTCGTATTTTCATGTCTACGCTTGCTAAATATTAGAATTGATGCTTTTTTAGTTATCAATATCTATTTTTTTATTTTTTACCTTAGCTTTTACATGCTTTTTTATTGACCAATTAGTTATAAAACTACATTCTTGCAACACCCAACCTAAACTTCATAGTTTTTATTTAGTTTATAGTAATGCCTGTGGCTTCTATTTATTTATTGAGAAATATTCTGATTTAAGGATGTCATATAATTTTTTTGGACCATGGAGCATGGTTATAAACCAATAACAACATTTATAATTTCACAAGGGAAAAGGTTATAAAAATTAAATAATTCTTTTCTACATTATGTTAAATGTATTGTAGATGATTTTATCATCCTTAAAATTTTATTACATAAATAATAGTGTTGAAATCATTCATTAAATTAAAATAATAATGTACTTGACCTACATAACTGCTAAAATCTAAGTATTTATGAATTTCTGATAAAAGTGATACAAAATTTATTTCCTTTTGTAATTACATTGACAATGCTATGACTGCATTTTATAAAGCTCCAATACACGCATAGGGGTGTTAGTAACACTAACATAGTGCTAATTAGCTTTTGTTGAATATAAAAAAGCTTATAGAAATTTGTAAAAAAACATCTAAGGCATTGAGAATCATTGAGAATCGTATTATTCAAAACTGTCCTTCATTTTTTTATATTTTAATTTATCTAATTTTTGTTTGTATGTTTGTTTCTATTTTATTTGTATTCATTATAACAGATGTCACTGTTCTGTAAGTTGAATGCAATAATAATGTTTCATTCAGTCAATATGATGTATAATACAAAAACCTCTATGAGAACTAGGGTTTTGTTTATTTTGTGCCTGCAAAAATAATATTATTTTGTTTATTACACAATTTGAAAGCTATCTTTAACTTAACTTCTCAATTTGTATTAAAACTTAATTATTCTAAATTATTAATTTGAAGTAAATTTTTGAATTTATAATTTGTTATTTATATTTTTATGTACAAATATAAGTTCTATAATAAACTAACAATAATTGACAGGAAATAGTTTAATAAAGTTTAAAGTAAATTAAAATGCATTAAATTGATTAGAAAGATGTGACTTTTATAACTTAATAAATTGTTTATGAAGTTATAATCAAATATTGAAAAAAATATCTACCTCAAGCCTTGTGTATGAAATGGGTTTTCGAGTATTAAAAATAAAAAAAGAATCATGTTGAGATAGCATTGTGAATGGAAAATAAAAAATATATTTCTATATTATTAGATTTACTTTCAAAAAATAAATTTGTGATTTTTGAATATCATTAAATTAAAGTGCCAAGATAAATATTAACAAGTTATGTTAATGCCATAGTCACTAAAAATAATTATCACACATGAGGTGAAATTTCACATAATTCATTGAAAATCTTTAAATATGTCAAATATCTGCAATTTTGTATGATAAATGCTTTTGTCATCATCATCAGCCATTTTACGTCCCCACTGCAGGAGCTCGGGCATTCCTTATGGATGGTTAAGGAGGATGGGTCATAACCCTCCATCCTGGCTCAATGTGGATTAGAGGACATTAACGACTGCAAATGCAGTTGGGACCAATGGCTTGACATCCCAGCTGAAGCACAGAGAAGCTAGAAATTATAAATCTTTCATCACCCATCCCATGACTGACCCTTTTGAAAGTTGTTTATCAAGTTTGGGAACAGCATAAGGGAAACTTACTAAAAAACTTAAGAAATGAATTGTTACATTGCTACCAAAATAGTGGGTTAGGTTAGAACTGTGACCCTAATAGGAATATTTATCAAGTAAATATAAATATGGTTAAATACGGATGATGGTGTCCATTTATTGTAAGTTAGGAGTAATATGTATTGGTAACAACATCTATTATAAAAAAAAAAAAAAAAAAGAAAAACTTAAACCAACTTCAAAAAGTTGTAAGAATTAGGAACAACTGAGAAGGGAGAAATAATACCACAAAATTTTTATCTTAAATAAAATCAAAATGTAAAAAGTGGATACACCAACAATTTTTTAGGGTTGGTGGTTAGTGCATATTTATGACAAAATAAATAATGAGAGACACATTTTCTGGTAGTGCTGTTTTATTTCTTACTAATGAGACGACTTGCACCAACCTCAAAAAATTTTAGTATTATTTCTCTCTTTTCATTTGTTACTCTTTATTATGACTTTTTGAAGTTGGTTTTTACATTAATATGATTTCCATGTCTTCATAGATTTTAATAAACAGTATTTTATTATATATCATTCTTTCGATATCCAATCCTGTCCACAAATACAATATTTCATAATTATATTATAATAATTTGGATTGAATATGAGAATATTTATCCACAACACAAATAATGGAATTAACTTATTTGAAACGTTTTGCTACAACACATAATATTTTCTATTCTTTTAAAGGTCTGGTTTCCTTATACTTCTTTCTTTTCAGATGGTTTTTCAAACCTTCAAGACATGTTTGACCTTGAAAAGGACCTTCCTGATGAACTCATGGGAGGTTCTTGGGCCGAACAACCAGGATCTAAGCCTCCGGCTCAGGGTCCTGGTCCTGGAAACCAGCTGGTTCCACAGCAACAGCTGAATGGGGATGATCCTACAGCTGCTATGCAAAGGCAAATTAACAATCATCTTATACAACAAGTGAGTATCTAAGCCTAGTGTCATATTAAGGCATAGAATACATTGTTTTCTAGTCTATTAAAAAAATAAAACAATTATAAATACTTATTTCCCATACTAATGATGCTCTTTATGTGCTGGTCTTTTCACAGGGCAACAAAGGTGGCTTAGTCGGCCACAATAATCCTTTAGGGTTGAGTAGTTTAGGAAGTAAGAGTCCAAACTTACAGTCGCCTCCAAATGTATCTGTATCCAAGGATTTGATGGGTGGTATGCATCCACAATTAATGCCAAATACAAGTCATCCAAATCAGTTGCACTCTACTATGCCAATGAGTTCCATACAAGGCAAGTATTAATTCGATGTAGTTGCTGTTTAAAAATTTAAATAACTTAATTTTTGATGAGTGTTTTGTTTCTCAGGTGGTATGAATGTTGCCAATGTCGGCAATATGATAGTGACAAACAGTAATATGACTGGAGCAGGTATGCTCGGCAGCGGTATCATTAACAATGTGAACAAGCAACTGCCCACATTGATGGGCAACAACCATCATGGTGCTCTACCGCATCATCCGCACGCGCAGGTGAGTTATCCATTAATTAACACAATATACTGATATATGGTAACAACAATTTGATGATACAGAGTCCCCAATCTACAATAAAAAGTTATAAAAATAAGATAGACATGTATGTTAAATTCAGACATGTCACTACTACTATGCTGGGCCACAGGGTCTCATCACTAAGTAAAAAATATTTGTTTTTAATACCCCAATAGATAGTGTTACATGTATCATTAAATATTTTATGTTTGTGAAAAATCTAGAATACATATATAATAAAACCAGTATAATTTCTTAGAGGGAGAAAATTACTAAGCTCAGAAAAATGAAATAAAGGGTTATTTAATCTAGTTTATGTAAAATTACAAGTCATCACAATTTTAGAGGGAAATTATGCTTTAATTGAGTAATTAAATGTCTATGCAGAGATGGCATTGTAAGTGGCATCGTTTTTATTATTGTTTTATTTAAAACATTTTTTCTTGGTTTAATTATTAATTTTTATTGATTGACAATTTAAAACAAACTAAAATACAATAAACTTACATTTAATAGTAGACAAGGAACTGTTATGGATAAGACATTTTTAATGGGTATCTATACTAACGTTCTTTTATGGATAGCTACGAATCAACGCCATCTATTGAAGTTTATGCGAATATCCATAGAATAGCCAAGTCCTATTCTAAGTGTTGCTTGCAGCATCTAATGCCTACTCAAGTAATTACATTTAATAGTAGACACGAGAAACTTATAGATAGGGTATAATTAATGGGTATCTATATTAACGTTCTATTATGGCTAGCTACGAATCAATGCCGTGTATTGACGTTTATGCATAAATCCATAGAATAGCCAAGTCCTATTCTAACTGTTACTTGCAGCATCTAACGCCGACTCAAGTAATTTCATTTAATAGTAGACACAAGAAACTGTTATAGATAGGGAATAATTAATGGATATCTATATTAACGTTCTATTATGGCTAGCTACGAATCAACGCCGTCTATTGACGTTTATGCGAAAATCCATAGAATAGCCAAGTCCTATTCTAAGTGTTGCTTGCAGCATCTAGCACCGACTCAAGTAAAACAAAATAGCCCGAGTTAGGATGGTTACATTTTATTCTATGGGATGAGGCATCTGTATAGTTTATGTGTATTTGTGGTTAGGCATAGAAATGATACTAGGTACTTCTAGTTTAATAAAACTACAACAAAACAATTTTTTCAGTGCAGTTGCTCATAAAGCGCTATTTTTTTAATCCATTGTAAACACCGAAAGTGAGTCTTTAAACAAGTGTTAAATAAAAATGTATTTTTTTAATTTTTTTTGGCCGAGTACCAAAGAAATTAATAAAAAGTATTTCAAGGAGCCTAGAAAGAATATTTTCAAATAAAAATGTATGACACGAAAACATGTTCAAATATCACGTTCAATTTTAACGAATAATTTTTACCTTTAATACATGCTTAGTTTTATTAACCTATATATTTGTTTTATTTCGTCGCAAAAAGCATTGAAAAATGTAAGAAACTTGAGCGTAAAAGGTTTTTCGAATTCGTGCCAATTTGGCCCTTATTCGTAAAATCTTACTTTTCGCACACGTATCTTAAATAAGTATTGTGTTCTTGTTTGTAATGAAAGGTATCTGCGAGCTCACAAATATCATGATTCTTTGAATCTTGAAACATAAAGTGTGATATAAGTATGTTATTGACGTAGACGATGCAAAATGGCCCGCTCGGCGGTCGGGTCGGCGTCGGCATGCAAGCGCCGACGATGCGGAGTACGTTACAACATCATCCGCGTATGCAAGCGCCGGGTGGTGGGGGCCATCCGCTCGCGCCGTACCATCCGGCGTACGGGCAGTCTGCGCAGGGGCCCGGGGTGCCGCCCGCGCAGAGGGCCGCGGGGGTCAGGTTCGGCCCTCCGGGGGAGGCGGGGGGCGGCGCCGCCCAAGCCGTCCCTCCCGCCCCCTCGCCGCAGACCCCCGGCGCGCCCGCTGGCGGACAGTCTCAGCCGCAAGCCGCCACGCAGGTATTTATACTTTTCAACCATAGATTAGATTGTTACTTGCAGACTGATCTGGCAACTTGCAACCCACCACTCATACCTTATAAGGTATAGCGGTGTGAAGCGCTTCTTTTGACTAACTTCATAGTCATATAATTTTTTGGCACAAACTGTACCTACTTTTATTTTTCAATTTAATTTTAGGATTAGCAGTATATGTAAATTAGGTATTTTAGTCCATACGAGAAAATATCCAAAAATATACAATTGAGATAGTGCATAAAAATGTAAGTAACCAACAGCAACGCGTTTGTTTACAAAACCGCGTGACATCACAACTTTCGCGAAATTTGAAATTATTAAGATTAGATGTAATTCTATGAAACTACCTGAATATTTTTTTTTATTTTTTTCCGTGATTTATTAGGACCTTAGTATTGAATTGAGATACTTTTCAAAAATATGTTACCTATGTTGTCATAATCACAGATTAAATGAAAAGGTTAGACAGCGCGTGCCAGTTAGCACATAGACGTAAAACTTCACCTATTCAGCACACAGAGAGAATGATGTAGCATCGTATCATTGGCTACAAAACTTTCAGCAAAATTAATTTAAATGTATGTTAACAGCCAGTAACAGAATTTATGGCTAGACTACCTGACTGACATGGCTGCCGCAGATTTTGAAAATCAAGGTGATATTGTTAATTTTCTTTTACCTCACTAGACAGTCTTGACTATGGTTTAGGTAAAGTATGGTCAATCGCATAGGTTAATGTTAAAAAACCGGCCAAATTGCGAGTTAGGCTCGCGCAGGAAGTAAAAATATAATGTTCGTTTATATAGGAGCCCTTAAATATTTATTTTATTCTGTTTTTAGTATTTTTTGTCATAGCGGCAGTATGGAATTCTAAAAAACTAAGCTTAGCACAAACGAAGAATAACTCAAATTTTGTTAACTAATTTGACATAATAAAAATTTGCTGTAATGTTTATAACTGCATGTATATTGATTGCTTTACACCATATCAGAATTTATGTACTATTGATAATATGCGAATGCTATGTCAATACCTGACACTATCAGACGAAATTAAAGTTTGTGATTAAATCTCACTATACAAAGGAAAAGAAATTCTTCCTTTTTTTCAGACACACATTTTCACTACGCAAACGATACGTGATAATTGCACACTTCGGCATATTCTTGTATTTCGCGCCTCACCTCAGACCATAATGACATTGTGCAAATACTACTCGGGGCATATGAGCAACGTGACGTTCATATGATTGTTTTGAGCATATGGATGATTGGACAACCCCGCCCACTTTATCGTTCTAACCTTTTTATTTATTCTGTGGTCATAACCTAGGTTAACCACAAGTGTTTAACTGGACGAAAACAATAAAAAAATAATTTGCTGTTATGTTTACTATTTAGAAAGAGCAAGATGAAGGGCTGTATGGACCTAACATCCTTTGCCCGTCCCAAACAAGGAGGACAAATGAATCAAAAAAAAAGAGCAAGATGAATATATATCAATTTATCTCAAATATCCATAGGTTCATCTCTTTTTTGGAAAAAATGCTTTATTTTTAATGTGAAAAATGCGTGTATGAATTTTTTTGCAAAGCTTTAAATTAGATCTCTGAAAACTTGATCAAGAACAAAGAATCTTTCCATCGCCATTTTCACTTGACTTGTGATTGTAGCTTCGATTTTTCATACACACACGCCAGTTTATTTGGGGAAGACCAAGTACTCCACATTCACATCATTTTATTAAGATTAAAAAGGAAAAATCGGCATACTCATAGTTGTATTGGCCAAAAAATGGCGCTGGGAAATTACATTATGTAAACTCACTTATTCATTTACATGTTATTGCCCGAGCAAGTAAGGTGCAGTTACGAGTTCCAACTAGAGCTTGAGCGAGACAGGAACTCTTGTGATCGCTAGCGTGTCGATCGGGAAGTGAGACAGCAAACACGAGAGCGAGAAAAGAATAGAAGGAAGAAGAAAAGAACGGATGTATGATCGTCCGTTGTGAGCATTATCCATCGCCATTTCAGACTAGCGTCAGCAAACGAATCAAAATTAATATTTTTACTGAAGTTGCTTAATTTTTTTTTCCTTGTCTGGTGGTTTTGAACCTTTTCCATCCAGTTTCGATCTGCGTGTCTAAATAAAATCCACCCATTTTTTGGGTGGACGGCCACGTGGCCTATTGTTTTCGCGGGGTCTTATAACCGATTTATCCATCTGTAAGTGTCCATCCATGCTATATGTCCCGCCCATTTCCATCTTTGTTGGGCAATTACCGAGATCACGTCCTTCAGAACAGTATTTCTTCTGATTAATTCGTCTTTCTATCGTTATTACACCATTAAGGGTAATCGTCTTTACGCTAAAGTTATGCAAGCAATATTAAAAATAAATTATACTTTAAAATATCTATGCAAAGAATATTTTTGTTGTCGCTTTCTACACACATGCGCTCTAAAATACGATGCTGTAATAGTTTTTTGTTCTTAAACTACACAGCTTTTGAAGCATGTCGTGGAGTGATCGACCATACTAATGTGACAAAAGCGATATTAGATACCATTTACAATGCGCTTTTGCTGTATTTTCATATGAAATACATAACTCGATCGCATCGAATGCCTGTTTGACGCTATATACGGGTACATTTGCGACGCGATAGCCCCGCCCTGTACGGTGGTTCTAACGTGTACTGTGTAAACGGTTAAGAGATATAATGCATATGTTTAGGCCGCCGCACCTCACGTGCACCAACCGCACGCGCCCCACCAGCCGCCGGCGTCGGGTTCCATCGCGGATCCTGAAAAGCGCAAACTTATCCAACAACAGTTAGTGTTGTTGCTACACGCCCACAAATGTCAAAGGCGAGAGTCCCAGTCTAACGGCGAAACTTGGCAGTGTACTCTGCCACATTGCAAGACCATGAAAGGAGTACTCAACCATATGATGTCATGCCAGGTTTGTGCAATGTTTTGTCATGTTTGCAAGGTCCTTTTAATGTTGTTGCACTTAAGTAAAACGCTTTCGCTGCAAGATGTCACGACTTACTTTAAAGTAATCTTTTGTGATTTTATTCTTGAAGAAAGATTTCCAATTGTCTCTATATTTATATTTTTACTTGGTAAATTTAGAGTTTTAAAAGTGCCCTTCTGTTTCAGGCGGGTAAAAATTGTGCAGTTCCTCATTGTTCATCGTCTCGCCAGATTATTAATCACTGGAAGCATTGCAACAAGAGTGACTGTCCTGTTTGTTTACCCTTAAAGCAGGCCGATAGAAATAGACCGAACAATATGAACGGTAAGTATATATTCGAATGTAGGACTTACAAATTACCTGGATTCATCCTTTCGAATGTATCTCATCGTAATCGATGTATTTTAGCGGCTGCTGTGAGTCACACGACGACTAGCACGGGCGTCGCCGTGGGCAACGTCAACGTGGGCGGTGTGGGCGTGGGCAACGTGGGGGTGGGCGTGGGCAACGCGGGGGCGAGTATGGTTAACTCGCTGACGGCCGCGCCCGCGCCCGCACCCAGCACGCAGCTGCCGGACATGAAGAAGGCGTACGAGGCCCTCGGCATCACTTGCCCGACGTCCATTTCGAATATGCCGGGCGGGTTCCCGCGGGCCCCTCTCACGAGGACGGCCGTGCCGCGCCCCCCGGGCCTCACGGACGTGGTGCCTCAACAGCAGTCAACTCCCATGCAACAACTATTCGCCCAGCAGAACCAACCTGACCTACAACAGCAACAACAACAACTGGTCAGTATCTTCTACATACATTAGTGGCAGCATTTACAGTTAAATTTCTTAAAATACTTTTCCATAGCACTGTCGGTACTTTAATAGATGTACTTTAATATTTTTAATAACTTATTATATTTGATCAATTTCACATTCGCAATGCTATACTGAAAAATATTCTTAATGAAAAACATATATGTTGAAATTTCTTTATCATTTGATCATATAACAGTTCTAACAAGTGACTAATATGATAACTAACATTAGTTATAGTGGTTGATAATAACTATTACTTTTTTGATGTAGATGGGAGGAAGCACCCTTCAGCTCCCCGGTGGGCCTGTTACTGCAAACCCGGTCTCCGGAACAAAAGAATGGCACCAGTCTATAACAGCCGATCTCAGAAACCATCTTGTTCATAAATTGTAAGTGTGCTTTGTGTCACTGCAGACAATTTTTTTTTTTCTAATATCTTACCTGCAATTGGTAGATTATTGTAGATTTTATATAAGAATCAATAAATGTACAAAAACTGTTCTTTTACTTTAGGGTGCAAGCAATATTTCCGACACCGGATCCTCACGCTATGTTAGATAAGAGAATGCACAATCTGGTCGCGTATGCGAGAAAAGTGGAAGGTGATATGTACGAAATGGCAAGCACGCGCTCAGAGTACTACCATTTGCTCGCCGAAAAAATATACAAAATACAAAAGGAATTGGAAGAGAAACGACAGAAACGCAAAGAACAACAGTTGCAGGTAATCTTTTATTTTAATATGATTAATTTATTGCACAATTATAATTTACTAAGCCGCTATTTTAACTAAAATTTATAAAAAAATTAGGGTTCTCTCAGGTTATTATAAATTATTTTTCGTAATTTTGGCTCATTAATAATAATGTTGAATCTGGAGTTTTCATCAACTTCTCCATGGAAGTATCGGCATTATTTCCAATGTGAGAATGTATGTTTAGCAGCAACAACAGCAGCAGGGTCAGCTGCAGCAGCAGACGCAGCTACAGCAGGGGCAGCTGCAGCAGCCGGTGGTGATGTCTGGGGGCGGGGTGATGGGCGTGCGCGTGGGCGGGGTGGGGGTGGGGGTGGGCGTAGGCGCGGGGGGCGCGGGCGGGATGCCGCGCGCCGCCATGCCCGCGCAGCCCTCGCTGCCCGGCATGCGTATACCCTCGCCCGGCATGACGCAGCTACCCATGCAGCCCAATAGGATGACTTTCCCTACCAATCTGGTGGGCCCGCCCGGACCCAGCCCCAATCAGGTGATTACAATTTAGTAATTTGAAGTGATAAAATAAATAGAATTAAAATTGAATGTATCAGTACGAACTGTTAAAGAAAATTCTGTTAAAAAAATACCTAAATGAGAAATGGTTTGTAACGCTTCATGAATATGCTTCATCTAGATCTATATGGTTGCTCTGTTCTGTGTAGAAAATTAAGATGATCACATAATACATCTATCATGTTATTGCATCAATTACTCAAGTTTTCATTTCGGTAGTTTTTGTACCAATATACTTGTTTTTTACTAATTACTTTTTGTTATTTTTATATATGTCTCTTCTTCTTCTTCTTCTTCTATATGTTTTATTACAACGGCATGATTACCAAGATTATTACATTAAACAAATGTGACAGAGCTAGTTTTAAAAAGGAGCTCGAAACGATTCGTAGAACATTACACAAGGCGGCTCCACCAGTTCCTTCTTCTTGGAACTGTGCCGGGTAGGTTCGCGAACTACGTTTCAATCCCGTCGTCCGTCCGCAGATGCCGCAAACGCCGAACGGCGGCACGGTGGGCGTGGGCGCGCCGGGCATGTCCCCGTTCGGTCAGACGATGACCTCCCCCGCGTCGTACCCCGCGCTGCAGAGCAACGGGCCCGCGCTGCCCTCGCCCGGGCCGGGCCCGCACGCGGACAAGGTGCGGCTGGGCGCGCCCGTCGCCAACTCGCCGTTCGTCAACCACGCGGCCTTCGGGTCCGCGGCCGTCTCCTCGCCCGCGCCCGCCACCCCGCACACGCCCCTCGCGCACCCCAGCCCCGCGCCCGACCCCCGTCCCGCCTCGCGCCCGCCGCCGCAGCACCCCGCGCCGCCGCCCCCGCCCCCGCCGCATCAACACCCGCAACCGCACCAAGCGCCCGCTGACATAGACCCCGTGCCAGAGGTTAGTTATCTGTTTACTTATTTGCAGCCTTTTTGAATCTCTTATGCACACATTGCATATCGACGCTGGAAAGCAAACACGTAGTAACCTGCAAAACCAAAATGGATATTTATAATGGAAAATCTTTAGATTTTTCCAAAAAAATATGTCTTATTTCTGTATAAATTTACTAAGGAACATCTTATTTGTTACCATGGACGTTTATAGGAATTATTTATCGAAAAAAATCAAAGTTTTTCTGCTTTGAAGATCAATTTTGGTTTTGCGGGTTACTACGTGTTTGCTTTCCAGCGTCGATATATATTTTTGATAAACGCCAGCGACATCGCGAGACTAGACGGTGACTATCAAAACGACATTTGATTTATGAATTTTAATTTGTGTACCAGAATACTTTAAATAGAAGTGATTTGTGTATAAAATTGTTTTTCGATTAGCATCATCATGTTTAATGTTTGGAAGCCCTAATGACGATGTGCTATCTGCTAACTTGTATTGATAATATTTTGTGTTCTTGAGCTTTGATAATTCATGTGTCTTTTCTATCGTTTAGGTCCGAATAAAACAGGAACCGGAGGAAACTCCAATCAAGGAGGAGCTCGAAGAGGATTGCGGGGGCAAAGGAATGCGGGACGAGATCCCTACGGAGAGGGAACAGCAGGAACACAATGAGTTCCTTCAGACTGTCAAAACTGAGATCAAGCAGGAAATCAAACAGGAGATCAGGCCGGAGATCAAAGAGGAGCCGACGGAGGCCAGCGCCAGTGATGCGAACGCCGTTGACAGGCCCGGAGGAAGACGGACATTTGTATTCAAGCCGGAAGATTTACGGCAAGCGTTGATGCCCACTCTAGAGAAATTATTCCGGCAAGAACCCGAATCGCTGCCGTTCCGGCAACCGGTGGACGCCACGGCGCTCGGTATACCGGACTACTTCGATATCGTTAAGAATCCTATAGACTTGTCCACTATAAAGAACAAACTTGATCGCGGCGAATACAAGGACCCGTGGCAATACGTCGACGACGTGTGGCTAATGTTCGAGAACGCTTGGCTTTACAACCGCAAGAACTCGAGGGTCTACAGATATTGTACTAAGGTTAGTTGAATTCCATCTGATATGTATTTTAAACTAACAAAGTTTAGAATTATATATTTTCTACCTATTTGACAAGACACAACTTAAGACTTCAGTTATAAACATTTAATAAGATATAATTTGTGATTTTTTCTGTTGATCATTCACATTGTATAAAATATCACTCTTTCGTATAAAATGCGTGAATTAATTCAGTATTTGTTTCTCAGTTGTCGGAGGTATTCGAGCAGGAGATAGATCCTGTGATGCAAAGTTTGGGCTACTGCTGCGGAAGAAAGTACACATTCAACCCTCAAGTGCTATGTTGCTATGGCAAACAACTTTGCACCATCCCTCGCGACGCCAAGTACTTCAGTTACCAGAACAGGTAGGATTATAATTTCTTTATAGACGACAAAATCATGTTACACTTATTACCATTATTGATTTATCCATGACTAGCTGTATTACTGTGACTTACGTAGCTTCTCCTAGATAAAAGATTTTATATAATCGGTCCACTACTTTCGGAGTCAATTCACTGCTAACAAACAATCCAAGCTTTCCTCTTTGTAATGTTAGTATAGATAAGAGACAGAATTCAAAATTGAGTAACATGATTTTATAGTATCTTGTTGAACATTGTGGGCTTTCTTGATGTGTTCAGAATTTTCTCTGCATTAAAACTAAAGTATTCCATCTGTTACTCATCTTCCTTTGTGTATAGGAATATGTTACTGTGAATCGGAAAAGTACAGCTTTTGAGATTCTAGTTTCAGAGTTATCAGCAATTTTTTAAAGTAGTTCAAAAACAGATTTATTTATTAAATAAATTACAAATACCTTAGAGAATGTGTGTGAAATATTAACATGGTTTACAAAAATATTTATTTATTTATTTAATCTTAATTTCCTAGTGAAATAGACAAATGGCGGACTTAATGCCAAAGAGGCATGATTATTATTATTACAAAAATATTATTTAGTTGAGTACATATAGAGTACAACTTTAGTGATCTACTTTACTGAGTATTGAAATACAAAGCATTCTGAATGGGTTTCACTCAATAGCTCCAACCAACCTATACTTTAAATTGCTTAAAAATCCATATTTATGACGTACAGCCAAAGATGTTTGTGAGTCAGATGTTTTAGGCATGTCACGATTCAAACACTATTGCAGCAATCTTTCTGTAAATACAATTGATGATTTACTTTACATGTAATTATACAACTGGGCTGAGTATTTTTAACAGCAGTCTCCTCAATCTGTGCTTCAACCGTTACAAATCAACGGAAAAAATGTGGGTGACAGATATCTGTCACACTTTCACACAAACCACTCACCTGGCTGTAATAACTCTTATATGACTGTCATTGAGTGAAAATAATATTTATTTTACAAAATACTAGCCCAGGCCAAATGCTGGATTACCTGGTGGCATCCATGTGGCATGTTCACGTCATATTTTCGTATAGTTTGATTTCAAAAAATCTTTTCCAACTCACAGTTAAGATATTGGATTTGTAAATGTTAATTTGTGCAAGCCAAAATTATTAACATCAAGATATGCACCTGGTTTTTTAATGTATTAATGTTTTATGTATTTTAGTTTTTCATCATGCAATTTTTTCTCATCATAATCTTCATGAATTTCTTCTTTGCTTTGAAAGTTAGTGAACATTTTATTACTGTGATTGTTTATAAAATAAAACAGTCTTTGAAATTATAAAAAAAAAAACACTAAAAATACACAATGCAATCATCATAGAAAATTATAAATAAAAATATTGAATGTCATATTTTTAAATTAAATTTTTACTATGCACTTATATTTTGTTTTAGCCATGACATTTACTGAAATAATAGTTACAAAATGGCAAAAGTAATAATATGTCAAGCTTCAAATATTTTTATTAGAGTAACAAAAAGTAAAAATTAAAAGTTAAATTTAAAAATAGTATTTTTATCTAGAAATGTTTCCAATTATTTTTTTTATTCTGGTATAAATTACAGTCTCTGATTTGCAATCATTTGATGTGGGATATCATAAAATGAAATTAAAGGTATTCTATGGGAGTTCCATCTATACTAATGTTATAAAGAGGTAAAGTTTCCAACTTTGTTTGTTTGTAGGGGTAATCTTCGGAAATACTGATCCGATTATGAAAATGCTTATTCTTAAACCTACGGGAAGCTACAACATACGCGTCTGATATAGGTTATAATATAGGTTGGAAGTCTCAAGAAAACAGCTGTTTGACAAAGACAGTATTAACACAATGCTGTTTAAAAATATAAAAATAATTCTGTAAAAACCATTTAAGTTGTTATTCATTGTCACCTCATTGTTTCAATGTTCACTACCGGGTTAACAATAAGAATAGGAAATCCTCAGTAATTGGAGCTTTCCTAAATTTGGGTGTCTCATAGAAATGTCCTTTAGAATGTTATGTTGCCAGTCATTACACATTCACAACATAGTCAACTCGTTTTACTAACATATATTTAGTGAAACATTTTCATGTTGGTCTTAGTTTTGCTGTCACTAATAATAATATAATTGCTGTCTCATAAAAAGGCATAAGAAAAAAGAATACACGATTTCCATATAGATGAAGATAAATTGATCTTTATTTAATTTTAACATTGAATATAATTTTCTTTGTATTCGTTAATTTTTTGTCAAAATTAATTGTTTTTATGAAATAACCTAAAAATAAAGTCAAAAAATTGTAGCTGTTATTTAATTTAAATATTATATTAAAACTTAAATATTAAAGTAGCTTCAATGTTTTATCCATATTTGTGGTATATAATTTTTGCTGTCGTGTTTCCGATACATCTTTGAAATTGATATCTTGTAAATGACGCCAACCGCGGTGTCATTTGCTAATGGTTATGATTATCGCTGCACATTGTAATACAATACCTTTTATACGCGGGTTTATTGTGTTGCTGCAATATATAATGATCTATGCCGTTTTATGGGACTAGAATGTGTAATATTAAATGTTTTCTATAATACAGTTGCATATTATTTGATGGATAATTTTGGTCTATTGCTTTCTCGTAATATGCTCATCAACTCTTCTAAGCATAATAGATATTTTATACTTATTAGAATTCTTCAGATCTATAACATACTTATATCATGCTGAAAACTATAAAAAGTTACGTCTTATTTCTTGATAAATAGCTTGAGACTTATGAGCAAAGCACTGCTATATTTGTTTAATTATCTAATATTTGCAAACTGTAGTTCAATGTTAAGTAAATGCATTCTGTAAATTTTCTTTACATTTTGAAATTACATGATTGTCTACTGCCTAATTACACATGAAAAGTGTTATGGCAAATGGCAGGAACACTGAATAAAATTTTCTCATGGAACCTTCCCCTTCTCTAAGTGTTATACTAGACGTTTTTCAGTATTAATGCTAGATTAACATAGTGTTTACATGTATCAATGTGACCTTGTAACTGTAACCTATCATTGTGCTCACTGTCTGAACTAATAAGGTTTATGTTCTTATTGCTTACTAATTTTTTTTGCCCTCCACGCACGTCCTTGCCTGCACACGTTCCTGTCACGCTTCACATCACTGCTACACGGACGAAAATTGTGAATAAAGTCTAAAAGCGTATGGGGTTGTGTCCGATAGATACACCTTCTGCCAGAAATGCTTCAACGATATCCAAGGGGACACCGTCACGTTGGGCGATGATCCGCTGCAGCCACAGACGTAAGTATACATTCCTATCATTACATAAATATTTGTATCACACATCGTATACGTTACTAATATTTGATTTTAATTTATAGCGCCATCAAGAAGGATCAATTCAAGGAAATGAAAAATGATCATTTAGAACAGGAACCGTTTGTAGTCTGCATGGACTGTGGTAGGAAACAGCATCAGATTTGTGTGCTGCATCATGATCAAATTTGGCCCCAAGGTTTTTGCTGTGATAATTGTTTAAAAATGAAGGGGGCTAAGCGGAAAGAGAACAAATTTTGTGCTAAAAAGCTGCCTCCATCAAAACTTGGCATTTATATTGAGACGCGAGTCAATAATTTTCTCAAGAAAAAAGAGGCTAGTGCCGGTGAGGTGCATATCAGGGTTGTCGCATCATCGGATAAGGTGAGGTTGACTCGATTATTATATTTCTTTTATTGTCTTTATGAGGTTCCTACTATATGGTTTCAGTAATGTAACTATTGCGTTTATAGATGGTGGAGGTCAAACCTGGAATGAGATCGAGGTTTGTCGAATCAGGAGAACTGTGTGCCGAATTCCCGTATCGGGCTAAGGCGTTATTTGCATTTGAAGAGGTTGACGGAACCGATATTTGTTTCTTTGGTATGCATGTGCAGGTATGTATATTTACACTTTTGGTAAAAATATTTATCTGATTAATTATTCCTAATTGAAGATAATAAAATTTTATTTTTTTTCTTCAGGAATATGGCAGTGAAAGTCCGTCGCCAAATACAAGGCGTGTTTATATAGCATATCTAGATTCTGTACATTTCTTCCAACCTAGGCAGTATCGTACTGCAGTTTATCATGAGATTTTATTAGGATATTTGGACTACGCTAAGCAATTGGGTTATACAATGGCCCACATATGGGCTTGCCCGCCCTCAGAGGGTGATGACTACATTTTCCACTGCCATCCACCCGAACAAAAGATTCCTAAACCTAAAAGGTTACAAGAGTGGTACAAGAAAATGTTAGACAAAGGTATAATAGAAAGAATAATATTAGATTATAAAGACATATTAAAGCAAGCTATGGAGGACAATATCTCTTCTGCGGCCGAACTACCGTACTTTGAAGGTGACTTCTGGCCCAATGTGTTGGAAGAATCTATCAAAGAATTGGACCAAGAAGAGGAGGAAAAGAGAAAGCAAGCTGAAGCTGCTGAAGCAGTGGTCAGTATTAATAATAATATTTTTTTAGTACTATTGGTTTTAAACTCTCATAAATATTACAGGAGATACAATATTCCCAGGCATAAATACTCTTTATATACTTGTGTAATCATTGTATTAATAAAATATTTCTTAACTGTTGTAGATATTCCAGTCGTCAGAGGAAAATGAACAAGGCCCTGATGGCAAGAAGAAAGGTCAAAAGAAAGCGAAAAAATCCAATAAGTCTAAGGCCGCCCAAAGAAAAAGTAGTAAGAAACAGAGTGACCAGCAGCAGGGTAGTGATCTCAGTGCAAAGATTTTTGCAACTATGGAGAAACACAAGGAAGTGTTCTTCGTTATAAGGCTACATTCCGCACAGTCCGCGGCGAGCTTAGCTGTGAGTAGGCTATTCTTTTATATATATATGAAGACTACACATTCTGATAATTAAAAATTGTTAAAACAATTTCATTTTTTACAGCCTATCCACGACCCGGACCCGTTATTGAACTGTGACCTAATGGACGGTCGTGACGCATTCTTGACTATGGCTCGGGATCGCCACTACGAGTTTTCGTCGACACGAAGGGCGAGGTTTTCCACCCTGTGCATGTTGTACGAGTTACACAACCAGGGTACTGACAAATTCGTGTACACATGCAACAGTTGTAAATCACACGTGGAGACCAGGTACCACTGCACGGTGTGCGACGACTTCGACTTGTGCGTACCGTGCTACGAGAAGGAAGGCCATCCTCACAAGATGGAAAAACTCGGCCTGGACATCGACGTGGGCTCGTCCCCTGGCGATATGAAGCAGGCAAACCCACAAGAGGCTCGAAAACTGTCGATACAGAGGTGTATACAGTCGCTGGTGCACGCGTGCCAGTGTCGAGACGCCAACTGTCGACTGCCGTCGTGTCAGAAGATGAAGCGGGTCGTCACGCACACGAAGATCTGCAAGAGGAAGACGAAAGGCGACTGCCCGATTTGCAAACAACTTATCGCGTTGTGCTGCTATCATGCGAAACATTGTCAGGTGATTACATATTGTTTTGTGTTTTTATAATAACTAGCGGTCGAAATTTGACCCTAATAAATTTCAGTTAGAAGTTATTTGGCATTCAGTAAGACAACAGTAAACATCACATACATATAAATAGATGTCTATGGTAAACATATAAAACTTGACATTGGTTAAATACACAAACAGTGCGAAGCCAATATATAAAAAAACAAACTCTATGTCAAAAGAAACAATTTGACTACAATGTTATGGTATGAGTGTAATAAATACTTGTTTGTTTGTGTCAAATGCGGAGTGTGTGTAATATTTTATTTATCGATTTAATGTACTTTATAGGCATTATTGTTGAAAAATATTAGCCATTTGTACTTCTCCTACATATAAACTTTTAGTGTGCCAAATTTCCTCGTGCCTCGCAATTTTCGTAAAGGGGTCCAAAGATTTTGTTTCACATATTAATATATAGATTTCAATTTAGTGATACCTGCTATTCAAGCTATATTTCTATGCTGTGATTTTTATTAAATTTGTAGTTTTCCCGCAATGATAGACAATGAAGAGTTTTGGTTTCAATCCAATAAAATGATCCACAGTCGTTTCATAGAACGGTTGCGGATCCGTTCGCTTGTAACGTTTCGCCGTTTGTGTGCGTACAGGAAACGAAGTGTTCAGTGCCGTTCTGCAGCAGCATAAAGCAGAAGCTGAAGCAGCAGCAGGTGCAGCAGCGCGTGCAGCAGGCCAAGCTGCTGCGGCGGCGCATGGCGGCGATGAACACGCGCGCGGCGCCCGGCGCCTCCTCCCCGCCGCACCCGCCGCCCGCGCTCGCCTCCCCGCCGCCCTCCAAGCCGGCCGCGCACGCGCACGCGCTGCCGCACAACGTGCAGAAGGCGCTGCAACAGGTAACGTACACGTCTCAGCTAATCCAGATTTGTTTTTACCATTGTTCAAATACATTTGTAATACTATAGAACATATCGACGCTGGAAAGCAAACACGTAGTAACCCGCAAAACCAAAATTGATCTTCAAAGCAGAAAAACTTTGATATTTTTCGATAAATAATTCCTATAAACGTCCATGGTTCCTATAAACGTTCCTAAGTCAATTTATACAGAAATGAGACATATTGTTTTGGAAAAATCTAAAGATTTTCCATTATAAATATCCATTTTGGTTTTGCAGGTTACTATGTGTTTGCTTTCCAGCGTCGATATATAAATATGTAGGTGGCTATTCTACGAATGTTAAATATTATAAAATGTATTCAGCTGAAGGACTTGTATCCATGGCTATGAATAATAATTAGTAAAAAAAAAAGAAAATTAACGTTCACGTTACACCCGAACGCCTATTTAATTTGTGAAGACAATTTCGGAGAATTTCGATTGGTTCACACTTTTCGTAATAGGGAATATGCACATTTTTGGACAATGTTTTCATATGATAACTTACATTGTTATATAACTGTAAAAAAATACCCGGCATCGAAAAACTAACATTTAGTAACAATAATAAATTGATGAAAATAAGTAACAACTACGAAAAGTTTAAAAGCTGGAATTTTTGGCGCGCTTGTCTTGATGTCAAAGAATATGACTAGAGATATGGCATTTTAATTCATTATGAATTTTGTGTAATTAATTTATTATTCAATTACCGAACGTGATTAACAATTAATCGATTTTTTTAAAGTATAATAAACTTTTTGAATTGTCATATAACTAAATTGATGAAATAAAAACCTTAAACATCATTTAAATGGCAATATTTTGTAAATTTTGCGACATAATACATTGATGTTATCGCATCGATGTTGACTTTTTGTAACAACGACATCCTCGTCACATCCGCTTTGACAAGTGGCATGGCGTTTCAATATTTTCAAGATGAAATCGGACCAATGTTGAAAAATATTTACATAGGCTTTATTCTAAAGCAACAATGATCGTTATAAAATATATTTAACCCTTTTTAACGCATATTCCCTATTTTGTTGAAATCATATCATTTGAAGACTGTGCATCAGAGGCAGGTCCAACCTCCGTTGCTTCTTAAATTATTGCGAAATGTGTTTCGTTCTAGCATTTCGATTTCGTAGGGATATAATGGTCTTCAGGTGTCAAGCTGATTCCTATGAATAGTACACGATACATGAATATGCTTCCTCCCCGTCGCGTAGACACTCATTAAACATAGGCGATACACTGATAACGCATTCACCTCGCGGGGTGGCCCGTATTTTTTCGCAATGTGCTTCTATACCGCTACACCTTACCATAGAAAATGTTGTCTTAGTTATGGATCAATAACGATTCTTCAATATGGTTAGTTTAAAGGGTTATTGTAATATAAAGGAAAAATATGAAATTAGTGAAATGTGCGCCATCTGGAGGTCTGAGTTTCGGTTCTTGTAATCAACAGGTTATGAATCTTAAGTTAATTTGCAAAAATTAAATAAACTCATAATTTATTTTAGAACAAAAATACTACATATTTATTGTTTACATGTAAGTTACTGTAACATATTTAATATTTTTTTATTATGGTAGCCAAGTTATTGTTATATCTGTCAAGCAGCTAATTCTTCTAGGTGTGAGTGAGGTTCATTACATTAGACAACCGTCTTATGGTAAATCTCTAGTCATCACTGTCCTGGTAGACCTGATGAGTCTAATATCGCACTCGGCAGACACTAGCTAGGCAATGTTGACAGATTTTTGAGACACTGGAAATTGGAATGATAGAAACCGAGATAAGCTGAGTAGGGTTGCAATATGTATTTCTGTAGCTTGAGTCTGAAAATACAGGTTTTTGATCGTTCAAATAGCAAATTATTAAGGCCGATACATACCACGGTGAAGCGCAGCGAAGAGCAGATATCACTACCAAAGCGCTATTGTCTTTATAGCAATTGAAATAAGATTTACATAAACTTTTTTTTACTTTATAATAAAAAAAAATTTACGTTTCGCCTAATATTTGATACGCGGTTATGGCTGCATTGCACTTCGCCATATGTGAACCGCGCTCTAGAAGGAGTCAATGACATTATTTGTATTTCAGATAATGATCGATTACAAAATAAACTTAGTTTGAAGTACAAAAAAAAACTTTTTTTTTATATGTAGAACATCCACCAGGTTAGCTAGGAAAAAAGAAAAAAGTCCATAATATTCACATAGGTAAATTGATTTTATTCATAATTAAAAGTGCCGACCGGGCTGCGACGGAATCGTTCAATTGACGCGTTTTTTCACTAACAGGTACAAGAGGAAGCGGCGCGGCAGCAAGCGCCGTCGTACGGGAAACAAGGTGGAATGGGCCCTCCGGGTGTCGGTACCGTGGGCGGCGGCGTGGTACCGCTAGCGGGCGGCGTGGGCGGTGTGAGCGGCGTGGGCGGCGCAGGCGGCGTGGTGGGCGGGGGCGCGGCGGGCGTGGGCGCGGGCGCGCGCGCCGACTGGGCCGCGCGCTACCGAGGTCCGCCCCCGCTGCAACACACGGTCTCGTTACTCGCGAGGCATCCCCACCACCCTCAGCCGCCACTGCAATTACCGCTTGCACAGGTTTGTGCTACACTTACCCATATTATTCTTTCGTTTTCGGATCGGTGTAATTTAAATAGCTCAATATTCAGTACAGCAACATTGTAGAAAGAGAAAGATTTCTTACAAAATTAAAGATAAGCGGATAGCTTGACGCTATGGAACGTGACCTTTTGATTTTCGGCGTATTCAGTACTGATTTGGTTGCTGAGATCTGGAGTTTCGTAGATAGTCAATCTCGAATAATAAATCGTACGTACTGGCGAAAATCAAAACTATCGATGTTATTGACCTTGAACAATACTTTCACTTATTTATAACAATTATTGAGATCTGAGTTTCTTGCCGGTTCTCAGCATAAGGTCTCACGCTGTAGATTTTTATTTTTATATTTACACGAGTACTTTTGCTCAGCCTTAACTAAATAAATGATATTGAATTGTAATAATCTGTCTCAACTCTATAGATAGACTATCACTATCTCAGCAACGCTAACTATTCTTTTTATTTATTTTGTTTTGTTGTCAAAACATGAATGTGAACGTGGTGTTATATTGTAACGCAGCAGCAACAGCGCGCGCCGGCGCCGCAGCAGCAGCAGAGCCAGCCGATGCACCAGAAGGCGCTGCAGCAGCTCATGGCCACCCTCCGCTCCCCCACCACGCACAACCAGCAGCAGGAGATCCTGCAGATACTCAAGTCCAACCCTCCGCTCATGGCAGCCTTCATCAAACAGAGACAGGTAAACACACCACCACACCACACCACACAACACCATACCATCCACTGGAACTACTAATCTGAACACCTTCAAAGTAGATGGCGCTAGATGCTTTAGTCGGCATTTAGTTGATTTTAAATGATTTACGTGAAAGTAGTTACATTGAAAAATTACCTAATATCTCAGATATTACACATCTCTCCTTTCTATCGTATCCGTCTTTTTCCTTTTGCAGATATGTTTAATACAAAATTACGCGATATACTCTTACACTATGACTTTATTTGTAGATACCACGAATTTTTGTGATCCCCAACTACTAGCGTCACCTAGCAGGAGCAAATTAGGACATCGCTCTGCTATTTCCTCCAAATATGATCTCCGTCAGATCGATTTTTATTTCAGATGTAATCTTTTCTAATGATATTCTTTCCCTGATTTTGTTTACATTTACTTCTAACTTCAGTTGTTCATAAAAACAATAAAAAATTAGGAAAAATATTTAAGTCTTACGTCTTAAGCGGCGGTTAGATGTAGTCAGGCACGCCGAATTTTCACTGGTAAACCTTTTATTCTTATTTTGTAAATGGTTTCACATTGTTTGAAATCAAAAAAACTTTATGTAATGATTTGTTTATTATCATTATTTTCTAATATATATTATCCAAAACTTTATCCTTTATAACCCAAATGACAGTTTTTGAATGAAATAAGTTGGCAACGCTATTTGGTTTCAGATGGCGTTACCAGCGCGGAATTGATATTACTTTATGTATATTTCGCATGGTAAATTTCCTTGAATTATGATGTTTTAAATATTATTTTGAACTAATAAACGAGTCCGGTGTTTGAGATCAAAATAGGAAGTAAATTAAGTACTCCAGTCTCTGTAATTCTTAGTTCCATTCCAATGACTTTTCCAAATATTGATTTTTTAATCTTAAAGAAAAATGCTTAAACAAAATTCGCCAGTCCTCGGTGCTCAAGATGGGATACTTTGTATTATTTTAATCTGTCGAAATCAAATTTTATTTCGATTGGATGCAGTTTTTAAAGGCTATTGTGAAAATACGAGTATCTGACAACTAAAAAAATTGTTTTAAAATTAACCAGTATCACACCAAAAATAGATTATACATAAATGAGCCATATTATTTACACAAAACCGCGCTAAAATTATCGTATGCTGTTTTTATATTCAAACACAAAGTACATATATATATATATATATATATATATATATATATAAATAAATATAAATATAATATATATATATAAATATATAAATTTCTGCGTTTGCGTTTTATATATATATATATATATATATATATATATAAAACGCAGAAATTTACCCCTCTTCAAATTTAAATTATATTACGCTTTCCCGTTTATTTCTTTTCTTTAGTACCTATTGATTTCTTATATTTTCACGCGCACTATCCATAAATGGAAAAACTTTCAAACGATTTGTTTTTTTTCTTTATTTTTAAATGGTTCAGCTGCAGTTTTCGCACAATTCTGCCAATTTCACGTATACATAGCCATTATACGACAGTGATTTCCACCGAACGAATTTTGAATAAAGTTTTTAATATAAAATTATCGCAGTGCTTTTCTAAGTTAGTTTGCTACCAATTTCATAATCACAAATACGACACTCGCTCTCATTAGTTTTTCATTTGACTTGAGGCATAAGCTACAAATATTGAAAAAAAAATTTATTGATTTAAAAATTAAATCTTTGTTACACTCAATAAATAATCTTTCAACTTTATGAAATATCTCAACACTTACAACAAGGGTGTAGACTCCCGGCCCTTTTTTTTAATTTTTATTCTAAAGATGACATGAATATATCTAAAAACAAATATTAAAATATAATTCATGTAATAAGTTAAAATCTAAAAATAAATTTAATTTTCAAAATTTCCCGCAATTACCCCACTTCTGTTATGGCGTCGCTATGACGTTAGGGTACTCTGTAACGAATATCGTTCCATGTATGCATAAAGTTCAATTCTCTAAGTTCCCATAGGAATAAGAACGGCTTGTTTGAAGTCACGTGACAACGAGTACAAAATATTTGTTTTTTTTTATAATTAGTTTAATTAATATTACGAAGATAATAAGCATAAAAGTGTGTTATTGGTAATAGTATATTAAAATTATCAGACAAAAAAGGATTTATTTTCGTTTACTGTCAACTAGGTACTAGGTATTTTAGTTTTAATCCAATTGCTGTCCAATCACCTATTGTATTATACTTACTACGGCATAGACATTGATATCGCTTTATTGAGAAAATAATGTAATATCGTCTGTGTTGACTGGTATATGGTATTTTAAGCGAAAGGTGTAAGCTAGCGTTTTGTTTCTCTTTATAGGTTTTCATTACTGCGACACACGCATAGTTAAAATTAAATGATGTTTTTGACAGAACACCCAAAACCAACAACAGGCCGCGGCCGGTGTGGGCGGCGTGGGCGGAGTGGGCGGGGTCGGTGGGGTGGGCGGAGTCTGCGGTGTCGGCCTCGGTGGCGGAGTGCCACAGCAACAGCAGCAGTTGCAGCACATGATGCAGCCGCAGCAGCAACGACTGCAGCAGATGCATCAGATGCTGCCCCAACAGTCACAGGTCAGTTAAACACATTTTGTAATAGTTCAGTAGATATCTCGAGTGATACTATTGAATTTTTGTTATTACCGTTTAAAACGATACTATGCATCAATTAGATGTATTAGTTAATCTATCGACACAAATAGGGAATTATAATATTGCAAATAATAAACATTTTTTTTTTTATTAATTCAATAACTTGGTGATTATTCCCTTGAATTCAGTTTACGTGCAATGTAGGATACGAGATTTCTTATCCGCTGTATATACCAGGAAAATTACTGGAGCTACCTATTGGAAACTATTTAACAGTTGACTCTATTCTTGATTGCTAAATATCCATTTTTGCTGCGCAGGTCGGCGGCGTATCAGGCGTCGGCGGTGTAGGCGGGGTGGGAATGGGCGGCGTGGGCGGGGGCGGCATGGGCGCGGGCGCCGGCGGCTGGTACAAGCAGGGTCAGGGCGGCGTGGGCGTGGGCGTGGGCGGCATGATGGGCCTGCGCGCGCCGTACCCTGGCGCGGCGGGCGTGGTGGGCGGGGGCGTGGGCGTGGGCGGCGTGCCCCCGCGGCTGCCCGCCCGCTACGGGTTCAGCGGGGGCGTGGTGCAGCGCTCGCCCGAGAGCACCGCCTCCCCGCGGCGGCCCTCCCCCGCGCCGCACCCGCCCGACGACAGCCTGCCGCCCATGACGCCCCAGGACCAGCTCACCAAGTTCGTCGAGCAGTTGTAGTGTACATACCCCCCCCGCACCCCATGTAAATATACACACACTCGCACCTCGCGCGTCCCCTCCCCCTCCCGACCCTCACCTCCCGCGTCCCCCCTCCCGGCCCTATTTATTACCGCGCGAGGATAGTTAAGTATTACCATGAATCGAGCGCTCAATGTACAAAATGTAAATATGAGAGGAACGTCCTGTCCGCTTTGCGTAATGTAAGTTGTTCGTAGTGTAGGTACATTATGATACTTATTCTGTTTATTGTAATTAAATCATTTTATAATATAATTATGTGATCATTATAAACGGTTGTTTTTGTTCACCTGATCTCGCCATAGAGTATATTTTTGACACACTGTAGGACAGTACTCCATCCAGGGAGTCCCACTTTTTGGAGAATCAGGGAAGAAAAAGATGGTTGGTAGTGTTTATTTAAAAATATAGAATTTAAATTATATTTTCGGACTATTCTTTTAATTCGGAGCGCAACAGTTTCTTTTAAGCACAATATATGTGGTAGGAATCTATTACTGCGATATTATGTGCCAATTTCATCAAACCTTGTCAACGTAATGTTTATTGTGTATGGACCGTCAAGGCTTGTGATTGCTTTTAATTTTTTGTTCATGAAATTAGCGTGAAGAGAATGGAGCCCCAGTTTTCCATGTCTAGTGTTTTTTGTCTTTAGATCGTCGACGCTTTCCGGTATCGTCAGTTGTATAGTTAGTATTTTGATGATGGTTATAATATATAGATGTTAATGCGCTATAATTCCTCGTGTCCAACTATCAAACGTGCGACATCCAGAAAAACTACGAACTAATATTCCTTACGCTCTAACGTGTCTTCAATTAATTTGCACATTTATGGACATGTTTCAAACTGGCATGTTCCTTTCTTAAACCAAATCTGAAATAATTCCCTTGTCTGAGAGCATGTTGAGTAGTCTTTTTTTAAAGTTTGGATATATACAGTAGGATCATGGATCGGTAAGACGTTAACGTCATTTGGTGGTTTACCAGGTTTTACTATCATAACGTTCTGTGATACTTTCCACGATGATGGGAAGTATGCTTCTTTCATGACAGTGTTGAATAATATTATTATTTTTTTTTTAGCCAACGTAAAAATTAAGTATTTTTTATTTTTATAACCAGTTGTACATTTAGTTAAAACAAAAGAAATATCTAAATGATAATAATTGTAATTAAAAAAATATTGTTGATTTCTGCATTAAAAATGATATGCCCATGATTTAAAATAAGATTAATAAATTGTTTTTTTTTTATATTATTTACATACATTCATACTGCATTGCTGCCATTGCCAGTGAAATAGAGAGAATCAAATGCGCCACACAATGTGCTAATGAAGAATCATTAGCACATCTGAGAAAGTACCATGTGGTCGGACAGCTTCTTAGAACAGACCTATGTGTCTGCTTTATAAAGAATAAAATAAATAATAACAGACATAAATTGTAGCAATGCTGAAACATTAGTTCCTTGCAAAATGAAGAGAGAGAATCAAAATTATGCTTTTTCTTTAGCATGACTGGGAAAGTCATTGTATATAATAAGTATCATATATAAATTTCAGCTTTGCTGGAATAAGGTAAATTTGTATAAATTTCAAGTAGCTTTGAAATTTTATAAAATATAAAAGGAACCGGAATAAGTATCAGCCATACAATTTTACTATAGAAATAATTATATATTTTAAAATATCAAAACGGCAAACATGATGCCATCACGTTTTGAAAGTCAATATTTGTGAGTTCGACTCCTAGGCACGCTCAAAGGAACCATCGATCGGAATAGTGAACCCCCATTTCACCAATGTCAGGTGAAACTACAGGTACATACATGGCTTTAATATGAAGTTTGCTACTGTACCGTATGTAAGTCTGCGGAATACTGGCTAGTCTATAAGAATCAGAAATGTTTCGAATTCATTGAAGTGAGTGAAATGAAAGTTCCTAGCTCATCATCATCATCACCAGCCCTTTTACGTCCCCACTGCAGGGGCTCAGGCCTTCCTTATGGATGTTTGAGGAGGATGGGCCATGACCCTCCACGCTGTCCCAATGCGGATTGGAGGGTATTAACGACTGCAAATGCAACCGTGACCAACGGCTAAACGTGCCTTCCGAAGCACGGAGTAGCTCGAGATAATAATTTTTTGGTCACCCAGTCCGTGACCGACCCTTGCGAAACTTGCTTAACGACTACGATCGCGGGCCGCGGCGCTTATCCACTATGCCACCGAGCTACTCAAAGTAGAAGTCTCAATTTAATTACCGTCTTATAAATCGAATCGAAGGAGGATTTTATATGTTCGACGGCGATCTATGTTTTTTTTATGTATGTTCATTTTTTTAAAACAAAATATGCTAAGTATGCCTTTCAACAGATATCACCTAAATGTTATGACGACATCAGCCAAAAAACAAAAGATTGAGTATTTTGCATTCATTTAAAACCCGAAAGGAGGTCCATGTTCAACGGATATGCATATTTTTCTTAAGACTCAATATGTTGACATATTTTTTATATATATCTATACTAAAATTATAAAGAGGAAAGTTTTGTTTGTTTGCAACAAATAGGCTCCGAAACAACTGGACTGATTTTTAAAACTTCACCTACGGGAAGAAACATCATATGCATTGAACATTGGCTATATTTTATTTTGAAAAAAGGGCTGAAATGGGAGTGGAAGTTTATACGGGGAATTAAAACATTTACACAGTTAACTATTCAATTTTTTTATGTAACTATATCGGTGTCATGATATGAAATGAAATGAAAATATCTTAATTCAAGTAGGCATATAACACGCATTTACCCAGAAATGATCCTCTGGTTTTCTGAAGTCTGAAGCTTGGAACGGCAAGTTTGTTTTTATTTCTTGTGTTAAGATTATGAATACTACTTTTTTTGGGAAGGAATCGTTATGTTTTCTTGCGTACATAATATTTTCATTGATGTATTGAGAGGCAACAGTCAAAATATTTATTTCTTTAAATATTTCTCTGAGAGATTCTCTAGACCGTAAATTATATATAGCGCGGACAGCTCTCTTTTGTAGAATAAAAGTATCTTGAATGCTAGCCGCAGAACCCCACAACAATAGACCATACGTCATTACGCTATGAAAGTAACTAAAATATACCAATAACCGTTTCAACATTTGTCAAGAGTTTAATTTTCTTAACAGCAAAGCAGTCTACTTGACTGCACTGCGTTACTGCAGATCCCATTGCAGTCGGGAATCTAGTGTAATACCAAGGAACTTTGTCGATTCCACCAACTCAACTTTTTCACTATTTACATTTATAAGTGTACTAACATGCCTCACATTAGGTAATGCAAACTTTTTGCATTCCGTTTTATTCGAATTAAGCTTTAAATTATTATTATCAAACCACAGTAGAACATTATCGAGAGCATCATTTACATCGTCAAAACAATCATTGCCGCTCTTAACTTTAAACACTTAAGAGGTGTCATCACAAATTCTTCGTAAAGTGTGGAAGATCATTAATGTAAGTTAGAAAAAGCAATGGTCCTAATACCGATCCCTGAGGTACGCCCATAGTAATAGGTGCCCCTGAAGATTTCGCTTCATTACTTACTACTTTTTGAATTCTATCAGAAAGATATGATTTTATTAGATTAAGTGAATTCTTCGTCACACCATAATGCTCTAATTTCCCCAACAGTGTTTCATGACTAATGCAGTCGAATGCTTTTGACAGATCGCAAAAAATGCCGATAGCATCTTGTTTATTCTCCCAAGCATCATAGATATGTCTCAGAAGTGCAATTCCAGCGTCTGTGGTACATTTACCTCTGCTAAAACCGAACTGATTTTTGTAAAGTAATTTATTTAACGAAAAGTGTAAAAGCAGTTGATTATAAATAATTTTCTCGAATACTGATTGATGATGATGATGATGATGATATGAATCGTCAAGCAAATAAACAGTTTCCTAGGGACCACGCGGCCGAAACAGCTGGCGGAAAACTAGTATCGAATATTTAAAAAGTTATTACATCGGGCGCAATTGCGTTCAAGAGTAAAAAGGCAGGTGGTCGGTGGTCGGAGCTACGACCGTCTGCCGTGTCCCATAAGCATGCAGGTTCTATTGAACGCGTTCATTAGTGAGCTCGTTAGCGTAAAACTTGCACTTACCACTCTGACGTGACGGTTTAATGTGTTCTCACGCGCGTACCCTCCAATTGCTTTTATTAATACGGCGCACATGTCAGTTAACAGATTTGTGTTGCTCTGCCCAGTAGTGTTGAAAAACCTTCCACCAATATTATCCCCTTTATCATATCTTTCAAAACTAAACTCAAGGAGCACTTTCTAGCACAATGTTCGTATTCATAGTTTTTGTAATCATTATTATTTTTTTTTATATGTATATTATATAATATTGTTTATTTATGTATTTTTTTATTGATTTTTTATATCATGGCTATATGTTTTAATGTTAATATTCATTCACATCAAATTTTACAAATATGCACTTGTCAGTTTCCCGTTACTGTTTGATCTCCCACACCGCCTGGTTGGCTGGAAGAGATCTCTTATAGAGAAAAGCCCACCCTTGCTTGTGATTTACCTACTATTGTAATGTTAACTTTGTTTTTTGTGCAATAAAGAGTATTTATCGTTATTGATACGAACCCAGAACCTTTCGCGATTCAGTCGAGTGTTGTAACTTATATAGTTATTTCATGATAAAGTAATTAATTTAATCTAAATTTTCAAATTTTAAAATATTTCTAATAATTACTTTCTGTTGTTTAGATTGATATAGATTGCCCTATAGTAGGGGAGCCCGAGGATTACTAAAGCGTGACAGATTAATATACGGGGGACCTTGTATAATTAACAATAATTAATCCCACCAAATATGAGCCCAATACCTATATCTATCTATATGGTCGCCGGCAAGGATGAATTCTCGTGCACGTCAGATTAGGGTATGGTGATTAGAGTTACATGCTAAAACGTGTATATTTCACCAATCGGACAATTTGAGAGAGTAAATAAAGTGGAATAAAAAAATGTTTTTTATAAATACAAATATTCTACTTAAAAACCATCCTTTTTTTTATTTGCAGACTATTTCCTGATCTTTTCAATCGATTGAGTTCAATGATTAAATAAAATATAATCATATTATTACATATCGAAAAAAGAGAAGAAAAGTTACAAACTGAAGGTTTTTAAAGAACAAAAATTAAAATGGAATGAAAAATATTAATGAAAACTTAAAACACGTATGCGCTGAAATATTTAAATACAAAAATTTCATGGATGCGAGAAACCTGTAGACCATTTCTGCTAATATTTAAAATATCTGTTACCATCGAATTGTGAAGAAGATAGTAGGTACTACATATTAATATTGGACTTCAGCACGCGTAGCATGACAAACTCGAGAACGTTTTGTCTACACTCAAATGTCACTTTTCTCGGGTGCGCCCATACGATATCTCACTCTCGACCCGAGAAACTGACAAATGAGTGTAGACAAAGCGTTTCTCGAGTTTGTCATGTTACGCGTGCAAGTAAATAGTGCAATGGCAAAACACAAGTCGTTGTGATTCCATTGAGATGCGATTATTAACGTAAACATTGCCATTATTGCCTGAATTTATGAATCCCCTAATTTTTAGGGCCTGAAAAGCCCTTTAAGGACCTATCCTTCATGTAATGAATATATGAAAATAAAAGACAAACTATATAAATCGTTTTAATCTGTGATAATGTTAAAATAAACATCTTAAGTAGTAATTTTAGAATAAGTAACAGTTGCATTGCTGTACACGATATTCACGATGTGCCCCATCAACGCTACAAATAAATCGCTATGCCTAGCAGACTATTTAGTTCTTTGTTCAATAACATAAAAACGATGTTGGCTCGAATTGGAATCAACAATTTGAAATCCAGCAATATAAAAATCCTTAATGAATTAATCTGTGTATATTAAACAGTTTTAATAAAAATTAACGTGATTTTATGGCTGGTCGTGTAACATGATCGATATATTTATATAAAGCAATATGTTCTGTATATATAACAAGACTAGCTCTGAAATGAACACAGGAACTAAGAGTCTTACATCATAAAAACAATAACATTAAAGTTTACTTTGGGATGGCCCACAACTAATTTTTAGGCTTTATTGATATAATTTATACAAATTTTTTGTCCTAATAACTTTTCATATTTGCTGGTGATCACTCGGCAACGTTCAAAACCTATTAAAAGTAACATCCAAGACGTTAAACCTGTATTAAGATGCTTGATAAATAACATTTCATTCTATTATTAGCGCATTTAATATTTAATCTGCCTGTAACATATTTACTTAAAGACTATGTGTTTGTGTCTGGAGCATTGTTTTTCTTTTGTATTCAGAAAGTACTACTCACCGGCGGTATCTTACAAACACAGTAAACTTATTTCTTTCCCAGATATACTTTTTTTGATGGATGCATTTTTAGCTCTATCTAAATGGAATAAGGTTGTCACATGAATGCTGCAAAACAATAACTGAAAATGCTCGCTATCGGTGATCACTTATTACAATACAAATGCCGCATTGACAAAGAATTATTCCCATAATTTGTCTGTTTAATAAACGCATTGTGGAGTTGCGTCCACAATAATTAAAAATTATTCAAGTTATATCTATACTTTAGTCATACCAGGGGATTTCTTACACCACTAACATAATCTAACAAAAACAATGATCTAAATTTAATAATAACAACAAACAAACTATAATAAGCAATGTATAATGGGCAGATTGAAGTTTTTGTCATAAATATATTTTGTACTGTAAATAAAATTGTATAGACAATAAGGCCAGCACTGAAAACTAGTGTTAAAAATACTTAGTACGCATGTGCAAAAAGCGTTTTATGAAAAAATAAAAAAGTAGTTAGATTTTGAAGCATCGTTGCTCAACCTATAAGGCGCCAACCGGAGATAAGAAACGATCGACTTCAATATAGTATCTCTTAAAGCCAAATAAAAATTAGGTACAAAAAACACACTCACACTCACACACAGAAATGGAAAAGTAGAATTACACAACATTAATTTAAATATTATGCACATTTCATTTTTTTATACATTTTTCAATTGCAACACGTAATAATTTACAATATGAACATAGTTTTAAGTACCCAGAGGGAATTTATAAGCCTAGGGTCATTTATTATGCATGTACATATATATATATATATATCACTCTATTCATAAATAACACGTATTCATAACAATCTTCCATGTTTCCATAGCAGTGAATAATAAAAATAATTCACAACAAATACAATACATATTTTTGTGACATTCCGTGATGTAAGTTTCGCTTTGTGCCAAATGAGAACAATGGAGTGACACGTGTGCCATGCCAATATCAACCGTATCCCTGTGAGCATAAAGTCACATGCTCCTACAATTTAATCAGTTTCTTAAAACCATGATTAAGTTACAAACAATAAAACAACATATTTATAAACTGACAAAGTAAAACCATCTTTGTTTAACATTGGCACAAAACTAATATTAAGCCAACATAGGAATGTACTATAAGATACATTATCATGATCGGTAATTTCTTAACCATTGTAGGTACTCAAATTAATATGCCATCATTCAGTCTTTCAATTCATGAAACTGTAAATATACATCCAAACATCTGAAATAAGCTATAATCAAAAGATAACTTGATACAACAGATTTTATATCCAAGTCCCATCGTCAAGTATTTCGGTTCCTTCTTTCGGTAAAGATACATTTTTGAATTTTAAAAACTGATTCATTATGTATTGTAACGCACTTAACAAAGGCAAGCTCTTACAAAATTTACATTTCACTTATGTTACATTTTACAAGGTCTCGTTTAGACGACGCGAACGAATTTACATACGGCTCGCGGCATCAGTATGTTATACAGAAGTATTATAATACTGTTACCTACGAAATAAGATACATATTTACTAAACGTAGTAGCCTCGAGCAGTCTGCGTTAGATCGACGCTAGAGTGTTATTCGTGTCGTATGAACGCGCCCTTACAAATATCTGCATAGAGAAATAAAGTTCAGAGTTCATTCACAACATTAATAAACAATAAGTGTTACTAAATAACGTATATGTTTGCTGAAAAGTTTTCGATTCGTTTAATATAATATCGAGTGTACAAAGACATTATGAAATTACAAAAGATTTCAGTTGACTTTCTTGGATGGATAGTAAAACTTACTGCACATAGATCACAAGTCTGTAGTTCAATATAAATATTTCCATTAAAACAGTGCAACAATTATTTATATGACATAATTATTTATCTCCGAATTTTTAAAGTATATGCAGTGAACAGTGTTTTATATTCTTTTCTGCAGCCAAGATATTTTTCAACGTATTCCCAATTCCATTTTAATTTGGTATCAGTAATAAATGATTCAAAACTAATCAGGTATCAAATGCTACACAAAATACTATGAACAGGTACTTAGATTATGGCCACTGAGATCTGGCTGTGACCATAAAACATATACTGTAGAGGAGATTATAACCTGGTGTAAAGTCTGGACTTATTCCCGTTTCTTGTCGGCGGGTGTGGATGCGGGCGAGTCAGTATCCTCTGTCTCCTCATCAGAGTAGGTAGTGGGCTCTTCTCCTGGTTTCAGTAGACGACCAACGAGATCGTATTTCTCTGTAATATATATATACATATATATATTTTGACAAAGTAATATTTCCTATCCTATTATCACAAAACATTTATTACAAATATGCTGAAGCTGGAAATATAAGGTCTAAAACCACGATTTTTTTAAATAAAAAACCAGATAATATAGTTTGAGCCTAGACCGATAGGGCGGTCATGTCGTCAAATTTGTGACGGCCGACACTGATATTTCACCCCAAACATAATGCAACATTTTTCATAGACGACCTACAAATTAAGATCATAGATGAACCAAAGAAAGTCCAAATGAATGGAGCAACCTTACTTCTTATTTTAACACCTATGTTACTGGCATTTACTTCAAAAGGTATGTCCAAATTTGTCCAAGACGCGAGAAAGTGATAACACTTAAAAATGGGGATATAGGCGTGCAATGGTTTTTCTTATTTGTATTTTTGCTAGTTTATTAGTACTATGGAACAATAAGTGGTTCCCCATTACTAATCGTGGCGCTGCCATATCTTATCTACAGATAATGTAGGCGTATCATATTGCAAGTTGCAGCGTTATCGCGTAATAAAAGTTGTTTTCGACATGCTTGTCTGTACATAAATAACATTTTCTATTATTAGCTTACATTGACCAAGTATCCAATTATTAGAACAAATTTTCATCTTTATTGAAACTTTAAAATATTTCTAAAACTGATTTCTTTCGGCTCTTTGGGTGGATCGCCTGAACATTGATGAAAATATGCTCCGTAGTAACGAAAAAATGAACAATTGCTTGAAAGATTCGTCAGTCCTGTTAGGTCCTGGGTAACTCAGTGGTTAGAGCAGTCGCCCTGATTGTGAAAGTGGAGTATTTTTTAAGCATTTTTCATTAAGAATATGGTTACTATTGTTGGACTGTAACATTATTTGTACCTACCTCTAAATTGTGCCTCCCACTCTTTGACGGATTCCATCTCCATGGAGTTCAGATCACTCAAGTCATCATACTCTTTATCAGATGATGTGACAGAAAATGTGGCAAGGCCCCTTGATGCGTCTTTGCCACCAAATGCTGCATATGGTCCCCCTGAGATATTAAGTTAATTTCTAATTTTATGATTTCATAAACAAATAGCTTTTGCCTGTAACGTCGTCTGCGTGGTATTGTTTCTTTCAGTGACTTCCATACAAACATCTTATAAAAGATAAACCATGTCCTTTGCAAGGTCAGACTTTTATGGAAATGAAAATAAAATGATGAGATTGTTGTATTGGATTAGGCGTGAAAGCATTAATGCAAAAAATATTGCTATCCATAGAATTCTGTACCGTTAATATAATTATTTACAAGAATAAGCTTATGAATCGACAACAATTTGGTTTTACAAGAGGTCGCTCAACAACCGAAGCCGGTGTCGAGTTAATACAAGAAATTTTTAATGCCTGGGAGGATTCACATGATGCGTTAGGTGTTTTCTGTGACCTATCTAAGGCATTTGATTGTGTTTTTCATGAAACATTGATTAGGAAACTGCATTTTTATGGATTTAGAGATAACTCATTGGATTTTATTGTATCATACTTGACTGACAAAGTACAGAGGGTTGATATCAATGGCAAAAGATCCCCTGGATCGAAAATTAAGATGGGTGTTCCGCAGGGCTCAATACTTGGTCCTTTCTTGTTTTTGATTTACATAAATGACTTGCCTTATTTCGTAAGGGATGATCACGAAATAGTTTTGTTTGCGGATGACACTTCACTTTTGTTTAAAATTAAAAGAGGGTTACCTCTAAATGACGATGTGAACAATTCTATCGCTAAAGTAGTACATGGTTTAATGTGAATAATCTTCTCCTTAATGAAGGAAAAACGAAATGCTTAAAATTTGTACTACCTAATATTAAAAAAGTAGATATAAATGTTAATATAAAAGATAAGAACATGGGCCTTGTGGATACCACAGTATTTTTAGGAATAACATTAGATTCTAAACAGTGGGGCCCACATATTGATAGATTGTCGAGTAGACTTAGCTCTGCAGCATATGCCGTAATGAAAATACGTAGGTTAACTGACATAGATACTGCCACATTAGTATACTTCAGTTACTTTCATAGTGTAATGTCGTACGGAATCCTATTGTGGGGAAATGCTGCCGACATACAAACAATTTTTGTGCTTCAGAAAAGACAATTCGATCAATTTATAATCTTAGGATTAGGGACTCTTTAAGGGAGAAATTTAAGGAAATAGACATTATGACTGTTGCTTCTCAATACATATACGAGAACTTAATGTACGTTCGTAAAAATATTAGTTTGTTTTCTATAAAAAGTGATGTACACAATTTTAATACAAGAAATAAAAATAAATTAACGGTGTCTGTCACTAGACTGCAAAAAGTTAATAACTCATTCAAGGGTCTTTGTGTGCGCTTCTACAACAAGGTCCCGAGCAAAATACAACAATTAGATATCATGTAGTTTAAAACTACTATTAAAAAAATACTTATTAAAAAAGCTTATTATAAGGTATCCGATTATATAACAGATAAGAACGCTTGGACTTGAGACGATCCAGCAACTGGATAGGTGATTCTAAACTCATTATCTTGTTTCCATTATTATTAAATGATTATGTTATCATTATAAGACCATATTTTATTTATTTTTATTTTTTTCTCTATCTCTGTTTATAATGTATTGATCTGGTAATGACATGGTTTTTGTAAATGTCATTACTCTTATTAGAGCTGGTGAGTTTCTTGCTCGTTCTTCTTATCAGCCAAAAGACGTCCTGAACGAGTGGTAGGGAAAAAAATGTTGGACGATTCAAAAATACTTTTAAGAAGTCTATTTGAATAAAGATTATTTTGAGTTTGACTAATGTACCGTGAAATATTTCATTTTGTTGAATTGACAGCAACCAAATCTTTCTAGGAATTATCTTTGGTGAACAAACAGGAATTCCCATTTTTTCCGAAGATCCATCCTACACGTGCCCCTGGGTGGTGCTAAAGAGTGAGAGCCTAACAAGTTTGTCCCTGTTGGAGGTAAGATTACCTAATTACCCCGACAACTCGGTCCCTGCGGCCATGTCTGAAGGTCTGAATTTAATCATTTTAACTGTGAGGAAAAATACCTGAATAAAAAATAACCAGTGATCCAAGGAAGACAACCGTTAGAAAAAAAACCCAATCCCATTGGTGACAATTACGCTGAAGGGATGAAAATTGCTGAAGAGCACCGCTTCAATGTGAACGGCTAACATCGTTGTATTGTGCCTTCTCATAGGAATGCGCGCACCATATAAGTGATCTTTTTTATATCGACCATTATCGTGGGAATAATTTTAATGTAATCAATAAAAATCCAAAAAAAAAACTGACGCAACAAGCTTTTCATCCAGGACTCTTTAATTGATAGACATCAAGCTCCCTTAACTGAACTGCCATCTAATCAATGAAATGCATTATTGCAGATTACAGTTTCAGATGCAAATACAGTGGAATCCGTATACTCGTATGTCAAGAGAAAAGCCAAAAATTTCGAGTTAATGAGTTTTCGACTTAACAAGGATTTCGATATACAAAGGATTAAACTAAAATTTCGACATAAAAAGGCGCTACGAAATAATATTTCTCTTGAATTTTATGGCACAAAATTTATTAAAAGAAATTACTCATACATACAAATGTACGAATATTAGTCTAGTTTAGTTCGCATCGCTACCCCGAACATTCTTTTTGGATTTTATTGCTATGAGTTCGGGAAAATTCCAAGTCCGTCGTCATTATATTTTACTATTGACTTAAGGAGTCTGTTTTTTGAATTTCGAATTATAAAGTATAAATATGTACTATCAATACCTCTTGGGAAATAACATTTTGTTCGAGTTATAAAGTCTAAATAATTCGAGATATTGCGGATTTGGGGGTTCACCGGAAGGGAATAGAAATTATTTTCGACTTACTGTGGATTACGATTTAACGAGGTTCGAATTATAGAGGTTCCACTGTAAAACATGTACAGGCCCACCACCATGGTAACGTACGAGTATATTTATTAGAAAAAACCAAAAACTCAGAGAACATATCCACTCACAATATAGATTTGCTAATCTACCTGTCAACCCTTTAGAAACAGATGTACTATACAAACCACCACTTATCATTCTTCATGTTATAGAGCAGTGATTCCCTAAGTGGTCCAGGTGGATCCCCAGGGGTCCAGGAGGGATTCAACGGGGGTCTACGTTGGCGTGAAATTCCATCGTTAGATCGTCACATTTTGGACGAATTTTGGAAATATGGTAAAAATGTATCAGCAGGGGGTCCACCGAAACCAGTAAATTTTTTAAAATGGTCTACGAGAAAATTGTTTCGGAACTGGTATAGAGGATCTGAGCAAGCCGACAAATCTTATAGGAAATTTAGTAGGTAGATTTAAAATTTTAAATTGTCAACAAAAATCTATTACGTATTATGGTAAATTCAGTTGAAAAATATAAAGTTATCGATTTGATACATCAGAAAGTATAATCGGTCATACTTTTACCCAAAAGCAAACTAAGGGTTATTTTATCGTAATATAAAATCTCCACCATACTACGCCAGATGAAACCATCAAAGAAGAAATAGAAAAGACGGGTAATATAATAAGGTTAGAGGGGATATTATTAATTCAAGATATGGGCCTGATAAAAAACTGACATCTACATTTTTCGTCAACCTTGAACCAGATATTTGTAATAAAACAACTCATGATCTTCAATACATATATCCCCAGTGGATTACAATTCGGTCTTCGTAAATCGAAGACTATTGTACAATACCTACAAGAGATTATAACAGTATGGGCACAAAAAATATCTGCATAAGACTCTATAGATGTGTCAAATGCGGCGAATATCATAAAACATCAAATTGCACAAAATAAGACTAAAACACTCCAGCCAAGTATGCTCTTTGCTCATGTGACCATCCTGCAAACTACAAAAGCTGTCAGGTCTATAGAGAAATTCAAGTGAGGAAAACGAACAACCGAAATGCTAGAGAAACACCTAAACCAAATAATGCTATAGACATTCACCAGATCCAATTAGAACAAAAAACTCAGGATTCAAACACTACTCATCTTCAACCAAAAAGCTGAAGATCGAAGAGAAGTGACGTTTAAGACGTTTTTGGCAATTATGTTGTCATCCTTCTGATAGATTAACGTTTAATCGAGCCACGAGAGAATTAAAAACTATGCTCAAGGGGTCTAACAACAATAAAATGCGAACATACATATGTAATTATTGATGTTATCAGCAACTGATCAAGGTGAACTCTTTGTGGAAGGCAACAAAAGATCTTGATAAATCACAAAAACACAATCCTCCAATTAGAACACAAACAAGTTGGGCGGACGGATAGTGAAAAAGCAGAAACTTTTGCGATACTCTTTGCAAAAGTGTTCATCCCTAATGAAGGTTGTGGAAACTACCACGAGATAGAAGGAATTCTCAATCGGGACTTTCAAATGTCCTTACCTATCAAACCAACTTCAACTGGGGAGATAATAAGAGAAATAATAAACCTCCAGGTTATGATCTGATTACTCTGAAAATACAAAAGGAACTGCCAGGGAAAGCCATAGTAATCTGACATACCTGTTTTTAGACATTCCCATTTCCCTGCTTTATTCATAAGCCAGGTATGCCACCAAATGCAGCTTCATTATTTAAACCCATAAGCCTAACGCCTATGTATAGCATACCGGCTTTGGGAAAGAACTTTTCTTCATAGGCTAAAAAAGCAATGGTTGAGTGATACCTAGTTCCGGCGTATCAGTTTGGCTTTAGAAAGTCTCACTCTACTCTCTCTGTTTATCACACCATAAATCAGGGCTTTGAAAATAAGGTGTATACGTTTGCAACATTTTTAGATGTGGAATAGGCTTTTGATTGTGTCTGGCATAAGGGCCTGTTATGCAAGTTAAGGATAAACTTCCCCATTCATTCTTTCTAATCATTACGCCATATCTATCTGAAACATAATTCCAAGTTAAACATGGAGAAGCAAGAACAAAGCGGGAGTCCCGCAGGGTAAGTTTTGGGACCTGTCCTATATATTTACGCCCAATCACCTCACCTCCTCTGACGTAACAGTCGTGACTAATGCCGACGATGTTGCTTACCTGGCATATGATAAAGACCCAACAATTGCTAATCACAAATTTTAGTCAGTGCTAGATGAATGATTACTTGGATTCAGAAATGGCATATCCATGCAAGCGCAAAAAACAAATCAAATTTACTCTGAGGAGAGGTAACTGATCTGCAGTGAAATTGGATGATTTGATATGTTGGTTTTTGTGGTTGGGGTGGATTGGGCTCATGTGGAAAAAACACGTAAAGAAGAAGGGACCAGAACAATTCGAAATATTGATCTGGTATAAACCTTTACTAGTTAATGGTTTGAAATACTGTGGAAAACAAACTCCTTTTTTATAAAAGTATATTGAAACCTATATGAACCTATGGCCTTCAACTCTGGGGTGTGGCTAGTAACAGTAGCATAATGTGTCTTCAAAGAGCCCAAAATGGAATGCTCAGAGACATTGTAAATGCACCATAATTCATGTGAAACAGTGAAATACACTAGTACCTGAACACCCTCAAGTACAGTGGTACTAGAAGAAATTCAAAATTGTAGGAAACATTATTCTCAAAGACTGGCTACTCACCCAAACCCATTGGCTACAGAGTTATTGAATAATGTGGATTTAGTCAACAGATTTTAGAGAAGCAATATAATTAAGTGGGGAAGCTGTGGTGATTGCTTCAGTTTCCTAAATGCTTTTCTTTCCCTTCAAATAAATTAATAACTGTCCTGGTGGTTGGACTGATGACAATGTTTGATACTTGTATATAGACAAAAAAGAAATTATGTGCTAAAATATCTATTTATTTTTTTCTAAAAATTCTAGATTAATTTGTGACCAAAGTGTTGTGATGTTTTTAGAAGGAATGTTGTGATGTAAATGGAAATTAAAAGTCTTCATTTTCTTTCCTTTCCCACATTATTGTTATAGTGACCATTTACCATATTTTATCTATAATAATGTCACATTATAATTATAAATGTGGCTTAATTGCTCCATTTTAAAGATGTACTCTATATAATAGAACGGTAATATATGGAGAACATATAATCAGTGAAAAAAAATTGCAAAATGACTTTTGTTGATTACCTCACACTGTAATGGATAAACTGATACTCAAATTACATACTAATAGCATTATTTAAAAGATTTTAAAGTTTTTTTAATAAAATTTCACTTAGTTCATTGTTTAAGAAATCACTTTCTGTGAGATTAGAGTATGGGTAAAAAGTTTTTATAAGAGCATTTTTTAAGACAATCATCAAAACCATTTACTCATAGTAAAGATGGTAGTGTTTTATTGGTAATTCACATATGAACAAACTTAGAATTTAAAACTATAGTGGCATTTGTCATTTAAATAAATAATACGACTTTCAGATAACTTTGATAGTAATATTAACAGTGTTTTGTATTCAAAAACACTATGAATGAGTCACTCGAGTCAATTCTATTTATAAATACGATACTATTCAAGGTATACACACCGGGGCCGTAGAATCGACGTCCTCGAGTCACGTCGAATATCCAACCATTAACTGCAACCAATACCCTCCCATCAGGCTGGTTACCGTCATAATGACGAAGTTCTGCCACGGTCATATCCTTACGAAGTTTCGGTAATTCTAACACTACCGTATCCGTCGACGACTTCACGAACTTACAATATATTTTGAACAACAAAAAACTTATAATTGCAGACAGGAGTATATTTACGGGACTAATCACACTCGCTATCGTATTAGCAAAACCAGGCGCTTCTTCAAAGCTTTCGCTTTCTGGTGCTTTGGTTTCGGGCGTTGATGCCATTTTATAAAAAAAAGGATTTAGTATTTGTTTACAAGAAGAAAAAAACCCTACGTTTTCTTCTAGCTACTAGTGAATTACAGTGAAGTGAATCGGCTCGATCCTCCAGTTTAAAATAATGTAAATTAAAATGTTAAAACGCTGTCTGAAAATGACGTCAACCCACTACGTTTAGCAATAAAATTTGTCTGTTATGTCAATGTCACTGTCAATTAGTCACAGACCAATGTATTCGTTCCATGGACGTAACAGTACTCACAGCTGAAAAGCGCACGAGTCCCATCACAGAGTGCCGCCAGGGATGGAGTGAATTTTTTAAGCATTTTTCATTAAGAATATTTTTCAGTATAGCGTTATGAATGCAAAATTAATCAACTATAAAAAATTATTATGATGCATATTGATAAAAAAAAAAAAATTTTAAAATAAATAAGACTCTTTTGTAGATATTTATAAGATCTACAATTAATTATAACATTTTATGGTTCCGTTTTTTATAGTTTAGGCGGCGTACGTAAAATAAGTAACTTTTCTGGTTGATTTTTTACACCTTGTGTCCGAAAAACCCAAATATATTACGGAACCCTATTTTTTTCCAAAATAAAATATACCTTATGTTACTCGTGGATAATGTAGCTTTGGAATGTTGAAAGAATTTTTAAAATTGGTACAGTAGGTTTTGAGCCTATTGAATGATAAATAAACGAACAAACAAAGTTTTACTTTTTATAATATTAGTGTAGGTAGACAATAAACAAATAAGTGCAAAAGTACATATGAGCATGAAAATATGATTCTTGAACCAGAATTTTGGTGTACTTTAAATTATTATCTTGTAAATTTTTTGAATATACCTCATTACCACAAAATAATACCACATTTCAACGTTAACCAGATACATATAGCTATCATATATCTATAAAACTAAGAATATTGGTTATATAATATAAACAAGAATTAGGGATTATTTAAAGAAAAAACGAAAGTACTAAAAAGTACCACTTTAGATGGCGACTCTAGCAAAAGTTGATTTTGTAGGAAACGAATGGAGCAAAGATAGTTTTTTCCCATTCCTTTTAATAAAAATATAATAAAACTGAAATGTGCAAATTTCTAAAATTAGATATCAATACAAATACGAAGAATTACAAATAAAATATGACTTGTTTTATTGAGTTTTGAAATTAATTTACTTTTATACATGAAAGAAAACTGGAAAGGTTGTTTATGGAGAAACCAAGAAAGTACCGTAACGACATCAAGTTTGACTTCGGGAACTAATTTTTTTTTTAAATACTTCCTCATTAACTTTAACAACAAACCAAACAAAAAAAACTAACGTTTCCTTATATGTCAATATAATCTCAACTACTTTCTTGCACTTTACCATTGTACTATCTATCTGAAGTCCAATATTATTATTTATTTTGTAACCATTGATATGTTAGGAAGACATTGCATAAAGGTATCTTTGAGTAATCGTAGTATTTAAAATATCTGTGATAACGATTCCAATAAACGAATGTTATTCTTCATTTTCAGCCCCCCCACTGCAGGTGCTCAGGCCTTCCTTATAGATGATTAAGGAAGATGAGTATGACAACGAACGACGACTGTTAATGCATCTAGGACCAACGGTTTAGTGTGCGTTTCGAAGCGCGGAATACCTCGAGATAATGATTTTTTGGTCACCCATTCTGTAACCGACCCTTGCGAAAGTCGCATAACAACAACGAGTAGCGTATCTACGCTACCCTGCTATTCCGAATTAACACTATATTTTGTATGATAAAACACTGTTAACATAATAATGAGAATTTAAAAAAATGAAAGCACTAAAAAACATCTCCACTAGATGGCGACTCTAGCAAAAGTTGATTTTTGTAGGAAACGAATAGATAGAAGACAGTAATTTTCGTTCCTTTTAATTAACATATTAAAAAACTGAAACTTATAAAGTTCGAAACTAAGATACGAAAAAGCATAAATAGAATATGAGTTGCTTATTGAGTTTTGAACACTAATTTACTTTTAAACTTGAAAGAAAACCGGAAAGGTTGTCATGGAGAAATCAAGAAATTACCGTAGCGTAGCGACATCTAGTTTGATTTCGGGAACAATTTTTTTTTTAAATACTTCCTCATTTACGAGCTTAGTATGATTTACAATATATAATAAAGTGATTTACAGGATTTTTTCCAAAAAACAAAGTTAAATCAACAAAAAACGGATAAGTTTTCCGAAAAAGAGAACGTTTCGCGGCATTTTTCGTCTCTACCAATATTTTACCCTCTACCATCACTTATCATGTAGCTAGCTACATATTCTTAATCTGTGCTTATCATGTGTCAATTTATGTCATATCAACAGATTTTTTACAACTAATGAAGAGAATTTTTATTTGATTTTTATACACACTACGTTTTTTACAACCATCAGACGTGGTCGAGATAAATTTTAATTGGATTTTGAGGATATGGTATTTAGTTTTGTGTTGTGATTGTAATGGAAGGAGTTAAATGTTTATGTGGTAATGTTTTTGGTACGAAATAAGAACAGTTGATTGAGAACATAAAAACAAAATTTACTTAAGCAAAACTTATAAAATTAAGAAAAATAGTTACAATGAAGGAACCACATTCTGATCTATGTTCAAACTACATTAAAATATTTACGGTTGTTAGTTGTTACTGGTAAGCATTATTTAATCTACAGTTTCATTTCTGTTCTATTGTATCACATTTTGTGGTCGTAATACTATTACATCGTTTATTATTGAATTATTGATATATTTTGCTCGTATTTTATAGTTAAATACAATAATAATTTAAATCTCCGGTGGATTTTGTTCAATTTCAGGATTGTTTCAATTACCACAGTGTTTGTAAATAAAGCATTACTGAGCAGCGACACTGTAGCATTAGAAGCTCCTTTGTTTATAACATGGTTTCAATGCATTGTATCTTTTACAATATGTTTCACTCTTAGTCAGACCAATGGTATTCCTGGAATTTTTAAATTTCCTAAAGGTTCACCATGGAATATTGAAATTGTTAAAAAGGTAAGAAATAAAAGTTGCCAACCAACTTATTTTAAAACATATTATATGTGAATAAAGATAATGATTGTCTGTTAAGGGACATAACATAGCCATTAATAGTAAAAAGTTATCACTAGTTTTAATTTTTCCTTTTAAAATTAGTATGAAAATACAAAAATCTGTAGTACATTGAATATTTATATTTTGTCTCTTTTGCAGGTAATCCCACTTTCTATCATGTTTACTTTAATGATAGCAAGTAATAACTTATGCTTGAAGTATGTCGGAGTACCATTTTACTATGTCGGGAGATCACTCACTACTGTATTTAATGTTGTGTTCAGTTGGTTACTTTTAAGGCAGACAACCTCGTTGAAATGCATGATGTGCTGTGGATTTATTATCTTTGGATTTTACCTTGGTGTTGATCAGGAGAGTTTGTTAGGTAACATTAAAAATCTATATTTTAAAATTGCTGAATAATTAAATAGATTTACTTTGAAGTTCTCATAATAGCTTGTCGAATTATGAAGCAACAAGTCAGAAATGAAGTGTCATAAAAGTATCAATATTCTGATTTTTTTTATTATTATTATGTGTAGTAATAGAATAGGAGTCAGAAATAAGTTACTATCACTTATGACTATTTCAATTACAGGTTCTTTCTCCTTGCTGGGAACTATTTATGGAGTTATTGGTTCCCTTACATTATCACTCTATTCAATATATACTAAAAAAGTACTACCTATTGTAAACCAAGAAGTGTGGCTGCTTTCATTCTACAACAATGCATATTCAATCATATTATTTTTGCCATTAATAGTGATGAATGGTGAATTAAATGTACTGTGGAATTACAGGAACTTTGATAGTACATTTTTCTGGGTGCAAATGTTAATTGGAGGATTATGCGGATTTGCAATTGGGTTTTTTACTTCCTTACAAATAAAGGTATGATTTCTTAAATACAGAATTTATTTTCTAAGGTACTTTATTTGTGAAATATTAATAGTGCTTCAGTTTACAATAAAACAATTAATTATCAATAACAATTGTATGTAGCATATTTTAGAAAAGAAATTTGAGCCCTTGTATCTATACAAAAAATTGATTCTCTTAATGGATCTCATTTATCAATGATATATCACTCAAAGTGCTTGGACCAATTTGCACATTCCCTCCTCACAATGACTGTAATGGAAATTTCATAGCTTTCTAATGGAGTTAAATCATGTTATTTCAGGTTACATCACCGTTAACACATAATATATCTGGTACAGCCAAAGCATGTGCCCAAACTGTGTTAGCAACACAATGGTACAATGAAAGTAAAAATGTTCTCTGGTGGACATCAAATGTAATTGTGCTGGCAAGTAGTGCATTATATGCCAGGTTCAAACAAGTAGAAATGGAAGAAAGATCAAGGAAACCTCCTCTGGAAGAAGAAAAAAGTCTAGTATGATAATCATTGAAACAAAGTACAAGACTGCATTTTTAAATGTTAATTAGGAGTAATGTGATTATTGTATGTTATTAATAGGAAAAAATCAGTGATAATATTCCAAATTTGTGTAAGATTGATTTGTTGGAGTTATATTTGTATTATGTATGTAATTATATATTTATAATTATATTATATATATATATATATAATATTTCATTAATTTTGCGTTCACAATGCTATAGTGATCAATTTTTTTAATAAAATATGCTTAAAACTCCACCAGCCTCATGTACCCTAAGATGGGAAAGAAATATTTTAAACTTGCAATAGGGATGATGACTGGGTAAAAAAGCAATTCTATTTAGTCCGTCAGTCAGATAATAGAAAAATATTAGATACGTATTTTTTTTACTGTTGTGTTCAAATCCCATCCCAGGTACATCCCAGGCTGGTGGATTTTTAAAGTATTTTTCATAAAAAATTATATATTTAACACTGAAATCCCAGACAATGTAGAGAAGACTATTTTCTACATTGACTTGATACCGAGAATCAAACCTGGGGTTTCAGAAACTTTATTGATAACTTTTCACGCGAAATTATGCTAAAAACCAAATGAATAAAAATATTTTCAAACATCTGTTTCTGTGCAAATATTCAAAATATCATGTGGACAAAATTGAAGTAATTAATAATATTAAATAGCTTATCAGTATTCGTCATTGTGCTATCGTCTACTCATGATATCAGATTTAAAAGTAGATAACGTGGAAATTTTGAATATTTTAACTGTTATTTGTTTAACACATGCCCATATAATAAATTTATTTCTTTGCAGGAAGCCTTATTAACTAGAGTGGATACAGGGATATCGAAAAATCTCTAACATGGACTTTTGAATTTATCTTTAAGTAACATTCGATTTTCTTATATTGTAGTCTTTAAACGACCACCAGTGATGGAACCAAGTAATTGTTCCCTATCGTAAGGAATTTTGGTATTAGTCTTTTGGATTAATTTTTATCGCTATAATTGCGTAAAAAATTAATATTGTTATACTTTAAAGGTTACTTACTATTTTTTTGTACAGAACAGTTTTTTAATTTTTTTTTTGACAATCGATTTTTATTAGTTATTGGTTACCCTGATATACTTCTTATTACTTTTCAGTGTTTAAATGTTCCCTAAAGTACGGTAAACACTTTAGCTAGATCCATAATAATTATAAAACCTAAAAGCTAATTGTAGCTAAATCGGCCTAGCCATTCTCGAGTTTTAGCGAGACAAACGAACAGCAATCGGTTTTTATGTATAAAAAATATACAAAATATTAAATTCGATATTATGATATAATACTTTAACATATTATGAATTTGTTTTTGTTAAGTAATATACCTACATTGCAGAAGGTAAATTTGAAAAATAATATTTCTGTGTGTTACAAGAGTTCATATTACTTTTATGGTTCCATTTTCCAACACGTTTTCAATGTGATAGACTATACACCAACTTTAGATCTTAAGATCATTGATAGTTTCTTCACAGTGTTTTTATATTTTGGTGCTAAATACAAATTATTCGCCTCGTCCGGATCTTTTTGATGATCATACAATTCCAATCCATATAATAACTTCCAATTTTTTGTAAATTGTGTATTATTAAACGATATCCATTCTGTATATCTGTATCTATTTGTCCTTAGACTGTAACCCATTATTGTTATGTCTTTTAGGCGTGGCTTATCAGTGTCCGATTTTGGATATACACTTGGCCTTGGATATTGACTGATGGCATACTTATTATCGCGGCGATGTGTTGTATCAGATTTCATCAAAGGTTTTAGCGATTCACCATCGTAGCACAAGGTAGAATTATCATTGTGATTACAGTTAGGTATATTTTTTGATAGTCCAGTTAAATCTAGTAGTGTAGGAAAAATGTCCACCAATTCTACAGGTGTTGACACAGATCTTCCCTGATAACCTGGGACTAAAAATAATAAAGGTACTTTTAGTGCTACGTCGAAGTTACTGTATTTTGCCCAAAGACCATTTTCGCCTAATGACCATCCTGAAACATATAATAATAATTATAATAATAATATACTTTATTGCACACAACAGAACAAAACAAGTTACAGAGAACAAAAAAAAAGTGTACAGAAGGCGGCCAATATGGAGGACAATAGATAAAAAGGACAAAATTTATATTATTTGATATTAGTGGTTTTTACTACAATTAGGAATGCGTATTGATTACGAAACTTTGGAAATCATAAATACTTTGCTAATCGTTTAAATAACAAGTTTAGACTTTCAAGAAATGGCGCTAGTATACTAGCTCGATCGAGGAGGACGATTTGAGGAGTGGGGGCTCTACGTCATACTATTTATTTAGTACATCAACAATTTTTACATTAATATGGTTTAATAAACTAACTTAAATGAAATTTGGTAAATGTACAATCATTTACAGGTGTACATCACATGCAAAAACTGAAATAAACATTTACTCAGTATATCTTTATTTCAGTTTTTACTAGTACAATCTCACTCCATAAAAAAATAACTAGATAACGGTTACAAATAAACAACGACTGAAAAACAATGAAAACAATATAATAGATTGAGACATTGAGAGTTGACCAATTATTTAGGCACTAATCGCTTCAATTCGGCTTTAAATTGAATTTGAGAGATTACATTTACATCAAGGGTATCATTATATTTGTTAAATAATCTACCAATTGCACCCAAAACCGTTTAGCGAAACGGACGCGTAATTGGTTTGATTGGCTTGTGTGGTATACGGTATCCTGAACTTAAACATCTCTAATAATGTAGGGCAACGCAGTAGAACGTTAAATCTAACAAGTCTCTGCATTTGTCTAAGTTGTATAGTTTATAAAGGTCTAACAGCTGCTCGTATGGTAGAGGTAGTTTTATCTCTATTATGAGTGAATGATAAATATCTTGCCAATCTTTTCTGTATGCGTTCTACATGTAATATGTATATGGCATTATATGGACGCCAAATTGTACTACCATACTCTAGAATGGACCTAACTAGACCGTAATATAAATTCAGTTTCGTGGCTGGTTACTTTGTAGGAAATGTACAAAGAAACGTAATTTATTGATTAAAATAAGTGTTTAAGTAATATTCTTTTATAATCAATCTTCAATAATCTATCTCTAATTTAATCAATCTTTAATCACCACCAGCCCTTTTACGTCCCCACTGCAGGGGCTCAGGCCTTCCTTATGGATGGTTAAGGAGGAGGAGGATGGGCCATGACCCTCCACGCTGGCCCAATGCGGATTGGAGGGTATTGACGACTGCAAATGCAGCCGGGACCAACGGCTTAACGTGCCTTCCGAAGCACGGAGTAGCTCGAGATAATATATATATATATATATTTTTTTTTTTTGGTCTCCCATCCCATGACCGACCCTTGCGAAAGTTGCTTAACGACTACGATCGTGGGCCGCGGCGCTTATCCACTACGCCACCGAGCTACTTTACAATCTTTAATAATCAAATAATATTCTTCAATAGAGAATGAAGTTTTCTATATCGTTTCAGATCAATGTATGTGATGTTGGTATTAATTTGTCATATTTTAAGACTTTCTCAATAAATATGTAATTCCTTAGAAAATAAATTATAAGCACTCTGATAAATAGTGGTTACAATTTGAATAAACAAAGTCTTACCATGATCACTAGTAAGGATCACTATAGTGTTGTTTAGATTCACATAACTCATTAACTGTCCAATCAAATCGTCGACATAAAGCGCTGCTGCATAGTAACTTCGTCTTATTTTCAAAGTCCACCTTTGAGGCATTTCGCCAAATGGGAACGATATGTTTAATCGTTTTATGTCATCTCTTTTGCGTACATCGGTCCAAGGATGCCATGCTACTAACGGTAAGTCATCTGGCATATAAGGAAATCTTGGAAGATTCACTTCATTCAACGGGACTTTATCTGAGAAAGATGATTATAAATAGAACTTGATAATATTACTTGGGATAAGACTGCTGCATTCATTTATGAATGCAATTTCTATAACATTTACAGGAAAAAAAATCTTAAGGTTTTTAGGTTAATCGTATGCAATACTGGTCATACATAACATACCTTGGTGCAGAGATAAGATAGAAAAAAAAATTTTTCAATTTAAACTAACTTCAAACCTTCCAGTCTACGATTTGATATTGAAAAAAGCCTTTGATTGCAGTTCCATACAAATGGGTCCTCTTCGAGACTTCTTTAACTTTCAAGCAAAAAAAAAAATCATTGGAATCAGTCCACTACTAACGAAAATAAAGTTGCAAAAAAAATCTGTTAATTCAGAAAAATCTTTTTTGAAGTCTGATAAAAATCGCCTCTGACTCGACTCGAATCCACCCACATCTTTCTATTAACCCGAGAGTTTAATGATAGTCATCGTTCCTTCTGTGCAACATCCAAAAATATATATATATCCCTATTATACTTACGCCCATGCCATTTCTCTAAAAATAATTTTGGCGAATAGGTTAACAAGACGTCTTCTAAATAATGAAATTTTACATACCTAAATATCTCCTGGGAAATTTCAAAGGCAAATGTGGTTTATGAAATCCTACTGCTAATAAAAAAGGTTTGTTGCTTCTACGCTTTACTACATTTATGGCATATTCGAGAGACTGTAAATCTGGCAAAGTTTGCCCTGGTTGTTCTTTTAGCGAGACTGGGCATATAAGGTCACTTTGAAGTTTGTTGGTAAACGGGTCTTCACAAACAGGTGCGTCTTTGTATATTTCAGTTGAAGGATGATATGGTTCAAACGACCAACTGTATGGGTAGTCGTCACTAAAATTAGAACTTGAGCCGGGATGAAAAATTTTGCCAATAGAGAATGTCTCGTACCCATTTTCTTTAAAAAACTGTGGAAATGTTGTAAAATTTCCTACTGTTTGCCTCCAATAACTATAAAAATCGTACAACCGCAATGAATCGGGTCGGCGTCCAGTTAAAATTGAATTACGACTGGGAGCGCACAGTGCTTGCTGAAATAAAAATATATTACTTAATAGGTAGGTACTGTAAATTCAATGATAAAAATATTGGTATTGCCCAAAAGGACTTACCTGTGCAAAGGCATTTTTGAAATTGATACTTTTTGCCGCTATTTTCATTAAATTTGGCAGTAAGACATCTGTTTCCGCTAGATGTCGTAAATCATCCACACAAATAAATAAAACATTTTGTTTTTCTGTATTGCTGAGATTAATTTTTCCCAAAATTATTACTAACAATATGTTAACAAGGTTCGAATGGTTATTGAAGTTTAATTTGTTAATGGTTAACATTTTCGTAGACTGAAATTACTTTGAATGTTCAAAAACTAATATTGAAGGAAGTCCATTATAAAATAATTCTCTATTCACTTTTATAAAATCGCTTATTTGGGGAATTTTTAGACCATTGTTTTTATAAATTTTGTTATCCCAAATAACAGGAATAAGAAACTATTTATTAAAATAAATAAACATCACAGCATGATAAACCCACCGATAACTTTGTGGAGTTGGCGCTTTTGTTTTGAACGGTATAGCACACGCACACGTTTACATTTTGTACTATCACATTTACAAATTCAACGCACACATTCATTTTACAGAAAATAAACACGCAAACGAATAGTAGGTATTCAAGTTATTGTCATTCAAGTCATCTGTTTCGTGAATAGTTGTATATATTTTGTATATAATTTTAATTTATTCTCAATTTATTTATTGAAGAGTGTGAAGATATTAAAATTTTATGATTAGGAGCGCGTGAAAGTGTTATTTTTTTATTTTTTGTTTTAATTCTCGTGACGTCATTGTTTTTGACTGCCAGTAGTAACGACGCAGTTGCATTTTTTTCGTGAAATGGAGTTAATTTAATGTTATTTCCCCTAAAAAGGTAAGATTAGATAATGAAAATTACTATAATTTAATATTATTGCGTTTTTAATTTGTGGTTCACTGATAGAATACAGATGAAGGCTTGCATCGATTTCCTTTGTCCTCGGCCCCTTGTTTAGCTAGTACATGTATACCTACTTCGTATATTGCATAAAGACGGCCAGCTGTTTCGCAACAACAGTGTAGATTACGAATATACATAAATTTTTTAGTTTTTATTATATTACGTGAGTATGAGGCTAAGTGGTCTTTATAAATTATGTAATCATTAAATTCAATGTGATATGTTGTTATTTACAAATTACAGATTTCTTAGCTAAAGCTTAAATATATTGTAAACAAATATAATTGGTGGTTTGTATAAACTGGAGACATTTGTTTTCAATTCATTTGTTCAATAATTAAATTACTGAAGTCTATATGTAATTTATCCTGTAAATTCTCTATCGTTTTATTGTTTTTTTTTTATCGTACACTAATATTTTTTTGTGCTAGGTACCTTTAAATACTAAATATTGATCACATTCAATTTAGCATGGGACTCTACTATAGCATACAAACAAAATTTATCAAACAGCCGAAGCAGCGTAATGAATAATGCCCAAACTAAATCTGTTTTTATTTAATTTATACTTAAGAAAAACTCAATAAGCAAATGTAAATAAAAAAATTGATAGAAATTTTATATGTTAAAAAGTATATGTGTACTCCAACAAGTACACTGGGTAGATCAGGTCTAAAAAGCTTCAAACAACTCTTTAATATATGTGGCAATAAAAACAGACAGGGGCCATCAGGTTTCCAAAAAATCCTTAATAATATGAGTTTTCTCAAATAAGATCAAACAATGAACATATTCTCAATAGAAGTTTGCACTACTCAGTTATTATCAAATGGAAGTTTTTTTATTATTTAGGAATATAAATCAATCATGATACTACAGAAATACCTTATTTTGTTCATATAAATCTCAATTTTATAAAAAATACTATTTGAAGTAATATGAATTCTTCATAATCTGAACAACAGGAAAAAATTCACTGGGAAAAAATTACTATGTACTAAAACTGTCACCTTTGCAACTTAATCTGCTAATTCTGCTACTAGTTTTTATCTGTGAAATAACATCTGTGACAAATAGATCATCATCATTTGCCTATTCAACTATTATGCAACATTTTTTTTTCTTGTGGCGATAGTTGTGAGGAATTTGAATGATTAGTTTAAATTCTAGAATGCCTTGCCACTAGATATTTTATTTACTATGAATGGACATAGGTATGTGGATACCATGTGGCGGCCACATTAAAGTTTTCTATACTTATAAGTAATAGGTATGCCTTGCACAGGTATATACCTAATGCCCTTGTGGAGAAATGTTGAAATTAAATAACCCAGAACACTAATTTATGTCAAAATTCAGCCTTAAAAATACTTTTCTTTATAAGTGTTTAAATAGGGTAATTTAAAAAAAAATATTTGATGAACACTTGACTCCAATCTTTTAATCACATACCCTATATCTGATAGGAAAAAAAATGTTTACAAGGTGCCTCCATCTTTTACATTTTCATACACAGCTAGCAGCACATTTATTGTGCAACTAGAACATACCTACCATTTGCTTATGGTATAGTGCTTTATTTTTATAAAAACAATAGTGTTTGATTGGTATTACGTACATAGTGAATTTTAGGGCAGTCGCGTGAGTACGGAGGTAATTAAATGTAAATTATATTTTATTATTAATGTATCTATTGACTTGTTTTTTTAAATGTGAGGGTAGTTGACCTATAAAAAATTCAAAATCATTATCACTGAAGATCATCCCAGGTTTAATCTTGCTCAATTAATCAAAAAACTGTTACTGTTTTTAATATTTATTTAAAGCATTTTTTTTTATGATAGGTTGTAAATAATCAAAATGTCGGCGGAGTCGCCGCGACATGCGCGATCAGGCGGACCGCTTACGGTTCCTTCTCAGCCGCCTAGTGATCGCAGCATCATCGACGCGGTCTCTGGGTTTATCAATGACGTCACGCTATCATCATCCTCAAATGTAGATCCAAAGGACGTCATACAATGGGCAAGGTCAGTGATAATTCTTATATCATAGTTGGCAATGATTACAAATTTTGATTAAAAAGTAAACATCTATAAATCTATTTAGAATGTTGCTTGGGTACAGTAATATACAATGAAATGATAGTGAGGTCTCTTCATGAATGATATCTTTTAACCGTTTGTTAGGTATCACTTTAAGTGCGAGTGCCGTTTTGGCACTTGTGTACTTGGCAAAGTATACTTAAAAATTATTATGGCCTTTCAAAAATTTCATGTGTAGGTAGATTAGTAATTAATAGTGCAATGTAAAAACGAAATTATCAAATTACTAGGTTCGAAACTGCAGACATCAACGAACCGACGCCCGAAGGGGATGGTGACCATGACATAACTCCTCTGCTCCTCATCTTGGGGTATGGGTCAGGGGTACAGGTGTGGCTGATCCCGCCCAACGGCGAGGCGCAAGAGGTCCTGTCGTGGCGACAGGGCACAGTGAGGGTGCTCCGTATACTGCCTACTCCGCAGCACGGCGACAGCTTCGCGTCGAAGAGGCCCCTCATCGCCCTGTGTGACTCCGCTAGTCCTGGACCGACTTTCTGCTCCCTAAGCTTCATTTCTATCAGGGGCGGAGAACAAGTGAGTTAACTATTTACTTCATCTTATTAACTTTTTATATTAAATATATTAAACGAGTATCTCGGTGGCGTAGTGGATTAGCGCCGCGGCCCGTGATCGTAGTCGTTAAGCAACTTTCGCAAGGGTCGGTCACGGGATGGGTGACCAAAAAAATTATTATCTCGAGCTACTCCGTGCTTCGGAAGGCACGTTAAGCCGTTGGTCCCGGCTGCATTTGCAGTCGTTAATACCCTCCAATCCGCATTGGGCCAGCATGGAGGGTCATGGCCCATCCTCCTTAACCATCCATAAGGAAGGCCTGAGCCCCTGCAGTGGGGACGTAAAAGGGCTGATGATGATGATATTAAATATTAACTTTTTATATTAATTAATTTTACGTTGTTATGAAATTGTGGAGGTTAAATTTCTTTTGCAAGGGCTGGCGATAAAAAAATTGTCTCAAGATCCTCCGAACTTTGGTAGGCATGTTAAACCATTGGTTTCTGCTTCATCTGCAGCTGTTAAAACCCACCGATACGCACTGGGGCCGCGTGGTTGTTTTTCACTATTCGATTCTATCAACAGGAAGGGTCTACTTTCCAGCTACGGGGACATTAATAGAATGACGATTAGAAATGAAATACATGAACACATATGATGCAAAAGGAAGAAAGACTCATGGATATATTTTTTTGAGAATATACTTTTTGCACGCCTCTTTCATACATTACTTACTGCCTTATAACAAATTATAAATCAGTAGCTAGTTGCACCAACGTCCATTAAGGTTTAATGACGCCTTTTAGGTTAAATGGATGTCAATTGTAAGGGTAATGCCACTTTAAATTAATGACAATTTTAATGGTGCTTTAAACTATTGCTGCGATCAGCTAGTTTGTGCAACTAGCTGTTCGAGCTTACAGGCATCATTAAATCTTAATGTACCTTTTTGCAAATGACCTTAAAACGCGAAAATTTGATAACATATACAATCTATAATATATAAAGAGGAAGATGACTGACATCTATTATTAAATCTTATTATTATTATACCCAGAGATCAACGCACAGCTCAAACCGCTGAACCTAGAAGCCTGAAATTTTGCATGTAGGTTCTTTATATAATGTAAGTGGGTACTAATAAAGGAATTTTAAACATTCCACTCCTAAAGAGGTGAAATAGAGGTGTGAAGTTTATATGAACCACGCGGGCGAAGCCGCTAGCGGAAATCAAGTATAAAATAAAATAAAAAAACTACATTAAACTGTATCTAATTCAACAGGTTAAAAGCATAAAGTTCAAGAATCCTATCTTGGATGTGCTGGCTAATAAACGATCAGTCGTCGTGTCGTTTTCGGAGAGATTCGCCGTGTTCGATGCAGATACTTTGGAGGACAGAATGGCTATCACCACTTGTTATCCGTGCCCCTGCCCACTCGGAGGCAGCATGCCAATCAATCCATTGGCATTGGGAGACCGATGGCTGGCGTACGCCGACAAGAAGCTTAATCAATCCAAAAGGAGCAGCGGTGGATGCGAAGGTAACATTTTTTTTTTGTAATATTTTAGTTTCACAAAATGTATGTTTTAGTAGTATTAAACCCCAAGCAGGTAAAAATTATGAATAAAACTAGCAGACCCGGCAAATGTTATTATATCATATTAATTTCGGGTGGACCACCCTTATAACATAGAGAAAAATAATAAACTATTCTTAGATCTACTGATTATACATGTAAATTTTCATCAAAATCGGTCAAGTAACAGAGGAATATGGCGACGAAAGTGTGTATTTTATATATCAAACTAGTATTTAAAAAAAAGAAATAATCGAAATAATTATCTATTACTATTTGCTGCATCAGTTTTTTGGTTATATGGACTTTTAAATTCAAATTTTTATTTAAATTCTCGTTAATAAAATGTATTCGTATAATTATGGCGTTTTAGATTATACAAAACTAGCTGATCCGGCGAATTTTGTACCGCCTTATACCCTTTTTCTTTTAAATCTTATATATGAACCGTGTCATGAATTGTGGAATATATAAAAAATAGAATCATCCAATTTGGTGCAGTCGGAACTGGAATTCGGAAGTTATGCGCGTACATACGTTTGGGCGATTAATTTTTATTCATTGATATGTAATAGCTCGCCCGGACATTTTTATTTTTCGATAACTCATTAGTTATTAATTCTTTTGATATAGTGTAAAAGACAATTTTGATCTACATTACATGCATAATGTATCTAGCTTATTTATTTGAATAAGGATCAATACTGTATTGTTAAAAATAGGTTCGTAAATACCCATCATTTTACTGTTTTACGTATACGTAAAAAAAGATTGATACCAACGCGGATTTTTTTTGTAGATCTATTAAAGAGGTACAATTCCACCATACAATGTTTTGTTATAACTCAAAAAGTTTTTGGCAGCGTTTTCGAGGAAAGCTTCCGATCGGCTATATATTTTCCGACGTATTGAACTTATATCGTCAGTTTGTACAAAACCTAAATTTACTTTACACTAAAACCTTCCTCAAGATTTTCATGCGGTTGCGGGTGCTCTGTCTATTATTGAAAACCGCATGAAAATCCGTCCATTACTTTTCTAGTTACAAACAGAAGAGGAGGGGGACTTTGTTTTATAATATGTAGTGATTAATGAAAATATGAATGTAGAATTTTAATTAAGAATACATAAAAATACATCATTTCACCACATGAAAGCAATAATTTTGAGTTTTGAGTTGTTCAGTTATGAATGGTGTGATTGATTAGTGCCTCTGTTTCAGGTTCTAAATTTATGTTAGCGCTTAATTTGTCATATGAACATCTATTCTACAGTAGTCAGATATTATCTTTTAGGTTATGGTTTATAACTCTTTCACTACGTGTACAATATTTCTTTGTTTTTATTGTTCATTGTTATTGGTGTGTTGATAAACAATGACCTTACAGTAATTGCATGTATATCATTTATTTATTGCAAAACGATTTGATAATGCATCGCGATGATTTTTACTGTAGTGTTTCATTTTTTCGTTATTATAAATAATAATAATAATGGACAATGTTACAATTATGCTGTGAATAAATAAATACCAGCCAAAGTGATTTTAGCATCAGAAAGAATAAAAATATATAGAATAGGGAATATGCACATTTTTGGAAAATGTTTTTATATGATAATTTACATCAATTTATAACTAAAAATATACCCGGTATCGAAATACTAAAATTTTGTATGATTTAATAATCGATGAAAATGAATAATAGCTACGAGCAGTTTAAACACCTGAATTTTTGGCGCACTCGTCGTGACGTCAAAGTACATGACTAGAGATATGACATTTTAAATCAATATGGATTTTGAGTGATTGATTATTATTCAATTACTCAAATCGATTAGAAACTCATCAATTTTTTAAAGTATAATGGACTTTTTTAATAAATCATATAATTTAATTAAAGCCTAAAACGTCATTTAAATATACACATAATACATTGATTTTATTGCATCGATGTTAACTTTTTGTAACAACGACATCCCTATACGTGTGCATTTTCGTCACATCCGCTCTGACAAGTAGCATAGCGTTTGAAGTTACCGCATTTATTTTGCACTTTTTATAATTATTTTCAAGATGAAAACGAACTAATGTTGAATAATATTTACAAGACTTTATTCTGAAGCAATAAAGATCGTAATAAAATATATTTTACCGTTTTTTGAATCAGACGCATATTCCCTATTATTAGAGACCACACATTAAATTAACTTTGCACTAAGAACCAAAAGTAATTATGTAATCTAACTTATCACAAGTCATTAAGTGAATGCTTTTGTAACAATAGCAAGGCAATTAATATCATCCACACCACCAATATACACAGTTTGAATATTATTATAGATACTAATTACTGTAAATAATATGCAATATTTCAATGATCCACTGATACAATCAACATTATAATATATTTTTTCAAAAAGTTGAAGTCTTAATAAGTAAAAAAAATCATAAGTTTTAGTGATATTTTATTGTATTGCTAAAAATAGGTTTATATGGGTCCGCCTTGGGTAACAATTTGCTGAAAAAACGGTGAACACATTAAAAAAAAAAAGATACATAAACGTCTTATGGACAGAAAACCTCTTCCTATTCGATTGTAAAGACAGTTAAAAACGCGTTATAATAAGATATACACAAAGTGTATTTAACAGATACATTCAGACAGATAATTGTTGTACTTTTGAATATAAAAAGTTATATTTAAATAGAAGTGCTTGTTACTGCTGAACCGAACTTTTGTGTAGCTCACAATAAGAAGCAGCTGGGGTGGCAGGACTGATGCGACCCCGTCATTCACGCAAAATAGGCAGTGGATGTCAAAATGCGGAAAAGCCCGCTGTATTACATATAAAAAAAGAATTGGTGCAAAACAAAAGCAATCTAATATTTTATTTCAATATATTGCATTGCATTAGGTATTATAAAAATGATTACCGTTTAATACGAACAGAAGACATCAATTATTGATATAATTAGATAAATATGTTTTTTTTGCTCAAAGGCGAAGGTGTAACGAGTTATACAGCCACCGTGTTACACGCGGCCAAGTCTCTAAGTAAGGGCCTGCGCGGTCTGGGGGAAAGCGTAGCCCACAGTCTGGCCGGAGGGCGCAGCACTTCGCAGTCACCGTCGCCGCCTAATGCAGATATCCAACAACCAGGCGTGGTCACTATAGTTGATATCGAGGTATTCTCTCCGTCATAATTATGTTGTATTATATAGTTGTAAAACACCAACAACCAAGCGGTATTATCTGGAACTAGCTATTTAAATAACATCATAAATAACAACTTTTTGAAAAAAAAAACTATGTTTTGTTTTAAGTATTGGGTTATGTTCCAATCCTGTAGATGCCCATTTTTTATTTGAAATGTCATTAATTGAATTGATTTTTGAATATGTTTTGGGATACAGAAAATCACGTTCTATAAAGTTAATTCGACGTGGAGAACAAATAAACACATATTGATGTTATTTTCATACAGTCAACAGCGCGTCAAATTGCTACAAAAGGCGAAATTTCTTCAATCTATTGTTTGACATTTGAGCTAAAAATGTTTGAAGAACCTTGATCGCTTGCATCATTGTAATGTACTGATTTGTGTACATTACGTTGAAATATATTTTGTTACTAGGGTAATGACGAGGAAGAGGGTCAAGATAGCGACGAGCAAATCGACCCAATAGTGGCTCACTTTGTAGCGCATTCAGAAGCTATCATCGCCTTGAAGTTCGACGCGAGCGGAATGTTGCTCGTGACTGCAGATCGACGCGGGCACGATTTCCACGTGTTCAGAATAAATCCCCACCCATGTGGACCTAGTCTTGCTTCAGTACACCATCTGTATATTTTACATCGGGGAGACACTACAGCCAAAGTGCAGGTGAGAATTGTTGAGTTGCAGTTGCAAGAAACCATTTTTAGTATTTTAAAATTTAAAGGATATATTTTTGATCTTTTATCTATATTAACCGTGAACCCTTGTGTGGGTTAAGAGGACCGATCGCCACAAAGTACGGTCTTTACATACATCTTTCATTATTCTTGTTCATACATACTCGCCGGTTTTTATTGCTTCTGACATCACCTTCCATCAGCACGCGATTGACTTGATCGCAAAAGAGTGTGTCGTGCCTTCGGTTTCTACATTCTTCCACGTTAACCGGCATTATACACATATTTTTGATGTCAATATATAAAAAATATATGGATTGTTGTCTATTACTCAGAGACGAGTTCGGGAATCTGAGTATCGTTGTCTATTCTGTAAATATATGTATAAGTTTTCTATTTATCATCTCGAGCTCGAGCGTCACAGCTCTCCTAAGAAGGCCATTACACCCGGCATTTGAATTGAGAATTTAAATTTTAGCACGTCTTAATCCATACTAAAACCATTTGGAACGTCACTTGAGAACAATCAAGTTGAGGTTTTGTTCTTTTCTCAATTAAGTAACCGGCCGTAAGTCCTCTAACCGCTTTCGTCACCGTAGACTGCTCAAGTGCGCAATCCTTTGTCTCGAAACGCCTCTGCAAGTTTATTCCTCAGATGAAATTATGTATTTCAATCAATAAAATGACGCGAACATGTCAGGACATAGCGATATCGGGCGACTCCCGTTGGGCGGCGATCTCGACGCTCCGCGGCACGACGCACGTGTTCGCCATCAGCCCGTACGGCGGCCCGTGCGGCGTGCGCACTCACACGCAGCCGCGCGTCGTCAATCGTCTGTCTCGCTTCCACCGCTCCGCCGGTCTGCCGATACACGCGCACGCTCACTCCAAACGCGCCTCCGGCAGCCCTGTGAGTACTATTTTTTTTATTCGTATTCTAACTTTCATTAAGTAGAAATAAAAAATAACTTCAGAAATCATCATTGATATGAACATTTAACTACTAGCCTGTTTTTAAATTTTAAGTAAAGAGTCTATACTGCTTACTCTTAGGTAAATACTTGTCATGTTTTCACTAAAACGTTTTATTGGTTATTTGGAAACTCTAAAGAACCAATAAAAGAGGATATCTATGTTTCTATTTATGTGAGTTTTAATATTGCATTTCAATTGCATATGCGTTTCTTTAATAAAAATAATAATCCTACCTATTACTCTAAAACAAATTTCTAACCATATTTGTATACAATTTAAAATAATCAATATTCTTACTAAACTTCCAAATTGGCCATAAAAATAGATTCCTTGACCTTTTAAATTATTAGAGAAATGTTGAAAGAAAGTTATCTATTCACTCAGGTAGGGGAGGGTTTGTCGGCGGGTTCGTGGTTCCCCAACCCTCGATTGCCGCCGTACCCGTTGCCCACTACATCGTCGCCGCTCGCACAAATACGACCAACGGCCAACTTGCCAACGCACACAATCACTAGGACCAGCTCTGGTAAAAAATATTCACTATAGATTTTTTTTTCAAGATTTTAACAGTTGTGCGTCATAGGTAACACAGTGCAAGAATAAATAAGTAAACAGGTATATAGTCAAAATATAAGTGGAAATCAAGGTAATGTAAACCTATGATCACATCACAATGTTTCATGACAAGATCTTTAATACTGATTCCGAGTATCTGAATCATCATTATTCTTTTGACGTTCCCACTGCTAGGGCATAGGCCTTCCTTACGGATATTTAATAGGATGAATCTGTGTATAGATATAAATCTTACGTGGAGAATCTCGGGAAATATGTGCTCTTTATTTTCGGCTACAAAAAGTGTATATGTTCTTTGATATTTATCATTGCATCGTAAATGTTGGTAAAAATTCTGGCAGCATTATCTCACGGTCTACTCCAAACGCTGTGATTTTGAAAATATATTAGCTATAATTTCGCATCTTATTTCAAAACTGCTTTCACTCGTCAGCGTCATATAAAAAATGAGATCTTAAAGTCTATTCCGGCTCCCCGAGTAAAGAATTCGACCTTGTTCATACATAGAAATATTATTATTATTTTTGAAACATGTTTATTATGTAGTTTATTATGTTTCTTGATCATGCAAATCAGCATTCGTTTCGATAGTGATTGCGATTTTAAATTATCATAATAGTTTAAGTTTTGAAATTATTGCGATAGATTTTGAAATAAGACAATTAGATAGACATCATGCTCGTAAACGGGTATGAATCTGCTCAAATTTTTTTATTACGCATATTGTATGAATATAAATTTCCCAGGAAGGGGCCATCCATAAATTACATCACACGTTATGACGGTGCTTGGGTCAATTAATAAGGCTGATTAGCTTGAGTATAGATTTATTAATTTTATAAGGGTAAATAAAAAAACTGTAACGAACAAAAATTAAATTTAAAAAACAGTTCATAAGTTACTTAATTTTAAATTATCAAATAAACGAATACATACAAATTATCAAATAAACGAATACATACAAATTATCAAATAAACGAATACATACCCCTTGTCGGGCTTCTAGTTAAACTCTTGGATCGTCCAAAATACAGATTGCAATTTAGTTCATATGTTATATAATTTGTATCACAATATCACATTCTTATCACAATCAATAAATTATTTTAAAATTATATAATAAAATTTATACGATTAATACTGTATATTAATTTTCATGTTGTGCATAGAAGAATTTCTTACGAACTGACATCCATAAAGAGTATAATTGATTAGTAAAAATTTTAAACTACGAAAGACGAATAATAAAATGAAATGATGTTGAATTTCAAAAACAAAAAGTTTGCATACTGAAACCTAGGAAAACAAACGGTGGCATAGCACACCGTTACAACGTTAAGGGGGGAGGGAGGGGGTCGACAAAGTGTGACATTGTGTGATAAGGGGGTGGAAGGGTCCTAAATCTCGTGACGTCACATTTTAAAATCTATTATAATCTAAGTGCTAAAACACGAACTTTAAACTATTACTTTACTAAACCTTGCGAAATGTGTGACATCACACTAGGAGGGGGGAGTCTTACAAATGTGACCAGCTGTGACTAGGACGGGGGTAGGGGCAAAAAATCATGAAAATCGCGTGACGTAATTTATGGATGACACCTAACTATGTACGACACAGTGTGTTAGGAAAAGTGAATTCATTGTTCGATGATAACATCATCACCCGTGTAGGTCGGCAGCGCCTGTCGTCCCTGTCGGAGGACAGTGGCGCGGCGCCGCTACTAGCGCGCGCGCGGTTCGGCCCCGCGTGCGCGCCCGCCGCCGCGCGCCCCGCCCCCGCCGCCGCGCCCGCGCCCGCGCCCCTCGCCGCGCTCTACCTCATGGCGGCCAACGGGGCGCTGCTGCATCTGGCGCTCAACCCGCGACCCCTCACCGGTATGCACGCGCGCGTCTTACGCGTACGAATTAACGTGACACCTACTCTATTTCTTGTTGAAAACGGAGCGGAGACACCGCCTCTGATACGTAGATAACCATTATAGGTATGATTATGACAAATTGTATTTTTTCGAATTTTCGTTCGACGACAAATGAGATAGGGCCTCAGGTGTCTTGTTGATTCGTACCAGTAATACTCTATATATTCACGGGAAAACATTCGTGCAAACAACCCTTGATTGAAGAACGATCAATAGCCCCCTAGCACGCGGTTACTGATTTAAGAATTTAAGGTTAAGCATGTCTCACACTGCACTTAAACATATTTTCGTTTCTGATTTTAGTTTTTTTTAGTGTTATGTTGATAGCAGTTTCGTAAAACTAGGAGTTTTTGGACTTGTGAAACATAAATTGTTGAGAATAACTGATTGAATTTTTACTTTTCTCAATAGGGTATTATATTACACCTACTTTTGAAAAGTAACTCAAGCATGGAAAAAATTGCAAAATTTTTATTCAGTCATTCAACATTCAAATTCCGTGCGAATTGAACGAAAACCCTGAACTTTGGTTTTGGTTTTTTAAAGAAACGCGTTGCTATTGGTTTCCTTACATTATTATGCACTTTCTATCATATTCAATTAGTTTTAAGTGGATAGTACTTGCACTAATATTTAACGTTCCGTAATACAGCAGAACAAAATCGAGATTGCCGTAAAAAGCTTTCGGACGATAAATGTTTACTATTGGTAAATTGTGTGATTTCCCTTTTTGTTCCATGATATATGGTATTACTTTAATAAAATGAATTTACTTTAATATTACTGTAATAAACATTAAATAAATATTTTTTTTATTTATTTCGTCATTGAAATATAAATAAATAACCTATTAAATCGTTCTTAATGAAAATTACTTAGAAAATCCACTTTGTTCCTGGCACTCTGAGATAGGACTCGACCTTTCGCAAATTTTTAATAATTATAACCAATTTTCATCTTTATCAAAAGTTTGAATATATCATTCGGCTGTTTGGGTTGATTGCCCGCTCATCGATGACAATACGCGCTATTGTAGCGAAAAACTAACAACTGCTTGAAAAATTCGTCAGTTCCGCTAGGTCCTGGGTAACTCACTGATTAGAGCAATCGCCCGGATTGCTATAACAGAGATCGCTTAGTATTAGTCAAAATTCATATTATTAAACAGACATAGCAAAGGTTAATCTAGTACGAGGTTCTACGGAAGTAATATTTACTCTCAAATTATGAATATTAGTTTATATTTACTCCGACGCTAGAGTAATAGTATTGGTATATGTTAACAGGTGTTCCGAAGGAGAAGATTTGCGACGAGTCCCCTATAGAGCTGCAAGTGGAGGGCGTGGCGCAGTGGATGCTGCAGCGGCCCGCAGCCGCCGCGGACCTGCTCGCGCCGCTGCCGCCCGCCAACCCGCTGCTGAGGGCACACCCCGCCGCGGTCTGTTATTGCCCTGTACACAATCGTACCAATAGGTAGCTCTTGGGGGGTGATGACGTTAGTCATGCTGTTAGTTCGTGCTGGGGTTCAGGCCTTCCTTATGGATGGTTAAGGAGGATGGGCCATTACCCTCCACGCTGGCCCAATGCGGATTGGAGGGTATTAACGACTGCAAATGCAGCCGGGATAAACGGCTTAACGTGCCTTCCGAAACACGGAGTAGCTCGGGATAATAATTTTTTGGTCACCCATTCCGTGACCGACCCTTGCGAAAGTTGCTTAACGACTACGATCGCGGGCCGCGGCGCTTATCCACTACGCCACCGAGCCACTCATGACGTAGTATACGGTGACGTTAGTACACGTGTAATTTTAAAGGATTATATAAATATTTTAAAATATAATTTTATGTTATGTATGGATGGGTAAAAGTTTTTTTACGAACTGACAATCATAAAGAGCATATTGGATTACCCAAAATTTCAAATTACGAAAGGTGAATATTAAAAAGAAATGATATTGAGTATCAAAAACAAAAAGTTTGCATGCACCCCGTTACACATCGACGCAATCTCATCTATTTTGTCAGTCCTTGAAGTTTAGGCTAATACACATTACCTATTCCTATCACGTATAATAATTAATCGATAAATAGAAAACAGCCACCAGTATAATATTAGCATTTTCACAAAAACCTTTTTTATATATTTGAAAAAAAAAAATAACCAATCAAAAATGTTCTCTCATTAAAAATTTTAAAGAGATTCCTGTAACAAGAGGGCCGTAACTTAAATAAATTTAAATTATAAGGGTTGCTAAAAATAGTGTTTTTTTTTATTCATTCATATTTTATACATTCTATTTTAGTGTAAATAATAATAATGACTTTTCAAACAACGCAATAGAGTAGTTTCGTTAGTTAGCGATTTCAAATCATAACATTGCATGATTTATTTAAAATTAAAAATTGAGATTTTTCTCTTGTGTATCATGTGCATTAAAACACGACCCTCCATGATGTGATCTTGCATACTGCATCGTCTGTGAGATAAATCTTAAACTGATGTATATCTTATATATAAAAATGAATCGCAAAATGTGTTGGTAAGCGCATAACTCAACAACGCCTCGACCAATTTGGCCAAATCTTTTTTTTAAATGTTCGTTGAAGTTCAAGGATGGTTTTTACGGCGAGAAAAATTAGAATTATTGCTGGAAAAACCCTAAAAATAGCCCTTTTCTTTTTCCCATACAAATGATTTGTAACTAAAACGTAGTCAATTTGAGCTTTATTGCTATGGTATAAAGTTCATATTAAATTACAAGCACTCACTGTTGTCTAAGCAATGTAGGCTTTTTGACAGGACGAAGTCTGTCGGGTCAGCTAGTTTATTATAAATTAAAATCTTAGATGGACCTATTCTTACCTTATTGATATCTACGTGATACGTTTTTATAGTGTGATACGATGTAGTAGGCAAACAACATAAGTGTATATTTTGTTACAGAAATGCTCGGACATATGCATGAGCGAGGAGGAGAGGTGGTTGTCGCAAGTGGAGATAGTGACCCACGCCGGCCCCCACCGCCGCCTATGGATGGGCCCACAATTCGTCTTCAAGACGTATAACTTGACAGGGTAAGTAACATTGTCGAGAAAAATTTGATCAAAAAACGTTATAATATGAAAGCTTCGCAAAGACATCATAAAGCGATTTGCTTTTTAATAAACGACAAGAATATAAAACCTTTTTAGATTCTACATTAATATCATTAGGGATATGGATGGGTAATTTTTTCTTAGACAATATGAAGAGGGTTTTTGTTAGATGAAGACCGATTTTATATATATATTGTATATTCAATGTAATAATATATTTAACAGATCGAGCTCCTCTTTGTCAGAGGCTGAAACTGTAGAGGTAGATACAAGTGCGGCCCGGGGTGTTGCCCGCTCGAATCCTGTCAATATGCCCGGAGTACGGCCAATAGTTCCTGTGCTCATCGATTCGGGCTCTGCTAGTAAGTATAGTAAAAATTTTGTAACTATATAAACATTTGTCGTAGTGTCATGAATTGCCAACTGATCGTCAATTTACGTCAAACAGTATTATATCCAGCATCGAGACATTATATATGTTCGATAGAACCTATGTTCGATAGACCACGCTTAAATCGTAGTGGTCCTAATATTATACCTTGCGAAACTCTGAGCACAAAAACTGGCAAAGGAGTCAGTTTCACTAAAAACCAATTCGTTGGATTTAAGTGTCGATAATTTATTAAGAACCATGCGTTTAAGAACAGATTTTCACACAACGTTCATAGAATATTTAACGGTTCATATTATCAAATACTTTAAAGAAATCGCTTAACTAAGTCGGTTTGTTTTAGGTTCCTTGGAGCACTCTCCTTCAGATAGTTTCCGACGTAAATCATTGCTATCCGAAAGCGGGCGCGCCGCCTCCCTCTGTGACGTGCAATTGAAAGAAGACCTCGCCGAAGCTATGAAAGAGGATCACGGTGAGTTTATATCACCATGCACATTTAGAAAAATAATTTTATGACTGCACCCGTCTTCGTATTTAGATAACTAATAAAGCACGATATATAAATTTCATTTAAACGGACCGTTTAAAACTAGTGTTAGTGTATTTACATTTTATGAATTATGTCATAAAAAAAAAATTTACACTTTATTGTTTTGTTGCTCTAATTTGTATAGTCTCATATGTTGCTTCCGTCTAAATCGATCTTTACAGAAGTAGAGTAGAATTAGACTTGTTCATATATTTACCAGGTTGTGATATTATTATTTGTAATAAAGAATTGACTGATTGTGCTGAGTAATATGAATGTTAAGACTGAAGTTTGTATCAAGACTGAAGTGTGTGTTTTTATTTTAAATATATAAGAATAAGACCGAAAGACTTACTGAATGTTATGAAGTGTATGCACTTTAAATTAGGATTAGGTTATTTTTTAGCATTCGTCGCTTATCACTTATCAATATAACCTTACAAATTATTGTTGATAGAGTTTTGACCTTGTTAATCGAAATTTTGAATCTCAGTAAATATTTTATTTACTCTAGCAAATTTTGTTTATTTTTTATGTTTGATTGAGTGATTGCTAACATAATGAAAAATATAATTTACGGCTCCTATAGCTATTGCCTTGAGAATTTCTGTGGAAGTTTGTTGTTATCTTTAGAATATCTGGTTTAATAATGTCAGGTCAAATGCATGCTCAAGTTAGGTTAGGTTAAGTTAGATCTTCTTTATGTTACTGCCGTTTGTTACTACACTTTTTTAGTATTTGTATATAATCATGATCGATATCACCGCATTTTGTAATTGTTAGTGGCTTCATTGTTTTTAATATTGCCAAATAAGTATAGATTAGTTCCTATTTTTCTAGTCTAGACACCTATGTTCCATGTAGTGATATTTTAGTGAAACGCACGTAAAGCTTCATAATTTTGTGTAATATAATATACTTATTGATATCGTTTACGAAGTATGAAGTTTTAAGTGTCGTCAAAATATTTTTTTAGAGATATTAGTCGTCGAACGAGGTCGATACATACCAATTGGCTTCTGTTTTAGTTAAAGATTTTGATTATATAAGTGTCGTATATACAATTGGTTTTGTTTTATTCAGATACAAGTAGCTAATAATAAAGAGAACACCTATTATAAAATATCGTTTTATTGTTTTTCATTGAGTCAAACCTACCATTCGAAAATTATGAAATCAGAAGTAGAGTGGAAAGTTAATGGATACTTTTGATTGACATTTAGTAATCATTTATGCGATATGTGACTGGTCATTTTTAATGGCCTCTCTTTCGGATATGTCTTTACGTAAACTTCGGCGTTTTTTTACGTGTAAGGATTTCGTTTTATATATTCGTTAAACGTACTTTTTCAGTATTTTTTTTAAATGAACTATAAAAAGATCCCCCTAATCGATTTCGGTTTCGGTCGATTCAAATCCATTTCGAATAACCCTCATAATTCGAATTTCATTACTAAAACGCGATACCACCGTTTCGATACGGGAGTGACGAAGTGCTATCGAGAGGCGAGCGCGCAAGAGCGAAGACGAATCGAAGCTCGTCGGAGGGGAGCCCACCGCCCCACCTATACGGAAGCCGAAGGCACCCGTCGCGCGCTCGCCCGCCAGTTCAACTAACGAGAGTAACGGTCGCCTTCGGTTTCGTATAGGGTGGAGGGAGCAGAGGCGCGACGCGGACGCGGACGCGGACAGCGCGGGCGTGGTGGCGCGCGCCGTGGACCCGCTCGGCTGCGTGGTGCAGGCGCGCGCCGCCGCCGCGCCGCCGCCGCCGCCGCTCGACCCCGACCGCTACACGCGCGAGAACCGCGACGAGGCCACCTTCCGGCCCGTGGTCCGCGCGCCCGCCGCGCTGCCCCCCGCCGCGCTGCTGCTGCGCCCGCTGCCGCGCACCACCACCATCCCCGTGCAGCCGCTGCCCTGCGACGCCCGCGCCGCGCCGCCCGCCAGCCCCCTGCCGCTCGACACGCGCCGCCTCATCCCCGCCGCCGCCGCCGCCCTCGGCGACTGCGCGGACGACGCGCGCGAGCCCCTCCCCGACGATGTTCCGACACTGCCCGAAACCGCCCGGTCGTCTGATATTCAGGCGGCCTCCGTCGACGAGTCTCCCACCCGCCCGTCGTTCGGCCTAGAGTCCGGCGACGATAGTTATAAGTTTAGCGAATGCGAGAGAGTGTGCGATGCGGCCCCGTCCGGTTCGTCCGTGATCGAAAGCGAGGTCGCTTCGAAAGTGTGCACCGATGTTGAAGTTCCCGCCGAAGCTCGTGTGACAGAGAATAAAAGTAGCATAGAACTCGTAGGTAGTGAAGTTGTTGAAAAGTCGAAGTCTGAAGTGCCCGTTCCCGTTCCTGCGCGGTCTTCGAAACGATCGGGAAAGTCGAAAGGTCGAAACGGTCCCGACGATCCCGTCGAACGTTCTTCGGATGCCGGGGCTTCGACGACAAAGTTAAATAAGTTAACGCGTGACAAGAGTTCTCCGACGGTTAAAAGTAGCAAACGGGAGACTAAGTCGACGCCGCGCGGTCATGTGGATTCTCCTGGAGTTCCTTCGAAGTGTCTAGATGAAGTATCTCATCTTGCCGAAGTCCCGACCGAAAGCATTTGTTCCGCGTCGTCATCGAAAAAAGTGGAGGATCGTACGGTTAGTTCTCTCGATCGAACTGCAGACAATAAAGACAGCAAATCTGGCGGACATAAAATATCAACGCCATCCAAAAAGCATTCAAAGGAATCTTCGTCGGTGCGCGAAGAATCAAACCGGCCCGCTGAAACGTTAATGGAAGCTTTGTCTTGTACGCCCGCCCAAGAATTGTCATCGGAGAAGTGTTTTTCGTCCACTAAGAGCTCAGAGAAAACAGAAGGTAAATCCTATGAGCGAAAATCGATGCTGACGTCATCGAAGAGAAGTTCAAAAGAATCTTCACCTATGTCCAATGAAGCAAAGCGTTTTACCGAAACTATGACAGAAGTTTTGTCTCGTCCGACTCTAACGGAAAAGCTTTTCGATACATTCGCTGAAAAGACTTCTTCGATTAAACGTACAGAAGAAAGAGAGTATAAATCTGGTGTAAGCAAAACAGGATCGACGTTCTTAGGAGAATCAGAGGAACACTTGGCATGTTTTGATGAATCTGAAACTCAACTTGAACATTTTACGGAAGATTTATCATGCACATCCTTAGCAGCAGAGCTCCGTGAGGCATCTCAGGAAAAATCGATTCCTTATATAAAATGCAGCCAAAAGGACGACATAATGGAATCTAAAATGGAATCATCCAATATTAGTCGTGCTATTAAATCTACAAAATTGTCAGATAATGAAATTAAAACAGAGGATCAAGCTTGGGATATGTTAAACGAACCCGATAAATCGTCTAAACTGAGTGTAAGCCCGACAATGAACATTGGCGATAAATCTGAAGAGTCGAGATCGAAGTCTAAAAGGAATCGTAAAGTTAAAAAATCTTTAGAGGATGCTCAAGCTAAATCCGACGAGAACAGTTTTGTGGAAATACATGCGATTGAAGAAAAACAACAGCCTCCTTGTGATGATTTGGTAGCTATTTCGTCACCGTTCGAAGATGTAGATAAATGCAGTTCTTACGTCGGTAAAAATAAGAAATGGCGGTCGTCTAAAGGTCAATCGCCGGAGAAAATGTATGAAGTAGATCAGACTGAGGGTGACATTAATGTTAAGAATGAGACAGATGTGAGTTGTAATGTAGATATGAAAACAACTGACGTTGATATACTATCTATATCGACTACTACAAAATGTATAGCTGATGTTAAATCAAAAAATAAATCTCTTATTGTACCTCATTCTGTAGAAAATTTTGATACTAATATTGAGCTTTTGAAGACGCGAAAAAGCAAATCGTTGTCCCCTTATGCAGACAGTCGTAGGGTGGTGGAAAATTTGTCTGACAGTGATATAAAAGATGTCTACGTAATCGATACAACGTCAGAAGAGTTTCCCGAAATCCAAATCACTAGAGGTAGCAAATTGCGAAAGAAGTCGCCTCAACTTGCTGAAAATAAAGACCAGGAGAAGCAACCACATATAGAAAAACCTGTTAAATCATGGAGTTCAATAGCAGCATCAAAGTCTATTAAGAAAGTTAACGAGCCTGAATATGAGAAGCAGGAAAATTTACAAGTAGATATTAAAAATGTAGAAAATATTGATAAGGTCTGTGAATATAATGAATTGACTAGTGGTTCAGATGTGTCTTCCAAAGGAATATCGTTGCATGAAAAATTGTATGAATTATGTAAGAGAAGAGATATTCTGGTGGCTGAATGTGATGCACCTTCGGAGCTTAATTTCGTGGAGGAGCATCATGCGGTCGTACACGATTTGCCTCCTCTAGAACCCCTGAATTTTGGTTTGGATGACTTTAAGTTAGAAGTGATGAGAGATAGCCTTTTAGAAGTAAACGAAACGAAACTAACAAGCCCCATTTGTAAAATCAATATAGACGATATACTTTCTTCTTTAAAAGAGTCTACAACTAAAGGGATAGATAGCAGCACGTTCAATTTAATAGATCTCGAAAAAGTCCCTGCTAAGAAAGAAAAAGGGTTTAGCGTCGTCCAAACTCAGAAAATCACTTCACAAGAAATCAAACTTGAAGATGATATCAAGACCAATGAAAGGGAATCAGAAGTAATGGAGAAATCTTCAGATGATGACAACACGCCACCAATTATATCAACAGAAAGCGATAAGATAGCCGTGCCATCGGTGAAGCAACAAACGAAGGCAAAGAAATCGCGCAGGAAGAAGAAATAATAAAAATGTGTTCAATATATTTTAGAGTATGACGTTGTGTGCTGCGATGTTATTAGTTAAAAACCCGTGATTATTAGCTATAAAATTATTTGCTGCTATTTTAATGTAGTTTAGTTAGGCAATGCAATTATAAATAAAAAATGCACATTTA